TCAGCACCCACTGCCCCGTGCCACAGGGGTGCAGGCATGGGGGGCCGGAGTCGGCAGCAGGTACCCCGACGTGCGGGGGCCGGGACCGGCACCTCCCCTTTGGTTTGGGGCTTGTGTCCCCTGCCCCAACCACAAGGGCCAGGGAGGTCTGTAGACTGGGACAGCTCGGCTATGATGTACAAGGCTTCCCGGGGTCAGGGGGGACAGGCCAGGTGCGTGTGCCAGGGCCATTTCTGGGACAGACTGAAGCTGATGCCTGCTGCCCCCAGCACGGAGCGTACCCTCGCACGTGGGGAGAGGATGAGGATGTCTGACCCCAGGAATGTCCAGAGTTGTTTGGGGTACAGGGTTGTGGGTAATGGCCTCAGAGGGCCAGAGGTCGTACTGCTGGGGCGCACTCAACTCACTTCTGCCAGGAAGCCTCCCCCAGGGCTAGTGACCCTTCGGAATCGGAGCTGCAGGGGGCCATGCTGGTCTGGGGGTGGGCCACCAGCCCCTGTACCCACTCGCCACCCGCAGCCTCACCTCACTCAGGGAGCGTGTGGGGCCTCAGCCTACACTCGGTGAGGAACTTGGTATTTCCGGGGCCCCCATGCCCCACCGAGTCTGCAAAGGGCCTGAGACCAGAGGGCAGAGGAGTTCCAACAGGTGGCTGCGAGGGGGGCACTCCCCAGCTCAGCGTCACCTCCTCTGGGCATGGGGTCAGCACCCCCCATACCCAGGAGCTGTTTTGTGGGAAGCAGCCGCGATGTTTGGCCCCATACCAGCCCCGTGTACCTGGACTCTGGTCGCAGCTGGGCTGTCAACAGCCATTTGCACGTGTATGTATGTGAGACAGAGACTTCAGAAGCTGTTTGGCACAGGGATGGGGTGGGGGGGTCACACTTGGCGATGCTCAGGGCTTACTCCTGGCCCTGCACTCAGGAATTACTCCCGGTGGAGCTGGGGGCTAGGGAGGGAACCATATGGGAAGCCCTAGGACCCAGGTTGGCCGTGTGCAAGGCAAACCCCCCCCCCCCCACCCCGGCTGCACTGTCACTCCCCCCCCAGGCTTCAGAAGCTCTGAAAGGGAGAAGATGCTTCTCCGCAAGTTCTCTTTGCTGGCAGGATAAAGATGTAATAGCCAGAGTCCAGCAGCCACATTGGGCCACACGGTGACACTCCAGGAAGTTCTGCCTCTGAGTGGCTAGACAAAAGGGTCCTGTGCCTGGCCCGAAGGGGTCACCCCCACGGGTCCCCATGGTCCTCTCAAGATCTGAGACCATGAGAGCAACAAGCATCTGTCCCATGGGACCCGGTCTCTGGGTGACAGTTCCTAGAGACTCTGAGAAATGAGGTCAGAGATGATAGGGAGGAGGGGCCGTGGGGGAGGGGCTGAGGAGTGGGGGGCTGCCTCTCTTGCACCCAAACAGGCACATCAGTGAGGGGCAGCCAGCACCCCCAGGAGCTCTGGGCAGAGTAGGCAGCACAGTCAGGCCCCCTCTCAAGCTGGCGGGGACGAGCCCTTGGCAGCTGGTCAGCCCTGCTGGGGGACAGGCGTGAACAGGGTGGGCAGCCTCGGGCTGCAGGCAGAGCCTGTGCTGGGCTCCCCCTGCCCAGGCGGAACTTTCTGAAAACCCCACAGCTGAGTCTGCACGGCAGGGCCACGGGGCAGCGCGAGCCCTGCCGCAGGCCATAGCTCTGGGCACAGCACTAGTTGGCCACTGGTGTGCCGGGTCCCTTGCTCTGCTGCCCCCTGGTAGGGTCTGGCAGGGTGGGAAGTTCTGGAGGGCAGCCAGGCACAGCTCCCCTGATCAGCACACACTGCAGTCAGGCTGAGGGGCTCCGGGGGGGACAGGGCAGCCCGACTCGCTGCCAACGCATGTGGACCAGAAGGAGGCAGCTGGCAGGAAGCGGCTGCCAGCCCTGTTGCACCCTGGGCCACCTCCCGCACACCTGGGTGTGTGGGGGGGGTCCCACCTGACAGCGCAGCCTGCTGGCTTCACCTGGGAGGGCCTCTGGGATGGCAAACGCCTGAGGACTGTCCCCGCCCCTGCCACCACAGGCCAGTGGCCTGGAGTCTCTGAGAAAAGAGGCCAGGCCCATGCAGGTTGGTCACTGCGTTTTACTGAGTGCACAGCCCACGGGAACCGGCCTCGCCCCTGTGCCGGTCACCACCCCAGAATCCTGGGCCAACCCGCCTGGGCCCGGCAGGCGGTGGAGGGAGGGCTGCCCGTGACTTTGTTGGGCTGGTCTGTGGGAACGTGAGTCCTGAACTGGCAGACGGGTGGTGCTGGGGTACGCCTTCACGGAGGCCGGTCTGTCGAGGGGAGCGGGGCGTGCGCAGCCGGTACCGAAGGCATTCGAGGGTTCTTTGGAGCATGAACAAAGTGCAGACAGCCAAGGCAACGGCGCGGGTGGGGACTGCAGCCACGGGGATGGCGCGGGTCACGCAGGGGCCCAGGAACGGAGGCCCCGTCCTCGCCGGGCAGAGGGTCACGGCCTCCCGTGGTACTCACAGATGCCAAGGGGGACTGGGTGACCTTGTGACTTCCTGCCGATGCACTTTAAGGCAAGGGCTTGTGAGACCCAGCTGGACGTGGGTACAGGGGGCAGAAAGCTCAGGACCCAGCAGCCCCAGCTGGTCCCTGCTCACGGGGTCCCGAGACCCTCACCAGACCCCACAGGAGGGCACCTCCTTCCCAGTTCCAGGCCCCCCTCTAAAGGCGAGCTGCTGGCCTCTGCCCCTCCAATCAGAACCCAGGAGCTGCCGAGCCCTGGCTGGACGCTTCCAGGCTTCATGGAGCAAGGCACAAGCTCCACACCACCTTCGGGAAGCCCTCCCTGGTTCTCTCTCACACCCGCTGGGGCACCTAGGGTGCCTGTCCTCGGGCGCATAGCTGGAGTATGTCGAATCAGCCTCACACGACCAGCCCAGGGAGCAGACGTCTGCAGGAGTGAGGATAGCCAGCCCGGGCCAGGGTGGAAGGAGCCGTTGGCCAGCCCGGCACTGTACCTTGCGCTCTCCAGGGCCTGTTCTCTCATTTGCCTCTCAGGGGCGTGCCATTGAGCGCAGCCCGGCCTACAGGGCACAGTCCTGGGACTCAAACGGCACCCAGGACAGGTTGCAACTAAGGTCGTCACCTGAGACTCGTCTGCCCCTGAGGTTTCCAGCTACTTCTCAGGGCTGGGCCCTGCCCCCAACAACTGCAACTTCCTGGGGCAGAGCAGAAGCTGGAGCCCCCTCGCCCCAGGAAGAACGGCCCTCAGGGCCACCTCCTTTCCCTCACCAGCAGAGCTCACAGAGCACAGGCTTCAGAGACACATGGCGGGAGCATGAGGGAGCCCCTCCGTGGGCACGGGGGCCCTAAGGAGGGTCAGGACTGGTGGTGTGGTCAAGGTGGGCAGCATCCCAGCCGGACACACAAGGCCACCAGACTCTTGGCCCCACCTGAACTCAGCTCCCATCTCCTCACTGCAGGGCCAGAGCCAGGAGACAGACCCATGGCACATGCATGCGTGTCCAGAAGCACACATCCACGCCCACGCGTGCGCACAGGCTGTGTGCATGGACGAGCGAGCTGTGTGAGGACGTGTGTTCTGTGCCTGGCTCCGGCCACATGCTGCTCACGTGGGGGGACGTCTGCCAGAGGTCAGTCACCGAGTGCCACTTCCGGCAACTCCCGTTCCTCCTGCTGCGCTTCTCAGATCGGGTGTGCCTAGGCCCTCACGTTGGGTGACACTGCTGGGACTGGGCTGGGGCCCGACTTCCTAGGGGAGACCAGCAGCTCCACAGAGGGGGCCCGGGGCCAGAGTGGAGCCCCTGCAGGGACAGAGCTGGCCGGGCTCCAGGCCCGGGTTGCTGGTGACTGGCCTGCTGCCCCTGGCCCCAGAGCAGCGTGGTGCCCGCGAGGACATGCTGGGCGGGTGCTGGGCACCTCTCCTGGGGGCCGTCCTTCAGCCGCTGCACTTTGCCATCCTGGGGTCATGGGAGTACTAAAGGAAGGGCCTCCAACCAAACACCGCAGGATGCTGGGCACGCACTTGGCCTCTGGGGCCCTGGGCCCGGCGTGGCCAGTGGCCCCCAGCTCTGAGATAGCCTCTGTCCCTGGGGACCCTTTGGGTCAGCGCGGTGTTGGCCCTGCCCTTTGCTCCTGCAGGGAGACACCTGACAAAGGGGAGGGGGGCCTGCGGGCGGCAGACACAGCACCCCGAGGCCTGGACACAGACCGAGCTGCCCTGAGGACAGTCCCTCCTACAGACACGCATGGGCTAGTGCCTTAGACAGCAGTCCGCCCTCTGCCCGTGGGGGGGAGCAGTGACAGGTCATGGGGGCTTAGCTGGGGTTCCCCCCCAAACGAGACGATATGTGTTCTCACCTGCCCCGGCTCCCACTTTCTCCCCTGCACCTCGGAGACTAGTGCCCCTCACCCATGGGGCCCAGGAAGGGACAGCAGAACCTGGGACCAGCAGTGCAGAGTGGGTGGGGACCAGCTCCCACAGAGACGCTGTGTGGGATGGTGGAGACGGGGACTTCCGCATCGCCACCCTGCTGGCCTGTCTCTGTTACAGTGCTGACCGTGGCCTGGTGACCGGCGCCTGGCCAGGGCAGAGGGGACGCAGGGGCCTACCCCAGACACCCAATGTCTCTCTGATCCCTTCTCAGAACCCTGTGGAACGTGTCCCACACCCAAGCGAGCGCAGGGGCAGGCTCCTGAGGGCAGCTGCCCCTGGGGTGGCCCCTACCCGGGAACAGGGTGGGAGGCTGGCCTGGAAGCCCCACTCCGGGGGCCGGCAAGGAAGGAATGGAGGTGCAGAAGAGACAGTCCCGGGCCTGGACTGCAACCCCCAGAGAGGACAGCACTTCCAGACTGCCCCTCGCTGCCCATCCCCCCTCGGGGGCCAGTTCTCAGTGGCCATCCCCGCTCCAGCCCGCTCAGGTCCACTGTCTGTAGTGGGCACCGCAGCCCTCCTGGGAAAGGACTTTTGCCGAGTTCACAGCAGACCAGGGCCCACCCTGCACCCCAACAGTCCATCCTTGTCACCGGGAAAACGGCCCAGTGGGTCCTCACGGAAACTCAGGGGCAGCTGGAGAAACTGCCTCATTTCCGGGCCCAGCCCACGTCCCCAAAGGGACCGTCCCCTGTGGCAGAGCGTGGCGGGGGCCCGCAGGGCGTGCACAGGTCTGAGTCGGTGTCGGACTCGCCCTCGGCGATGTAGGGACGCACCTTGGCGCAGGGCGCCACTGCCGCGTACCCACCGGCCAGTGCGTCCAGGTTCTCCTTGGACTGGGAGATGCTGAAGCCACTGAAGGAGCGCTCCAGCTCCTCGTGGTCCACAGACGGGATGGAGATGGACGTGTCACTGCCCCGCAGGCCAGCCTCGGGGGCCCTGCTGCCCGTGGCCTCCTCGTGCCGCAGGAACTCGGCGCTGGCCCGGGCGCCCGCGCTGTATGCAGACAGAGAGCGCTCGTGGGCGGGCGGGGGCGGGATGCGCACCAGTGAGCCGGGGTCACCCACGGGCGAGGTGCCAGGGCCCTGGCGGGCGTGGCAGTGCTGCCACGAGGTGGACGGGGGGCACTGGGCAGGGGGCGCCGAGAAGTTCTTCTGGCCTCCGGAGCTTGTGGAGCGCACGAGCTTGACGATGCAGCCGTTCCTGCCACCATGGTCACGGCTGTCCTCGGGGCTGTGGTAGGGGGGCGCGGGCTCCGGCTCCTTGGGCCCGAAATAGGCCTCGGTCTCCGTTGGGGGGATCCCCGAGCGCTGCATGTAGATGTTCACCAAGAAATCCAGCTTCTTCTCCATGGACAAGACCTGCAAGGTGGGTGCTGGGTCACTTCCCGGGGAGGGTCGGGATCCTCCCAAACGTGGGTGCCAAGCTTCTCCCGCAGAGGGGTCTGGATGCGGGCTGCTCCGGGCAGGGGGCTACGCACCCGGCTCCCTGGTTCTGGGGCTCAGGCCCCTGGTTGCCAGCAGAGACGGTGGTGGGACCCAGGGGCACCCCTGAGGCCCAAGCTGGCAAGTGGCCAGCGTGGCGCCCCCAGACTCACCCACCTGCTTCTCCACCTTCCCCAGCCGGCCCATCATGCTGGGATCCTCAGGCAGCTCCGCTTCAGCCGGGCCCTTGGTGCGGTCCTTGTCGGTGATGGCTGGCCCCCGACCCACAATCTGGTCCACTCTGCGGGGAAGAGACCCCGCCCCAGCACGGGCTCAGGAGGACGTGACTGGGCCCGAGGCCCTCTCCTTCTGAGCCAGGCCCCAGTCCCCCAGGGCTATCGGGGGGCAGCGGGGTGCCAGGACAGATGGACACCGGGCACCCGGTTCTTGCCTGCGCCAGCGCCCTCGGGCCACGCCCTGTCCAACGCATGCCTGGGACTGGCACATTAATGAGGAGTAAAGAGGAGGATTTCTAAGGTCAACGTCCCCAGTCCCCTACCCTCCACCCGGACCCCTGACCCTGACCTTTCGGTTTGGGGGCCACACCCAGTGGTGCTCAGGGCTTCCTCCTGGCTCTGTGCTCAGGGGTCACTCCTGTTGGGTTCGGAGGACCATCGGGGGTGCCGGGGACAAAGCCCGGGTTGGCTGTGTGCAAGGCAAGTGCCCGCCCCACCGTCCTATTGTCCAGTCCCTGACCCTGACCTTTATTCCCACATAATGTGCCACTGAGGCCAGACTGGGTGTGCTGGGGACAGTTAGATGTTCGCAGCGAGGCAGGACGTGGTGAGAGCGCCATGCAGGACAGGAGAGACATACACCAACACAGCAGACAGACACGAGAGGGTGCAGTCAGGGCCACCGAGAGGGTTCTATGAGTGAGCACACAGACTGCACGCACACGCACGCATGCTCCAAACAGTGTGTGCATGTCTATGTGCGTGTGTGCTACCATCTGCACACACACAGACATGTACTGCTGCCCATGTGCCTGTTTGTACGCCACCCATGTGGGCATGTGCATATGTGTGCAGGCATGCACGCATAGCCCGCCTTTAGTACAGACTGCGTGAGCGTGTGTATTATTATGTACCTGGAGTGCACGTGTGCACATGCGCTTCTAGCAGTGGGAGTGCTGTGCGTGTACCATGAGCACGTGTGCCTCCACCAGAGTGAGTTCGTGTGTGTGTGTGTACTTGCGTGCTTCTACTGGCACGTGGCCACATATGCCTACGTCCAGGAGTGTGTCAGGGCCTGATCCTATGTGTGCTTTTCTAGTGTATGCCTGCAGTCACTCTGCACGCACGCTGGTGCACATGCACCTGCACGTGTATACCACGTGCACACGCGTGTGCTGCCTGTGGTCGTACATACCTGTGTGGTATTGCGGCATGCGCCTGTGCATGCTTCTCGCGGCAGGTTTGCTTGTGTGCTCACCGTGTACGTGTGTGTACATGTGTGCCGGATGCCGAACACAGCTAAGCTGGTCTCAAATGAGGCCACAGGACCCAGGTGCCAACTCGAAGGGAAGGCGGCATCCTTTGCCCTGGGTTCAGGGAGCCTCCAGCTGCTGTGTGGGCAGGAAGGGCGACAGGAGAGGCTGTGGGCTGCCAAGGCTCCTGGGCAGAGCTGCAGGCACGTGCAGGTTCCCTGGCCAGAGACCCCAGCTGGGCCCAGGCCAGGGCAGGCCCGAAGCCACAGCCTCCACCTCATTTGAGCACCCGGTGCATGAGGAAGTTTGGGGTGCAGGCACAGGAGCCTGTGAGACCACCCCTCCCTCTGCCTCCGGGGGAGGAGCCAGGGGTGGTCTCCCTTCTGCTGCAAGAAACAGAAGGGGCCACAGGCTTGTGTCAGCCACAGGGCAGCCTCCCGGTACACACTGAGCTTCATGCTTGGCACATGCAAGGGAGGGTGAGGGCGGAGGGGTGTGGGAGGCCCTCGGGCACCAAGCAGATGCCAATGGGGGGAGCGCGGGGCCCTCTGGAATTTCTGGGTGCACACGGTCCAGGTGCAGGGGTTCAGCGCCTTCGCCCCTGTCACATGACGGCGCCTGCCTGGTGGGCCACAGCCCAGCTGGGAGCTGCTGGGGTCGGTGAGACGGTCCCTCAGGCCCTGGGCTGGCCTGATATTCCGTGTGCTGCCTGCAGGGTCCGGGAGGCCAGGGCAAGCTGGTGACATGTGGGTCTGCGTCCTTGGGGGCTGGGTCTTGGTGGCGTCTCCTTGGGGCTGGGCGGGGGCTTCCCAGAGCAGAGGCTGCAAGCACTGTCCTCCGCCTGGTCCGTGGCCTCAGAGCAGAAGCCCCCGCCATAGTTCCTTGGTGCGCGAGTGGGCTCCACCAGCCAATCGCCCACACAGCTCCCCTCGCGGCCCTGGTTCTCACTCTGCCTCTGGGGCCTGCGTCCTTCACTAAAGAAGCTCGGCTCAGTGGCGGGGCAGCGACCTCATCGGGGGGACAGTGGTGGCCGGGAGCTGCCTCTGCTGGACCAGAGTCCTGGCCGGGTCCTCCACGGAACCCCCTCAGGGGCCCTCTATTTGACCCTCGTGGGGGTCACCTCTGCTGGCAGAGCACCCGGCCCGAGGGAGGTCGGCGCAGGCCTCTGCCAGCCCCCGAGCCAGACGTTCCCTCCGGGGGGAGGAAAGGGGGCTGCCGTCATGTGCCTGGGGCGAAGGGGCTGGCCGTCAAACAGACAAGTCCGAACCTAGGAGAATACTGGGGCGACTCTCTCGGAGGGGCCGTGGGTCCTTTGGTGGGGTACTTCTTGTGCCGGGGAGTTGAAGGGGGTGGGGGGCCCACAATCATATCTATCCTGGCAGCGGGAATGAGAAAAGAGACACCGACAAACGCATCAAAGCAGCAGGACGTGGCTGGACGGCAGGGGCGGGCGGAGCGACGGCACTCACAGACCCTCCACCTCCCCGACGCGCCCACGCTCCAGCCCCGCTGCCCGGCACGGCCTGCCAGTGCTCACATCCTGAGCGCCCGCAGGTGCCGGGCGGGTCTGCTTCCAGGGGCAGCCAGGACGAAAGACCCTGGGAGCGGAGACAGCGGCAGTGAGAGACCCAAAGCAGAGCACCTGCACACGCCTCCCACACCAGCGCCGGGCACGCCGTCCCCGAGCCGACACTCAGAGAACACAGTCACGCCAAGGTACTGGCACTCGTTGGCAGGACTGCTTTTACACACTGACGAGTGTGCACAGACACGCTTACTCAAGGCACGTGTACGACGTGCTCACACTCCTGCTTGCTCACACACACACACACACACACACACAGCACTGCACACTTGATCAAACACATGACGGTAACACAGGTTTGCTCCCAAGTGCACATACTTGGTCACACCTGTACACACAGTGGCTCACATGTGGTTGCGTGCACGCACGCTGGGTCTGCTCAGTTCTGTGGAGGAACCTGCCCGGGTGGCCAGGAAAGTCCCACTGCCCTTGCCCAGGGGAGCACTGCCAGCCAAATGGCCCCTCGCCGGCCTCCAAGTCCGGACCAGAAGGCACCAAAACAGGCAACCGACTCTCTGGGTGAAGACACGGCTCCTGCCAGAAACAGGCCCTGGGCCGTCCAGGGCACAGAGACCCCGAGACCCCAGTGGCCAACTGCCAGACGGCAGCCACGTGACCCCTCCTAGCAGCAGGGCAGGTGTGCCTGAGCACATGTGTAGTTCTGTGCCTGTGTGAAGGTGGCAGAGCACACGTGCAGGGGACAGCACACTCCTGAGAGCACATGTGTACTGCACACAGGTGCAGGGAGGTGGTGCAGTGAACGGACACAGCCCCCTGCAGGGGAATGAGCACAGCACAGCTCCCTGTGGCGTGCACCCTCGCTTACACCTGGGAGTGACACAGGCTGACAAAGCAGCCCGCGTGCAGGATGGGGAGGCGGCCGGCAGGCCCGGGTCTCGCCTGCCCCGTGGGAGGTGGGGAGGGCACATGAGGCCTCTTTCCGGAAGGAAGGCGACATGTACCTGGGGGTTCTGTGCCAGCCCACTCTCGTCCCTCTGCACGATGACCACATGACTGACACACAGATACATGCATGCACACGCATGTGCCTGGCCGCGCACACGTGTGTATGGATGTGAGTAATGATGCCTACAGACACCCGTGATGTCACACAACAGACCGCATGCACTCACAGATGCACTGTGCACGCACACACACACTCTGCTGTGGGTGCACAGTGCGTGTGCTCCTGTGCTCCGGTGGACACACATGCACTCACAGAGGTGTGGGGGCACGGTGCACTCACCACGCTGTGTGCACGGGGCACACACACAGACACGCAGCCCGGCAGCACGGGCAGGGGACAACACAACTCGGAGAACAGACAGCACAGGGGACACCACGATGGACACAGGCCCCGTGGGAGTCGGAGGTGAGGGCCCAGGGAGGAGCAGCAGTCTGTCCACCGGCGCTGGCCCGAGAGACCACCGCCAGGGGTACCACGCGAGGGGCTGGGCAGGCAAGGAAGGGGCTCTTGCCTGGACTGCAGGTTTTTGATGCGGGCCAGCATGTCCAAGTGGCCAGCTGAGTACTGCTCGATCACGTCCATCACGTCGTAGGGGCGCAGACTCTCCTTGAACTTCCTCTTAGACACCAGGAAGCGCATGACGCTAGGGGCGACGGGGAGGCCGTCAGCAGAGCCACACCAGCCACTGGCCGGACGTCCCTGTTGTCCAGCCCCGTCACGGGCCTGGCTTCACAGACCTTGGTCCCGCTGGGACCCTGCATCCACGTCTCGTCTCAGGCATGCAATATGGGGGGTGGGGGGAGACACACTGTGCCACACGGAGCAGACCCCTGCCCACGATCCGCATTCGGGGGGGAGCGCCCCTCTGCGGGCGCCCAGCTCACCACACGGCCCGGATGCTGACTTTGAGGCCCGGGGTCAAGTCCTCCGTCATAAACTCGCAGTTACAGCTCTTGTCATCCACGACGTCCTCCCCAGGGAGACTGGCTTCTGGGAGGAGGAGACACAGCTCTCGGGGCCACTCCGACACCTTCCTTTGTCCCCCAGTGGCTCTGGGCGGGACTGCAGGTGGCCAGGCCCTGCCGGACACACTCCCAGAGCAGTCACTTCTCCACACAGGTCTTCTCCCTGGGAGTGACCGCTCGGGGGGCTGCAAGGACACCCCCGTGGAAAGGCAGGAGGAGGGGGCTGCTCGGCTGTGACCAGAACAGGCGCCAGCTGCTGACAGCTGTCCCGAGTGAGACCAGGCAGACAGGACAGGGGTGCCTGGCCTGCCGTCGCGCATTCGTGCCGAAAGGCTCATTGCAGGTTCCGGGGCGGGGGGGTGCGGGAGATGGGCAGGGAAGTGGCTGCTGACTCACCTTCCGAGTTCTGGCGGGAGGCGGCACCCTTGATGCGAAAGGCCTGACGTGCTCGGCTGCGGTCTCCGAAGCTCCAGCTCTTGGGCACCTTGCTGGGACTGTCCTCCAGGCTGGGGTCCGCGCTGGGCGAGCGCCGCACGGTCGGGGCCTGCGGGGACCCCTTCCCCTTGGCAGCCACGCCGCGGGGGCTGGAGAAGACACGGTCTTTCAAACTGACCTTCTGGCTGCTCCAGCAAGAACAGACAGACAGACGGACACACAGAGAGACAGCGAGAGGTCACTGGGGACACGGACATGGGCGTCCGCTCCAGGCGGACACGGTCCCCACGGAGGTAGGGAGACGGCAGACCTGGGGATACCAGTGGCCACGGGGGACCAACGGGGCCCGTGAGAGCCAAGCACACTGGCCCTCGGCCCTCGGCCCGCCCTGCTGGCCACTCGGGAGCTCAGCGTGGCCAGGTGATGTCAGTGGCTCTTAAATCACTTTGGCTCCGCCTCCGGGTCCTATAAAGCGCACCTGCTTCCCCGGGCAGCTCCCTGCCCAGGGCCGGGGGTGAGGGCTGCCGGCAGGGACCCTGCGATGGAGCACGAGTTCACGCACCGGACAGCGGGGTCCCCCAGTTGGCCCGGCCACATTAGGGCGCCCGTCGCCCGCTCCCAGGACTCTGCCCAGGCCTACTCAGCTTCTGGAGACCGACGCCTCAGGCAGGCCTCACCGCTGGAGGGGCCGCTGCGTCGGACACCACGGCTGGCAGGACCCCAGGTGACTGGGGACTCAACACTCAAGAACAGCGGTTCTAATGCCCTCCGAGCAGCACCAGGAGTCGGGGGCACGGAGGTCAGCATTGTGTTGGCTCAGCGGGTGGTGCCTGGCGCTCTACCCTGGGTGACTTCCCCCACCGTCCCAAGAAATCAGACCCTTGGGGACCACACAGAGAGGCACAGTCCAGCACTAGTGGCTCTGAGCAGGCCCCGGGCCGTCCCAGGCTGGGGAGCTGTTGGATGCCGTCACTGCCAGCCCCCCGTGGCTCCCTAGCCCCCACCAGCCCCAACCAGGACCCTCAGCTGAGTCAAGTGCATGAGCCCGCACAGGGTGACCAACCCACAGGACAGTGTGACCAGCACCGGGTGACCGACCCACAGGAGAGAGTCTGAGGCCCGCACAGGGTGACTGACCCACAGGAGGGTCAGAGGCCGTCAAGGGTGACTGACCCACAGGGGAGAGTCTGAGGTCAGCAGGGGTGACTGACCCATAGGAGACAGTCTGAGGCCAGCAGGGGTGACTGACCCACAGGGGAGAGTCTGAGGCCGTCAGAGGTGACTGACTGACCCCCAGAAGAGAGTCTGAGGCCAGCAGGGGTGACTGACCCACAGGAGAGCCTGACCAGTACCGGGTGACTTGCCCCCAGGAAAGCCTGACCAGCACATGGTGACTGACCCACAGGAGAGTCTGAGGCCAGCAGGGGTGACTGACCCACCGGGGAGGGTCAGAGGCCAGCAGGGGTGACCGACCCCCAGAAGAGAGTCTGAGGCCAGCAGGGGTGACTGACCCACAAGAGAGCCTGACCAGTACCGGGTGACTTGCCCCCAGGAAAGCCTGACCAGCACATGGTGACTGACCCACAGGAGAGTCTGAGGCCAGCAGGGGTGACTGACCCACAGGGGAGAGTCTGAGGCTGTCAGAGGTGACTGAATGACCCCCAGAAGAGAGTCTGAGGCCAGCAGGGTGACTGACCTGGCCAGGGTACTGCCGGCAGGGGTACCTCAGGCCTCCCACCCGCTTCCCCCACAGGTGCGGAGATGAGAAGGGGGTGCTGCACTGGAGCTCAGGGCTTCTGCAGTAGCCAGAGAAGCTTCCGTGACCAATGTCCTGGCAAGGAGTCTCCCAGGGACGCTAGCATGATGCCTGGTGCGGGACCTGGTGTGCTCAGGGGCTGCTCTGGGAGGAGGGCCCAGCTCTGTGGGGCCTTGATTCGTTCCCACGTGCTGGAGAGCATCAGATTAACGGGAACACGAGGGCCCAGGAGCAGCCAAAGTCCCAGACAGCACCCAGGTTTGGCCCAGCCTCCAGAACATTCTCTTCCACTGTGGGGTCCTCCTGTGTGACATTTGGGGCAGGAATGTTCCCCTCGCACCCCCCATCTCTGCAGCAGGGGGGCCCCGGTCCCAGCTCTCCCATGGACTGGTCTGGTCCAGGACACGGCTAGGCCCGCTTCCTGAGAACTGTCTGCTGCCCACGTTCAGGACGTGGCTAGGCCCAGGCCCATGGAGCCGTCACACGCTTGCGCTCAGGAATGACTCCCAGGAGCCAGCCCCTCCACACCCCCAGGCTGCTGGCATGTGCGGGTGCCCCCCAGCTGGTGGGAGAATTACAACATTTTCCTTCCCAGGAGCCCTAAGACTCTGCCCCACAAGGAGCCTGGGCACCCCTGTGTCCTGCTACCTGGAAAGCATGGGCCCAGGAACCGAGCTCAGGCAGCATTCTGGTGCCATTGGCCATGGCCTTGCCTTGTAGGCAGGAGTCCCGGGGCCTCCTAGACCCTGGTCCTCTGCAGCCCCGGACCCCCCAGGCCCCACCCAGTCACCCAAGCTCCCACCCTGGCACCCTGCAGCGGACAGCTGGCACCCCACAGATGTGAAATCACTGGCCTCCATGCCAAGGACAGAAGCAAGGGCCGAGGTGGGCCCTGCCGCCTGTCAGAGGGCCAAGCCCACACCAGGCCCCTTCGCACGAGAGAGGCGTCTGTGGCCTTTTCTCGGGCCCAGGGAAGCACGCTCAGGAGGGCCCGGGGCGAACATCAAGGCCCAGCCTCTCGCCCCCAACCTGCCACCCTACCAAGGTGTCCACGGACACACGGGGAAGGCGCTGCATGGCCACAGCGCAGTCTACACATGCCGTGTCCCAGCAGAGTAGCGAGGGGCTGCATCCACAGGGGAAGGGCCAGCCCCGGGCGGCAGCGGGACGGGCATTCGGGGAGACTGCGCAGCACTGTGCCGGCCTGGGTGCCCGCAGCCCTCGAACCCCAAGCAGCCTGGCCACAGCGCCCGGCCCTTGGGACCGGCATGTGGCCAGAAGCACCCGGACACGAAGTCTGGGCAAGCAGGGCAGCTTCTGCCAGGCCCCACACGTCCTCGCCCCGCCTGGAGCTCAGCCATCCCTGCAAGCACGGGCCTCGGGGCACACACAGGCAGCATGGAGGGAGGGGTGGGGGGAGGCAGTCCTCCGGCCCCCGGTGCAGGACTGGAGCATGCATGGGTGCAGAGGTGCCAGCATGCTCCGCCCCGGGGGCCGCCAGTCACGCGGCCCCTCCCCATGCCTGCTGCGGCGCCAGCGTGTCCAGGGCCAGCGCGACGCATGCACACGGTGAAGGGCGGTGCCACCGGCACGGCCCGGGGCCGCACCGTGGGGGGAGGGAGGGGCCCAGAGCAAGCAGGACAGACGCTTCCACACACCCGACAGCAGGGCAGGGCGGGGAGGGACACGGTGGCGCCCGCACGGCCCGAGCCGGGCCTGTGGGGACGGGGAGCCCAGCACACGGCTCGGGGGAGCTGTCCTGGGGCGCACGGCAGCGGAGCTGGGTGAGCGAGACCCCGGGAGGGGGCGGCGCCGGTGCCCGTTCTGGGCCTCAGAGCCCCCGACCAGCCCCTCCTGCTTCTGCATCGTTTGGTTGGGCTGGGGGGCGCGGGCACGACCGCCACTGCCCAGCTTCGCCAATCGGAATTGGGGGCCGGGCCGGGGTGGGCTGGTCTAGATCGTCCCAGAAGCAGGCGTGTGTGGGGGGAGGCAGGGCGAGCGTGCAGCATGGCCGTCGGGCGACAGGACGCGGTACCTAGAGTGTCCAGGGCAGCATCCACACAGGGACTCTCTGCACGGCCTGCCTGGACTGGAAACGAGGAGAACAGTTAGTGCCGGCGCCGCGCAGGACGCGGCCGCAGAGCCGGGCGGTGGGGGACAGGGCACGGAGACCGGGCACCGTGCCGGGGGGTGGGTGGCTCCCGGCCTCCCCCGGCCTGGGAAAGAAAACAGCCCCTATTTTTGGAGAAAGAGATTCCACGTTTCCTCCAAAAATGCCTTTTCTTTCCAGAGTCAGCATCTGGGGCCCCGTGTTCCACGCCGTATTATTTTTTGCCATGTTCATGCCAACAAGAAAATAATACGTGGGCTGCGGCCCTGCAAAGGCTGCGGCAGCGGCGCCAGGCTCAGGAAGCACATTTCGGGGGCCGAAATGTGCAGCTGGGGTCACAAAGCACCTGCGGCTTCCCGAAGCCCAGCCCGCCGCCGGCCCCCTCGGAAGCTCGCCCGGGAAGGAGGCCATGGTCGCCCTGGCCAGGCCGGGCAGGGCTTGAGGCTCGATCGGGTCTCCCGCGGAGAGCCCGCCGGCAGGAAGCCCCTAGGGAACGGCCCCCCGCGTCTCCGCCGCGTCTCTTCCAGAGCAAAGACCACCCGAACGGGCACCGGCGGCTCCTCAGCCACGGCGCCGAGACAGCGCTCCCACACCGCCCAGAAGCGCCGATGGTCTGACGCACGGACACCAGCCCCACCGGAAGTCACAGCTGCACGGCCACGCAAGGCTGGGCTGCTGCTGCGGCCAGGGTCAGGTGCCTGCCACACTCAGGACACACTGGGCCGGGCCGAGCCCTGCACCGTCTCGCCTGAGGCAGCCTCGCTGCAGCTCAGGAGCCAAACCCCCCCAGCCGTCGCACAGCAGACAAGGTCCAACCTGCAGCACCTTCCCTGTGGAGAGTGGAGAGGTGGTCCGGTCCTGCCTGGTCCCCAGGTCAGCTTTGCTGCACCACACCTGTCCCCAGCAGGTGCCAGGGCCCAAGGCGGAGAGAGACACGAAGCCAGCGTCATTGTGACGACAGGAAACCGGTCACTCCACACCAGCGGCGAGAGCCGGGATCTGAGCTGCAGGGGGCACGCGGCGCACAGACCCGCCGCAGCCCCAGAAGTCAGGCCGGCAAAGGGGACAGGTGCTGGCAGGCGTCACAGCCCGCGTCTGCAGTGTGCCCTCCTGACAACAGGAGCCCCCAAGTGGGGGAGCCTCCAGCACAGGGGGAGGCGGGAAGGTGTGGGATGAAGGACAGGCACACCCAGAGAAGCCTCACCCTGACACTGCGCCGACACCAGCACAACCATCTGCCCGAGCTGGGGCCCCAGGAATCGCCGGGCGTTGCCCACCCTGAGCCCGGACCAGAGGCCAAGCGAGCGACCTGTCCTACACCCAGCCGACCCGAAATGCCAGCGGTATCAGACCACGCGCCTCTTTCCTCCCTGGTGACAGGGATGCACCGGGGCTGCCGCTGCCCTCAGCAGGCACAGCCCGTGCTCCAGCCCAGGCCCCAGCTCCTCCCTTGGCTGGCCTTCGGAGTGGCCTGCTGCTGTCGGGCCTCGGGCAGGCGCGGACACGTGGAAGGGTCCCACTTCGGTCCTCACCGACATCCTGCTTCTGGGGCCAGCACCTGAACCCCAAAGACAGCGGACGGGAAGCAGCCCAGACAGTCACTGAAGGGTTACAGGGCGTGGGGGCAGGCAGGATTTCCAGGTGGGGGAGGACGAGAGAGGAGAGAGGGAGAAGAGAGAGGAGAGGGGCTGGAGTGATAGCACAGCGGGAGGGCGTTTGTCTTGCACGCGGCCGACCCAGGTTCGATTCCCAGCATCCCATGTGGTCCCCTGAGCACCGCCAGGAGTAACTCCTGAGTGCAGAGCCAGGAGTAACCCCGGTGCATCGCTGGGTGTGACCCCAAAAGCAAAAAATAAAAAATTAAAAAAGAGAGGGCGAGAGAGGGGCAGAGAGAGGAGAGAGGAGAGAGGAGAAAGGGAGAGAGCATGAGACAGAGAAGAGAGAGGAAGAGGGAGACAGGGAGGGAGACAGGGGAGGGGGAGGCTGCAAAGGAAACTCTGGGTGGGCGGGTGGGCAAGTGACCTCAGGCCTGAAGGCCTCAGTCAGCAGCGGGGCGGGAGGGTGCGTGGGTGCTTGCTGTCCCTCGGGCTCAGGTGCCTGCCAGGGTGGGCAAAGGGGCCCCCACAGGCTCAGAGAGCCTCCTGAGGCTGAGCGATCTGGGCTCTCCCGGTCCCCACGAGCCAGTCCAGCCTGGCCACAGCCCACCCTTGGGGTGTCTGCTCTCAGCCAGGGGGTAGAGGAGTGTGTCCTGTAACGGGGTCGGGATCCGCCAAAGTCCACCCATGGTTCCGGCCCCAGCCTGGATGGGGTGGGTACCCCGGTGCTCAGCTGGTCACGGGGGATGGGGAGACAGGCGTGAGCGTCCCCCATCCTGGGGACAGCTACAGACCGGAGGCCTCACTGACCCTCCCCCACCACAGGGCACCAGCCCCGCCTGAGGGGCTGGGTGCTAAGCAGGAGGGCGCCTGCACTCATGGTGGGAGCCCACGACACCGGACCCGCAGCAGAGCCCGAGCACGGTGGGGCAGAGAAGAGAGGAAAAGTGATTTAAGGACCACATCACCATAAAGTTCCACACGAGAGCCCCCACAGCCCTCGGGTCCCCGGAACACGCGTGCGCAGACATGGAGGGAGCAGACCGGACACCGGACACCAACTCTGCACACGGGCCCCAGGCACTGACCTTGGGGAAGGCTCCGGCTGTGGCTCCTTCCTTCAAACAGAAGTGAAAGACCGTTAGCAGCACCCATGCCAACTGGGCACCCTCCCCCTGAGCCCACACTTCCACATGCACCCACACTCACGCACACAGAGCCCCACTCCACACAAACACTCAAACAGGCCCGTTTCCTTGCTGGCCTGGTACTGAAGCCACCCACACCCACACCCACACCCACCTCACAGTCCCATCCCTTCCCACACATAGACCCACTTGTGCCACTCACAGTCACACACCCACACACCGTCACACCCACATAAGTCACATCTACGCGTCACGGTGAGCGGAAGCCTCCATTCTGGAAACCCCTCTGCCAGAAGGGCCACCCTGGCCCTGTGCCGCCCCATTCCGTGACGGCCCCGGGCCCTGGGACAGCCTCAAGGGCAAGGCCTCCTCCTCCACACGGTGATGCTCAGGGTCCTGCCCACCCACTGCACAGGTCTGGGGCCCCTTTGAGAAGCCAGAATGGCAGGGCTGGGCGCTTCCACCCCTGCCCCACCTCTGAGGAGCAACAGGGAACACACGAGCCCCAGGCCAGCACTGAGAAGCCTCTGCCCCCCCCATGACCTGAAGGTGAGCGGGACCCTCTGCCCCACCCCCCTCCCCGTCTCCCCTGCACGCCCCCTCGCTCCTGACCTGAAGGCGAGTCCAGACTTGCTCTTGAGGTTCCGGAGCAGCTCCAGCTGGTTGAGCGGAGGAATCAGTCTGCGGCGAGAGGGCAAGGGGTGAGCACAGCAGGGCGGGACCGCTCTGGAGCAAGGCGGACCCGTTTCCTGGGCTGGCTCCTCTCCCCCGTCGCTGCACTGCAGCCAGGCCCGGCCCGGGGGGCCTGCCCCCACAGCAGAGAGGAGCTGTGTGTGGACACTTGTGGAGCCCGGCCCGCTCTCAGCCCCCCTTCTCAGACATCCCTGAGAGCCAGTGTGGCCACAGTCATAGTGCCCAGGCCCCTCTCTGCAGAGCCACTGTCCTCCAGAGCCCAGCAGAGCAGCCCTGTGCATCTGCGGGGGAGCTCTTGCCTACTAGAGAAGCCGGGACCCTCACAGTCCGGCTCCGCTCATGCCATCAGGGCCCCTCACTGCACTTCCCACTCTGAGCAGAACTCCAGGGACGTGGCCTGTCCCAGCCTGAGGGCAGGGTAATCCTCTGCAAACTTTGAGGCAGGAGGCCTGCAGCCCCTGCCATTCTTTTATTTTATTTTTTTGACTTTTGGGTCACAACCCAGCAATGCTCAGGGGTCACTCCTGGCTCTGCACTCAGGAACCACTCGAGGGCCATATGGGACGCCGGGGATCGAACCCGGGTCAGCTGCGTGCAAGGCAAACGCCCTACCCGCTGTGCTATCGCTCCGGCCCCAGCCCTGCCATTCTTACCTCCCCTTTGAAGCAGGAAACGTCCCTCAGCCATGGGGCCAGGCCCAGCCTTCTCTGCCTGCCCTGCTGAGTCCCAAACGCTCCTCAAACCCAAGCTAAGACACCCGGACCCAGCCCTGGCCTGAGCTCTGCCCCTGCCCTGCCCTTCTGAGCCTGGGCCTGCTCTTCCAGGGACGGCTCAGCCCTCTCTGGCCTCCTGGGGGCCTCTCTCCAGGCCAGCCCCTCGCCCACCCAGGCCCAGAGCCACCCCCTCCTCATCCTTCAGTTCTGTCCTGCCTCTCGCCATATGCTGTGCTCACACTCCATCCCTTGCACCCCAGCAGATGTGGCGCCTGGTCCCTCTGCAGCCCAGCAGCGCCTGGTCCCCCGAACTCGAGAAGCACCGGTGGCAAGCCTCGCCCCTCGTCCAGGCTGGCCCCTGTCCTGGGGTGACTGTGGTAGCAGACACGGTCCTGCCCAGGCACAGCAGTGCCCAGGACAGGGCATTGGACAGGAATGGCCTTGTCCCTCCTGAATCCCCCATGGGCCCTGGAACAGAGACCCAAAGCCACACTTCCCTGTGCCCACCCCCCCACAAATCCAGGGTTCAGGACATGGATGACAGCCCTCAGCCAGACGGGGCGGCATGCCTGGGACAGAGGAGCAGTGGAGAGAGCTGCTGTGTGCACACCACATCTGTGAGGCCATACACATCTGCCCTGCAACTTCCCGGGGGCCCACGGGGAGAACCGAGGTGGAGCTGGGGTCAGCCAGACTCAGAAGAACGACCCCAGCCCCCGGACTCGGGAGGGGGCTCTTTCCATGATGAGCAGCCTGGGGAGCCTGGACGAGTCACCCAGGTCCAGAGGAGCCTTTCAGTGCCTGAGCGTCTGGCCCCAGGCGAGCTGCCCCCCACCGTGGCTTCTGGGGTCTATGAGGTCTCGGCAGCAGCAGGAGACCGTGCAGGGGAGCCTGGCCTCACACGGTCCATCCAGCATTGCAGCCGGTCCTGTCGCTGGGCAGAGGGCGCCCCTGTCTCTGCACTGTGGGAGGGGGCACTGTCTGGTGGTGCTCAGAGCCCCCATCTCAGCGAACGGCACAGTGACGACCAGAGGCCCACAGGGGACCCGGTGCAAGCGGGACCCAGGGGAAACTGGCTGGGGATGCCCTGGGCCCCCACTTCCACCACCCTTGAGCTGCTTAAGGGAGCTGTAGAGGGGTCAGAGGCAGGTCAGGGCACTGGCAGCGGAGGGACACGGCAGGGAGCAGGAGGAACAAGGCCACCCGGGACGGACAGATCGAGCACATGAGCAGCAGCTGAGGGGCTGTGAGAGGGACGGGGGACACAGGTGAGCAAGTAGCTCCAGGCGGGAGGGGGTCACAGGTGACAAGGAAGGCCTGACGTCTGGGGGGCGCACAGGAGGGGCAGGAGTGCAGGGCTGGACTGGGCCAGGACCAGGGTGCGGTCACCTGGCCGACGGGAGACCACGCCACACACACACTCGCCATGCAGCTCCTACCTGGACGCCCCGTAGGTTTGAGGTTGCGAGCTTTCAGGGGTTCCACACACACACAAAGGGGAAAGAACGGAAAATTAAAGAGAACAGGAAAGAGGGAAAACAAAGGAACAAAGAAAATTAGCATGAGGCCTGGTCTGGCCTGTGCCTTGGACCCAGGCCAGAGCCTCAGCACTGCCAGAACTGGTGAGGCGAATGGAGGCCCCTCCCCAGGGCTCCCTCATTCTGGCCCGCAGGACCCGGGCCCAGAGAATCCAGCCCTGGACCTGGGAGCAGGGGCAGACACCCCGGCGGGGTAGTGGCATGGACAGGGCGGTCAGGGCCCAGCTTCGACGCCCCGACAGCAGGACCTTGGGAGGCTGGGCTTCCAGTCTCAGACCCTAACCTGAGGCGCCATATTCCCCCTGAAAAAATGTGAGTTGGAGCCACTGTCCCCTCCACCTCCGCCTCAGGGAGCCTGGGTGCAAGTGCTGTCCTGGGGGCAGGTACTGGGACCCTAAGGTGACCCTAGCCCTGATGCTTCACCATATCTGGGTCATGCCTTTGTGCCGAGACAGACCCTGGTCTGGTGGGAAGTTGGGACAGGTCCCCTCTCCCTCCTGAGCAAGTGGGCCACCCAGGAAGGGGCCAGAGGCATTCACCCAGGAGTTGTCTTTTCCCAAACCAGAGCACAAGGGACTGCAAAGAGCAGAAAGCAAGGGTGAGAGGGGGAAACGCCGTTAAAAAAATCGCCAATGAACGCTGCAAGGGAGGCAAGAATCACACAGAACTCCCCCAGAAGGTGCGTTGGCACAGGAAACAAAGAAACAAAACTCAGTCAGAAGAGAAGGACAAACGTGCAGGTGCCTGCGTACCTGTACATGGGCACCGTCACCGTGCGCTCGTAGTACTGCCACGTGGAGTGCAAGTCAGTGCGCGACAGATTGGTGGCATAGAACCTCCAGGCCGACTGCAGAGGAAGGAGGGGTCAGTGGAGCAGGATGGAGACAAGGAGACTCAGAGCCACCTCCAAGATGACCACGGTGCAGTCCGACCTTACCTTCAGTGAGGCCTGCCCGAGATGGCCCCGCCCTTACCAGCCCTGGCTCCCAGGTGCCCTGTCCCCTTGATAGTTCTGCCCACCCCATTCCTCTCCCAGCCACTATGCCCCGACCTGGAAGCCCCATAGGTTTGAGGTTGCAAGCTTTCAAGGGTTTCCCCCAATACCTAGTACTAGGCCTATGTGATCTGGGTATCTATGTCAGCTCACCTGGCCTCAGTTTACCATCTGTGGAATGGCTATGCATGGTCAGCCAGTAGCTGGCAGAATCTGGAGAGAGCATGTGTCAAGACAATACGCCTGAGCTATTTGGGTCATACCTGGTGATACTCAGGGGTTACTTCTAGCTCTGCACTCAGGAATTAATTACTCCTGGCAGTGCTCGGGGAACCACATGGGTGCCGGGATCAAACCCTGGTCGGATGCAGCCAATGTCCTACCCGCTGTGCTACTGATTCGGCCCCAGGCCTGAGTTTTATCCTTCAACTCCTTGTTTCTTGGCAGTGGTCCTGTCACCCTCAAATGCCTAGGATGTGGCTCTGTGTCCTGCTACTTCAGACGCTGGAGAGCAAGTCCCACTCGGGCTCCAGTTCCCTGCTGGTGCTTGTTTGGGGGCCACACTAGCTGCACTCAGAGCCACTGGCAGGGCTCCAGGGGCCATAGGCAGTGCCAGGCATTGGTCTGCCTTACCACGAGCCACATTTCCTGTCCTCACTTTTTCTTTTTTTGGTAAAATGTCAGGCCACACCACTTCAGAGGCACTAGTCACTTCTACTTGTGTAACCCTCTCCATAGTTTCTTATCACCTCACAAGGAAGCCTCCAATATACCTGGTTAAGCAGCGCCCCCCTCCTCTCTCCTCCCTGGGCCTGGCTTGGCAAGTTCTGCTTTAGTCTCTGGATTTCTGGTTCTGGGTATTTCCTGTACATGGAATCCAACAACCAGAGGCCTTTGGAGTCTGGCTTCTTCACGTGGCCAGTTTTCCAGATCCATTCACTGTGCAATTTCCTTCTTCCATAGCTGAATGATGGTCTAGGTGGAGAACGGGCCCTACCTAGTTTATGCGTCCAGCCACAAGATGGACACTTGGGAGGTGTCCCTGCCTATTTTAAGCGGTGAGTGAGCTGCTACACATTCATGCAGTCATTTGCATTTGCAACGTTGAACTTTTTGAGGACCCACCAGACTTCGATTTTTTTTAATGTAGGAGAACTGCTATTTATTCAGCCACGGATTAGCTGATTAAATTCCCACCAGACTTTTAGAGTGACAGCACTATTTTACAATCCCATTGTGCTTGAGGTTTATTATTTTTCCACATCCTCACCAGCTCTCTTTTGTTTTCTGAAGTTAGTCCAGGGGATATAAGGGCTTTTTCTCATTGTGGGTTGAATCTGCATTTTTCCCAGTGATGAGTGTTGTTGAGCATTTTCATGTGCTAATGGCCATCTGTGCTCTCCCAAATTCTTTGCCCATTTCCAAACTGGGCTCTTTGTCTTTTTGTTGTGAAGCTACAGGAATCCTTTGTATTTGTGGGATAGCAGAGTTTTAGAAAATTTAAGACTGGCAATTATTGTTTATTTATGCACAAAAGTTTTCAATTTTGATAAATTTCTGTTATCTCTTCCCTTTGTTGCCTGCTGCCCATGTTTTTGGTATCCTATTTAAGAAACCAAGGTCAGGAGCTGGAGGGAGAGTACAGCGGGTAGGGCGTTTGCCTTGCACGCGGCCGACCCAGGTTCGATTCCACATGGACCATCTTATATGGTCTCCCAAGCACCACCAAGATTAATTCCTGAGTGCAAAGCCAGGAGTAACCCCTGTGCATCGGTGGGTGTGACCCCCCCCAAAAAAAGAAATGAAGGTCATACACGCTTAGATCTGTTTTATTCTAAGACTTGTATATGCTATTAGTTCTTTGACACTTGAACTTTTGATTCACTGGAATTAATTCTGCATGTGGTGTGAGGTAAAGGTCAAATCTCCTTTTGACTGGTCAATGGTTGGAAGCTTGCCACAAGAGTGTGAGAAGGGGGAAAGGCAGTTAGGAGAGAGAAGTGACCAGTATGACAATAATAGTTGGAGATGATCATTTTGAACAGGAACTGAGTGTTGAAAGCAGGTAAAAGGATATACCTGATGAGAGAGAGAGAGAGAGAGAGAGAAGAAGAAGAAGGAGAAGGAGGAGGAGGAGGAAGAAGAAGAAGAACAACAACAACAGCAACAAGAACAAGAACAAGAGTGTTTGCCACAGAGGCAGATAGCAGGGTGGGAGGGAAACTGGGGGCACTGGTGGTGGGAAATGTATACACTGGTGAATGAATGGGCGTTAGAAAATTATATGACTAAAACCCAGTCACGAACAACTTTGTAACTGTGTATCTCACTGTGATTCAATTAAATTTTTTTAAAAAGTAAATTAAATTAAATTAAAAAAAAAAACTCCTTTTGAAGTAGACACCAAGTGTCCCAGAGCTCCTGGGTTTTGGGTTGTTTTGTTTTGTGGCCACACCAGGCAGTGCTCAGGCCTTAATCCTGGCTCTGGGCTCAGGGAACACTTCTAGTGGGCTCAAGGGACCATACAGAGCACTGTGAATGGAACCTGGGTGGGCCACATGCAAGGCCAGTACCCTAGTGCTGTACCATCACTCTGGCCCCACAGAGCTCTGGCTGTCATAGTTCTTTCCCCACAGGATGGACATGGCAACCTTATGCTGAAGTCTAACAGTGGGCTTTTCTGGAGGAAACTCCACGTGCACTTGAGAGACTGTACAGTGACAAGGAGTATTTCAGAGAGGTCTGTGGTCTGGTGGGTTCACAATGCTGCTCCAGTCCTCTTATGATCTGCATATGGTGTCCTATTCCTTATTTAATTGCAGCTTCTGTGCAAAGGTCTATTTCTTCTTTTGGTTCAGTACACTGCTTTTCTGTATGTTGCTGGGATTCTACTTTTATACGAGTTTTGAATTGGCCTTTCTTCCTAATGTGCAGAATATCTTGGGGGGAGTTAGTTAGGCTACATCCAGCTGTGCTCAGGGCTTACTCCTGGCAGGGCTTGGGGGTGATATGGGGTGCTAGGGATCAAATTCGGGTCAGCCACATGAAGGCCAGTTGCAGTGTTACCACTCTAGCCCCTTTCCATTCATTTTAACCTATTGTCTCAGGATCCAAAACGAGTTTCTTACAGATGTCACGCAGTAGGGTAATCCCCTCTTCCAACTCCAGCCTTCTGACTAGAGAGTTGAATACACTAACATCTAAAGTAACTATAGAGAAGGATAAGCTTCGGCTTGTCTCAGTCCCCCCTGCCCCCGCCCCACTGCCGTCTTTGGTGCTTAATTCGCTGTTTCTACTACACACATCCACTCCCCCTCTCCTTTTCTGGATTTTACATTGTTTTCTTCTCCTCCTCCCCACTCCACCCCACTCCCCTTTCTGCTGCTGCTGTAATGTCCAGAGCCCACACACCCAGTCATGGCACTCACACACCAGCTGCAGTGCATGCACACAGCCCACTACGGCACTCACCAGGGCTCACACAACTGCTACAGTCTGAAGAGTAATACAGAGCAGCGTGGAGAAAGTGCCAGGGATTAAACCCACATTCCCAAATAAGCAAAGCAGGCATTCCACCAAGAGCGTCACATCCTAGGTTCCAAGTTATTTTTTTTTAATGATTACCCAGGCCTCACAATTATCATTTTAAATTTATAATTCTAAGGACTGGGAGAGGGCTCAGTGGTTTTTTTTTCTTTTGGGGTCACATTCAGCAATGCACGGGGTTACTCCTGGCTCGGTACTCAGGAATTACCCCTGGCAGCACTGAGGGTACCATATGGGATGCTGGGGATCGAACCCGGGTTGGCTGCGTACAAGGAAAATGCCCTCTCCACTGTGCTATCGCTCCGGTCCCAGCACAGTGGTTTAAAGCACCTTCCCAGCAAGCACAGGCTCCAAGTTCAGATCCCAGTTCCTCCTACAAGCACTGAGGTGATCCTGACCATGCTGTGAAGAGTTTCTAGTAAAAAGGGGCTGGAAGATAGCTCAAGGCTTAAGAAGCACCCAGCCAATCATGAGTCCTGAGCTTAACTCCCAACATCAAGCACAGATTAAGGTGATTCTGCATTTTTAAAATTTTTGCTTTTTGGGTCACACCCGGCGATGCTCACGGGTTACTCCTGGCTTTGCAGTCAGGAATTACTCCTGCTGGTGCTTGGAGGACCATATGGGATGCCAGAGATCGAACCTGGGTCGGTCGCGTGCAAGGCAAATGCCCTACCTACTGTACTATCGCTCCTGCCCCGATTAAGGTGATTCTGAATACCCCATGGTCAGGGTCTTCAGTGAAAGAAAAAAAAATAAACATATAACAATCTAGTTTGAATTAACAGCAACTTAGATTCAATAGCAGATAAAAAATTCTGCTCCTTTAAAGACTGCCTACCTTATGTTTTTAACACCATCACTATAGCATTGTCCTCCCATTGTCCATCGATTTGCTCGAGCGGGCACCAGAAACGTCTCCATTGTGAGACTTGTTGTTACTGTTTTTGGCATATCGAATACGCCACGGGAGCTTGCCAGGCTCAGCTGTGCGGGCAGGATACTCTCAGTAGTTTGCTGGGCTCTCCAAGAGGGACGGAGGAATAGAACCCGGGTCAGCCACGTGCAAGGCAAATGCCCTGAATTATATCTTTGTATGTTATATGCCCAGAAGATAGCTTTAAAATTATTTCTTATGCATTTGTCTTCAAGTCAGATGGGGTAAGAAAGAGGTACAAACCAAAATACACTACAGCTTCTTCTGAGAAAAACTATGACCACACTGAGTCTGCACCCCGCCTTGCTCCCAAGACAGGGCCTTCTAAGTACTTTGTACCAGTCCTCTGTCCCCTGCCTGGTACCCTTCTAAGCCTGTTTCTTTCAGGTTTTTCCTTTTTTCTGGAGCTGGTCCTATCTGCTACTCCTATCTCACACCACTCCCTCACATTTAGCGGCCAACCCGGGTTCGATCCCCAGCATCCCATATGGTACCCTCAGTGCTGCCAGGGGTAATTCCTGAGTACAGAGCCAGGAGTAACCCTGTGCATTGCTGAATGTGACCCAAAAAGAAAAAAAAAACACTGAGCCCTCTCCCAGTCCTTATAATTATAAATTTAAAATGAAAATTGTGAGGCCTGGGTAATCAATTAAAAAAAAAATAACTTGGAACCTAGGATGTGACACACAAGGTGATATCACCTGGCCCAGTGCAGTGCTCAGTGCTTCCTACCTCCAGCCCCCATTCCACCTGAAAGGCTCTGGTGAGCTTGTCTGGAGGGCAGGACTGCTGGCAGTGAGCACCCAACTTTGGTTCACATGGAACACTCACCTTTTGCCTCCAGTGTTCAAGGACAGTGGGTTGAGGGTACTCAGCTAACGATTTTTCCTGAGAAGAAATGTCATCCACTCTCTCTACTTTCAGCTTTCAGGGAGTCACGGTCTTCCCACAAAGCTGTCTGTGAAGAGTCATTTCTGGGGTAGTGGGAAGACTCTGGCTCTATCTCTAGGTTCCAGAAGTTTTAATAATGAGACCATGTGTGGGACTTTTGAGTCCCACACCTGGATGTAAAGAATAGGGTCTTTGCCCCCTTCATTTTATTTATTTAGGCACTGTGATTTACAGTACTCTTAATGTGTCAGGAATATCCTGCTGCTGCCCCTACCAGCCCCTTCACCATTATCTTTATGTCCCCTCACACCACTCCCTCACATTTAGCTAACTCAGTTCTAGAGGCAGATTCTCAGAACATGTTGCCATTAACCATTGTTTATTCCCTTAATATTATATACTCCGAATAGGAGACATCATTTAGTACCCGTCCTTCTATCTTTGACTTACTTCATTCAGCCTGGTGTCCTCCAGTTTCATCTAAAATGCAGTGAACTGCCGGATTTCATCTTTTCTTGTAACTAAGTAGGATCCCATTGTGTACATATACCACAACTTCTTTATCCACTTGTCTGACCTTGGACACGTGACTCGTTTCCAGATCTTGGCGACTGTGAACAGTGCAGCAGTGAGCACAGGAGTCCAATTATCTTTTAGAATTGATATTTTGAGGTTCTTGAAATAAACACCAAGAAGTGGAAGAGCTGAGTCATATGAAAACTCACTTCTTAATTTTTTCAGAAGTCTCCATACTGCTGAACCAGACATTCTCGACAGAGGATGAGGGTTCCTTTTCCCATCATTCCCCACCAGCACTGGTGGTTTCCAGTAATTTTGATGTGTGCCATCCTCATTGTCATTTTATTTTGCTTTTTCCCTGATAAGTAAAGAACATTTTTTTCATATACATACTGGCCATCTGTATAACTTCTTTAGAAAGTGTCTGTTCAGCTCTGCTCCCCATTTTTCAGATGGTGTTTTTTAGAGGTCTTTGTTTTAAATTCTGTGAGTGCCTTATAAATCTTGGACGTTAATCCTTTGTCAGATGTAAAAAAGTGATTATTTTCTCCCACAGTAAGGTGTATTTTGTTGGGGGCATGTCAATGATGGTCAGGGTCTATTCCTGACTGCACTCAGAAGTGACTCCCGGCTGTGCTCAAAGGACCATTCGTGGTGCTAGGGCTTTAAGCCAGGGCCCCGTCACCTTGGCTTCATGTAAGGCAAGTGCCTTATCTCCTAGAGCACTCTCCAGCCCAGTAGTGTGTCACTTTATAGACTAGTGGCTTTCATCAAATCTGGAGGGTTTATGAGCCCAGTTCTTCAAATATTCCTTCTGCCCCTTTCTCTCCCTCTCCTCCCATAACTCTTTGTTTCTTTCTTCCTTCGTATAAATTGGTCCACTGGGTATTCCTTCTCTCTGACGCTCATTTTTCTTTATCCTTCTGCTCCTCCAACAAGATCATTTCAACTGACCCACCTTCAACTTTGCAGGTTCCTCTTCTGCCTACTCACATTCCTGATGATGCCTACAAGCCTCCATTTCAGCTTTAGAATGTTTGGTTCTCAATACTTTATCCTTTTGTTGATACTACCCATTTGGTGAGACATTCTTCTGTTTCCCTTTCATACCACTCCGTTGATCTTTTTTGGGTAATAGAAGCACACCCAGCAGTGCTTGGGGGCTACTTCCAGATCAGTGCTCAGGATCAATTGTGGAAGTGCTCAGGGGACCAAGCAATGACAGAGATCAAATGAAGTGTGTGCTCCCGCTCACTGACCTATCTCCACACCCATCCATGAATCTTTTTCTTTCTGCATATTTATAATCATTTCTCAGTCTCTACTATGCCAGCTGCCTGGACTTTCACAGGAATACCAACAGGTTGTGCGAATGAGCAACTCTTTTCCTTACTCCAAAGCTCTGATCAGACTGAACAACTGGGGCCCTTCTGCAGCTCAGGTTCTCCTTCCTCCGGATTTACCTCCGTTGCTTGTAGGTGGCAATTGTTTCCTTGGAAAGTGTTGTAAACAACTTTGTTGGTGCTGTTGTCTCTGTTGTGCATGGTCATATAGTCTAATAGCAAGCTGGCAGTTTCCTCAAACCAGGGAACCACAAAGAAAAGGTCCAGCTCCCCTTTCTTCTGAGTTGGTGGCACCTCCATCTGGATGAGCCATTCACAGCTCTGCCTCTACCTTTTACTGCATGGAGCTCAGAGGTCAGACTGAAGCGAGAGTGGAGGTCTCTATGACCACACTGAGTCTGCACCCCGCCTTGCTCCCAGACAGGGTCTTCTAAGCACTTTGTACCAGTCCTCTGTCCCCTGCCTGGTACCCTTCTAAGCCTGTTTCTTTCAGGTTTTTCCTTTTTTTTCTGGAGCTGGTCCTATCTGCTGCTCCTTGATGCAGTGCCCATAGCAGCTTCATCTGCTTTGCAAGGATTTAGTTTGTTGGCTTTTTGTTTTGGGATCCCCCCCCCCAGCAATGCTCAGGGGCTACTCCTGGCTCTGCACTCAGGAATCACTCCTGATGACGCACGGGGGACCATACGGGATTTCGGGGATCTAATCCGGTTGGCCACATTCAAGGCAAGTGCCCTACCGACTGTACTATCTCTCCAGCCCCCTCCCTGGGAGGATTTTGATAAACATAATCGGGGAGCCCCTTCCAGTCCTGAGAACATTTCCAAATATGCACAGTGCACGTCTCCAAGACACCTAACTGCGTCTGGAAAATGAGGCGCTCTGCTCTGTCTCCAGTGCCAGCAGCTGCCCAGGATGGATGCTGCCCACCTCCTCCCCTGCCCCCACACCATGAAAGAGCTGGGAGTAGGGTGGAGGGTCGGCCGACTCCATGCTTTTCTACTGGAGCTTGTGGTGACCTTTGTGATCAGTTTTCATGTTCTCCTTTTCTGAGATATATATATATGTATATGTATATATTTTATCAACAGACCTGATGTTCTTACAGATAGCTGATATCCTGGGGTTGTCATTCAGTGACATCCAACACCCTCAAACTCTGGGGGTCCTGGAGAACTCTGGAGCCTGGCTTCTTCACCCAGCCTGTCTCTACCCACCCACTTGACACCCCACCCTCTGGGTTCCCCACATCTCTGGGCCGCAAACCCTCACATCTTTCTGCCTTCTTAGTGTGGGACCTGAATCTATCTTCTCTAAATATTTCCCCACCCTACAGACGCTCTGTCCGCTCCTCCACCTGTCCCTGCTTCATATGTGTCCCTGCCCCTTCCCACACCCTGCATGTTGTCTCTTGGATGCTGCACCTACCCTGATTTCTCTGCGCTCGTATGTCTGAGCTGTGACTATCACACACACATGCCCATCCCCATTTTCTATCAGCAAACAGCACCATCCCACAAAGTCATCAACCAAATCCTGGGGCACCTCCTCCTGCCCCTTCTTTTCTCCATCTTTGCGTCCTGTCTATCCTGTCTCCTGCCTGAGCTGCTGTGCCCTGGATTCCAAAGGGACATGAAAATCTACTAGGACCCCTTAAGTCCCGCCCTGCAGTAGGGCACCCCACAGTGACTCAGGAGCTGCCACAGTGGACAGAGCATTGCAACCCCTATGTGGCCACCTCAGTCAAAATAGTCTTGAGGGGCTGCTGGGGGCAGGGGATGAAGATCAGAGCACATGGCTGCACCCCAGGTTCACCGCACACCACAAAACCCAGAGTGAGCAGAAAGGACAGACCTGGAGCATCCATTGTGAGGACGTTGCCAGGAGGAGGCAGCCTGCCCCACCGAATTTTCCTGGGGCCCCGGGGCTAGGTGAGCCTCAGGCTCTCACACTAAATGCCCCCAGACCCCGGGGTCGAGCTCACCTGGATCAGGCCTGCCGCAGGGTTCCGTCTCTTCTCGAAGTGCTTCTGCCGGTGCTGCTCCTGCACCTTCAGGGCAAAGCCGGAGCCCAGAATACCCTGCAAGGCTCCAGGTCAGACCGCCCAGGGCACCACGACTCCCACACACCTGCACACAGCCCACCGTTTCCCTCATCTAGACCCACCCCTCAGACCCTCCCCAGAATCCCCAACTCCTCCCCTCAAACCCACCCAGGGACCCCAACATCACCTCCCCTCAACCCACCTAGGGACGCCAAACATCCCCCTCATATTCATCCAAAGACCCCAACTCCTGCCCTCAACCCACCCGGGGACCCTCAGTTCCTCCCTCAAGATCTCAAGATCCGCCCAGGGACACCCTTCTCCTCCCTTCAGACCTGCCCAGGGACCCACAACTTGTCCCTTCAGATTTGTGTGAGGGCCCCCGACAACTCCTCTCAGATAATTCAGGGACTTGCAAGCCCTCCCCAAAAATTTACCCAAGAACTTCCAACCCTCCCCTCAGGTCTATCCAGGGACTCCAACTCCGCCCACCAGATTCATCCAAAGACCCCGAACTCCCGCCTTCAGATCTACCCAGGGGCTCCCAATTCCTCCCACCAGACCGACTCGGGAACCCAAACTCCTCAGAACTGCCTGGGACCTCCAACACCTCCTCCTCATATTCTGTCAGCGGCTCCTCCCCTCAGAGCCGCCCGGGGACCCCCAACTCCTCCCCTTAGGCCCTCTTGGGGACCCCCAACTCCCCTCGGACCTGCCCAGAAACCCAACCCACCTCATCTGAGTCAGCGCGACCAGGGCGGAGTCCTGTCGCCTCAGAGCGGACTCTCCAAAGACCCCGCCCACTGCCCTCTAACCCGCCAAACCCGCCAAGCCCCGCCCACTCTCCCAACTAACCTGCCAGACCCCGCCCACTTCCTCTAACTTGTCAAACCCCGCCCACTCCCCCCAACCCGCCAGACCCCGCCCACTTCCCCCGCTAATCCGGCAGACCCCGCCCATCTCTCCTCTAACCCGCCAACTCCCTCCCACTTCCCCTCTGACCCGCCAGACTCCGCCCACCTCCCTCTGGACAGGTCAGAAACCCCGCCCACATTCGCGTAGAATGGCCCGGAGACCCCGCCCACCTCCCAGAGACCCGCCCCGGCCCTGCCCACTTCCCCGTGACTCTACGGAGACCCCTCCTGACCGGCCTTGGGGAGCCCCCACCCCACACCTGCAGTCCTAGTTCTCTGAGGACAGGCTGGGCGCGCCTGGAGGCCCCGCACTGCCCCTGGGGCCCTGGGGCCCCTGACGAGCCCTCCCTGCCCGCGGCTGGTTCCTGCAGGGTCCCAAGACTCACCGCGGGCAGGGCGAAGAAGGAGACGCCGATGAGGGTGAAGGTGGCGGCCAGCAGCCTCCCGTTCCAGGTCTGGGGGTACTTGTCCCCGTAGCCAATGGTCGTCAGGGTGATCTGGGACAGCAGTGCCACTCTGAGCCCCACAGCCCTGCTCTGGGCAGGACCCTGCCCCCACACTGGGGCTCCCCGGACAGCAGCCAGAGCTGGGGCGCACACCTGGCACCGCAGAGGCACCCCCGGCCGCCCCCGAAGCCTTCCCCGAGGCTCTGTCCCCTCCCCAGCAGGCCGGGGACCCCTCCGGGCATAGGAGAAAGGCCAGCCCCGCGCAGGGGACTGACAGGTTTGGGATGGGGGTGGCTGGGGGCGCAGGGCACCCGTGGAGGAGGGGATCCGGGCAGTGCAGGCCCGGAAACAGCCAGGCAGAGGGTGGCGGCCACCGCTGGCCCTTGAAGGCGCAGACCCCCAGTACGGCACACACTGCCAGGAGCACTGCTCCCAAGAGCCCCACAGAGCGGCTGATGCCCGCGCCCTGGCCCCCTTCCTCAGCCTGGCACGAACCATGCCATGCAGGCCGCCCCTTGGCAGACAGGGCTCTGTCCTCTCCAGTACAGAGGCCACACGCAGGCAGGCGGGAGGGAGGGAGGGAGGGCCGGCCAGGGGCTCCCCCAATCTCAGCACCGCCGGCACCACCTCCCCCCGCGCCCGAGACAAGCCCGCTGGGCCCTGGCACCCAGGCGGGAGGTGGGGCCCTGAGGGAGGATGACCAGGACTCACCAGGCCCCACCAGAGCGCGTCCGCGTAGGTGTCGAAGTGGTCGTTCTCGCCCTTCTCGGCCAGGTACACCAGGAACGAGGCCAGGATGAGGCAGAGGAAGCCAATGTACCAGGCAGTGACCAGTTCCTGCAAGACAGAGCGGCCGGGTGCAGCGCGGGGCAGGAGGACCAGCAGTGGCGCCCGAGCCCAGCGCCCTGCCCCTGCGGGCGCACCTTGCTGTGCGCGTACACCACCGAGCCCAGGAGCTTCCAGGTGCCGCCGCGCCGGTCCATGCGGATCATGCGCAGGATCTGGAGGAAGCGGAGGCTGCGCAGCGCCGAGGTGGCGAAGACGTTGCCCTGGGAGCCCGCGGCCAGCACGGCGATGGAGGCGATGAGAACCATGATGTCTGCGGGGAGGAGCGTCTGACCCGCGCGGCCCGCCCGTCCTGCCCCGCCCCCTCGGCGCCCAGCGTCCGCCCGGGCAGGTGGGCAGCGGCGCAGCCCTCGGGTGGGGCCTCACCAATCACGCAGAAGGGCTTCCGGGCGAACTTGAGCCGCCCCCTCCAGCCCCGGTACCGGCAGCAGCAGCCCGCGGCCCAGATGCGCACGAAGTACTCCACCCCGAACACCACGATGGTGACGATCTCCTGGTGGTGGGAGAGCCAGGCTGAGCCCAGGCAGCGGCAGCTCAGGACAGAGGCCGGCGGGCCTCGGGCCACCTCCTCGGACCGGCTGCCACAGCCGCCCAGTGTGGCACAGCCTCCCCGCCTGCCTGCCAGGCACGGGCGGCTGGGGGGGAGGGGAGGCCGTGGGGGCCACCAAGATGCAGCATCAGCATCAGGGGACGCTGGAAGGAGCCTGGGGTCCCGGGGAGCCTCTCGGGGCACGGCGGTGGGGGAGGGCACGGACGCCACCACGGCTCACCAGGATGTAGAGGGCACCCTCCGAGCTCTTCTCGTACTCTTTGATGGTGGAAAACACCGACAGCACGAGGCAGGAGAAGACCAGCAGGAACCTGGGGAGGGACAGGGCTGCGGTGACGGGGCCGCCTTCTGCTCCCGGGGCCTGTGGGACCTGGACTCTGCGGGCAGCACCCCCACACTCACCCGGCAGTGAGGCCATGTGGGAGGGAAGCAGTCGCGGTCCTAAACCGCAATTAATTTCCTCCTCTCATTAGTCAGTTTGTTCAATTAACATCTGGGCGTCTCCGGTGCCTCCTGCTCCCCCCGCCCCCGGAGGAAGCGGGCACCCAGTACTGCAGGAGCACCCTGCCTGAGCTGTGGGAAGGGCCCCCGACCAGCCCACCTCACCTTGCGGTGTGGGGAGCGGGGGTCTCCTGCGGCTTGCCGGGCAGGAGAGGCGACTGGGCAGAGAACCGGCAGAGGGAAGAGCCGGAGGAAAGGCCTGTCACGGGGCCCAGGGACACAACACGGGGAGCCCCAAACCATCCCGAGAGGCGCCCTAAGGCCAGCCCCCCCCCCCCCCGCTGGACAAAGCGCAGAACAAAAGGCCGGGTCCCACAGCAGGCCCAGGGGTGTCGGGTGCCCCTGATGTCATCCCAGCACAAGGCCCAGGGCAGCTCTCGGGGTCAGGGCCGGCCAGCCAGGGCCACTCTGAGCGCACAGGTCAGGCGCAGAGTGCCCTCATCACCACACACTGTGTCCCGCTCACATTGGTGCCCCAGAGACCAGGGCGCCGCCCCCCCATCCCGGCCTGGGCAAAGCGGCCACTCCCCTCACAGCTGGGCAGCCCTGCAGGCAGCAGGCACTGGACGCCCGGGACACTTGCCAGCCTGCACGGAGAGGGCCCTCTCGCCCTGCAGCCTCGAGAGTCACCGCAGGGCGCACCCCTCTCCTGGAACAAAGCGCTGCCGCCTGCTTCCCACCTCGTGTCTGGGGATCAGGCGGGGACCCCCAAGCGCCCGGGAGAGACCCCAGCGGCTCATCTCATGCTGCGCCGCAGAAAAGCGACCCCGCAGGGAGGCGGCTCGCGCTCAGCCCAGTCCTGACGCTCTTGGCGCTGGTGCGGTGGCTGGCCCACAGCGTGAGACATGCCGGACCGGGGGTCACTCCCTTCCGGCAGAGACCCCCACTCCATTGTGTGCACAGTGCAGGCGCTTCGGGGCCAGACCGCCAACGTTCTCTGGTCCCGACCCTCTGCTGCTTGCAGACTCCTTTTTTTTGGTATTTGCATTTTTTAAAAATTTTTATTAGTGAAACACCATGAGGTGCACTTGTAGACTTACAGGTTTTTGTGCCAGGATGGGAGATGCGTGCTGAAAGTAGACTATGGACTGAACATGACTGCCACTCAGTGCCTCTTTTGCAAACCACAGCACCCAAAAGGGAAGAGAGAACAAAAGGGAATGCGCTGCCACAGAGGCGGGGTGGGATGCTGGCATCAGTGGTGTGGAGAATGGGCGCTGGTGGAGGATGGGCACTCGCAGAGTCCTCGAGGCCCCTCTGCTCACACAGGCCAGGTGCCTCTCGCTCTCCCCGCGTCCAGGTGTGCTGCCTCTTGGGCGTGGGCAGCGGTGTCCCCACGGGCTGGTGGCCAGCAGGCTCCAGGGAGCTGGCAGGACGCCTGCTGGCTCAGCACACAGCCGGGGATCCCGCGTCCACATCTCCATGGGCCTCTCCAGAGACGGGGAGCCCCAGGGAGGGCAGAGGTCAGGCCTCCCGGTCCGGCCCATGACACCTGCCTCTGAGACAAAGCAGCCCCGTCACCCACGTCCGCCCTCCTGTGACCGGCCTCAGTCCAGCCCCCAGCAGCCTGAGCCCCACCCCGCTGCAGAGCCCCACCCCACAGGGCCCTGACCCCTCACACAGCGTCCCAGCCCTCTCATGGACCCCAGATCCCAGGGTCCCCAGCTCTGAGTCGCCCATCCCCCAAAGCCACTCAGACCTCTCAGTTGTGAGCCTCAGAACCTCGGCTCCTCCAGCCGGGCGGGTCCATCCTGGGTGGGGCATACCCAGGCTGTCTCCCTGGTCCTACCCAGACGGGTACCCGGCATCACGCCAGCAAGGACAGGGGCACTGGTCACTCAGCCCACACAGCTCCGGGAGCCCCCACGTGCCCGGTGGCCAGCTGCCCCCAGCCTCTGCAGGAATCCCCCCGCAGCCCTTGCCACAGGAAGGGCCGCGGGACCCTGGGTCTCGTTGCAGACGCCCCAACTCTGGCTCAGGGAGACGCAGCACTTAGCAGCTGCGGGCGAGAGACGCCGAGTGGAGCCCTCGGGTCCCCGCCAGGCCCAGCTCAGGAAGCCGCACACTGCAGAAGTCACTTCCCATCCCCGGGGGAGATCGGGGCAGAGGAAAGCCATGGGCAAGGGGGCAGCTACACCTGGAGGACAGTCCAGGCGGGCAGCCGTCCTGGGCAGGGGTTCAGCACCATGGTCAGCACGGGGGGGGGGGCGGGAGCTGGTCTCAAAGGCTGCGGCCACCCCTGCAGGGCCAGCATAGCCAGTGGGCAGTGTGACCCCGTGGCTCCCAGGGCCCCGCCTGAAGGCGACCACCCACTCCCAGGTGGGCCTGCCTCCCGCCCCAACGCTTCTCAGGAAGAAGCGGTTCCTCTCACAACCCCCTGACAGGTATCTCCAGCCTGAAGGGTCTGAGCTAGGTGAGACTGAGGCTGTGGACAGGCCCACGTGGTGGCCCCACGGCAGACCGCCAGGAGCCCCGGGAAGAACTGCAGCTGGCGTCCCACCGTGTGATCGCAGAGGGGCCTCGAGGCTGCCCCCGGCCCCCACGAGGCTCTGGAGCAAGTGCTGCTCTGGCACAGCACCGCACAGTCCTCCCGTTGCTCGAGCAGGCGCCAGTAACGTCTCCATTGTGAGACTTGTTACTGTGTTTGGCTTATTGAATACGCCACAGGGAGCTTGCCAGGCTCTGCCTGGGCTGCTCTGAGCATTCACAAAATCACTCCAAGCACTCCCCCGAATTAAAGAACTGTGTGTAGCCCCGCTGGACCGTAGGAGCACCGTGTCCTCAGACAAGGTCAGCCCAGAGCTGGGCCCTCCACACCCACAGAGGCTGCCGGCGGCCGGCCCTGCCAAAGCAGAGCAGCCGCCGCTGTGGCTACGGCTGCCGCAACGAGGAGTGCGGCCGACCTGCCTCGATCCGCAGCCCAAACAAGGGGCCCCGAGAGGGCCCAGCAGCTGGCCCATGACAGCCCCGGCCAGTGCCCTGCACGCCGAGACCCAAGGGTACTGCAGGACCGAGGGCCCAGCTGTCAGCTCTGAGGGCTGAAGGCCCCGCAGCCCACAGGGAGCCCCCAGGCAACCCGAGAAGCCCCTATCCCCGGGCTGCCTCCCTGACCAGGCCCTGCAGGATGCTCGGGCAAGGGGAGGCTTGCTCCTTCCCATGAACACAGTGCCCTCCCGGCAAGGGAACCTGGGGCGTCTGGAGCTGCACGCAGTCTCGGCCCCAGTGGGTGATGCACTGAGGGGCCGCCGCAGGAAGAGGCGCCCACCGGAATGGGCCCACACCAGGGTGCTCACCACCACACATAGGCGCCGCCTGCAGCCTGGCCTGGGCTCATCAGTGCCCCAGCGGCAGCCGGCTCCCCTCCCCTCCCCCTCCTCCCCCATCTCCTGCTCTCTAACTCCTGCTCCTCCATCTCCTCCTCCTCCATCTCCTCCTCCTCCATCTCTTCCTCCCCATCTCCTGCTCCTCCATCTCCTGCTCCTCCATCTCCTCCTCCTCCATCTCTTCCTCCCCATCTCCTGCTCCTCCATCTCCTCCTCCTCCATCTCCTCCTCCTCCATCTCTTCCTCCCCATCTCCTGCTCCTCCATCTCCTGCTCCTCCTCCTCCCCCCCATCTCCTGCTCCTCCATCTCCTCTTCCCCATCTCCTGCTCCTTTGCCTCTCCAAATATTTCTGGCAGTTCCCTCCTTGTTCACAATATCATTGGCAGCTTCACCCTGTGATGCTCAGGGCTCATCTGGGCCACACCTCATGGCGCTGGGTGCCACATATTGAGTTCAGGGTCTCTTGTGTCCCAGTCTGAGCTCTGCCACTTGAGCCCATCGCCACTCCATGCACTGTCTCTGGGCCCCAAGTCCAAACCAGAGCTGTGTGTATGGTGAAAGGTGGGTGTTGGGATGCTGGAGGGTGTGCCAGGAGGCTGGGGAAGCTGGGAGGCTGGGAGGATGGGAGGATGGGAGGCTGGGAGGCCGGGAGGATGGGAGGATGGGAGGCTGGGAGGCCGGGAGGATGGGAGGATGGGAGGCTGGGAGGATGGGAGGCTGGGAGGATGGGAGGCTGGGAGGCTGGGAGGCCGGGAGGATGGGAGGATGGGAGGCTGGGAGGCCAGGAGGCTGGAAGGCTGGGAGGATGGAAGGATGGGAAGCCGGGAGGCTGGGAGGCCGGGAGGATGGGAGACTGGGAGGCTGGGAGGATGGAGGGATGGGAGGCCGGGAGGCTGGGAGGCCGGGAGGCCAGGAGGCTGGGAGGCTGAGGAGAGGTGAGCCGCTGGGGGGAAGGTGGGAGTCCAGACTGGTGCTCCTGAGCACAGCCTGTGGCGCTGCCTCCTCACAGCCGTCTGGTCTAAGCTGCCATGTCAAGGGGCCAGCCCTGCCCTCCAGCCTCCACCTGCTCAGGACCAGGACACAACCCCTCCGACACCGACCACGGCAGCCCCCTCACACCCCGCTGGGGCTGCCCAGGCAGGTCTCTCACACGTCAGCGTCGTGGGGCCCTACACGGCACCCCCTTGAGCACTCCAGACCTGCTGTGCCTCCTCCCACCCGCCCTCCTCTGGGGCGGCTCTGCCCAGGTCACGGCCTGGAAGGGCCCCACTGCCCTGCCCCTCGCTCCTTGGTGGACATGCACAGGGAGCCCGGCTACTGGTGCGGAGGGCCCCGCGGGAGACCGTGTCTGGAGGTGGAACGCGGAGAGGACACCGCAGGGCAGACCTGGGGGCTCCCCGCTTCAGAGCCTGCCGGGCAGACGTGCTCGTCTGCGGGGGCCTGTGGGGTTAGACTCCCGCCCGGCGCCCGCCGCTGCAGACCGAGTCTCCCCGGAACAGGAACTCTCACAGGCAGATTCGCCTTTTGGGGAATTTCCACAAGATTCTCCAAGTCTTCAATCAATACTGCTCCCTCCTGGGGGCCGCGGGAGGAAGCGGAGAAGCAGCCCCGGGGATCCTGCCCACAGCCCGCAGGCCTCCCCGGAGTGGGGGAGGGGGCCTTTCCCAGGAGAACACAGTGAGTGGGAACACCGCTCACCCTGACGCCTCACAAGGGCACGGCTGTGCCACACAGCCTGCGCCCAGCTCTCAACTCCAAGCCCCCGACGCTGCACCAGACTCTTGCCTCGGTTCCCCCCATGTGAAAACGGGGGAACTCAGCCTGTGAAGAAAGGTCTGAGCCTGGCACGTGGTCTGGCCACCTGAGCTGCAAGAGCTTCAGCAGAGAGGCTGGCCCCCAGCCCCGAGGGTGCCCCACGCCCTCTGACCTGCGCCTCTGCCCGGGGGTGCTGGGGGCAGCATGCCTGAACTTCCAGCCACACCACCGACCCCAGGGACACACAGGGCAGGACCCTGCGGTGTCACCTTCGGGCGGGGGCCAGCCCCATGGGGCTCGGAATCGGACAGCCTGGAGCACCCAGCACTGGGACGCCCAGACCCGGAGGGAGGGGGCTGAGACAGTCCCCACCGCCCAGGCGCATGCCAGGCGACAGCTGCGTCAGGAGACCCCCACCCCCACCGAGGCAGGACTGGGCCCCAGCGCAGAGGCTGCGCAGATGCCTGGGGGGGGCCCCCCCGAGAGGGTCCAGCAGGCCTGGGCCGGCAGGGGGCCGGAGAGGGGCTCCGCGCTGGGGAACCCAGGCCCCCCGCCCCCGCCCCCGGGACCCTGTGCGGGCAGGGAGGCCTGGGCCCTCCACCCCCGGCGCCCCCGCCCGCCCGCCCGTGGGCGCCTGCTCCGCACCGGGAGTGGGGCGGGCGGCGCGGGGGCTCGCGATCCGGGGGACCCCCGGCCGGGCGCGCGCCCCCCACGCCCCATCCCCACAAAATGGCTGAGTGGGGGGACCAGCGGCGCGTCCTTTGTCCCCGCACTCACACGTAGGCGTGGTAGATGAAGGCCCAGCCGCGCGGCCGCTCCAGCACGTTGTAGAGGAAATTCTGCAGCCTGCGGTACACGGCGTTGCGCTTGGGGGCCTTGCCCGCGCCCGCGGACGCGCGCGGCTTGCTGAGGATGCTGCCGCGCTTGGGCGCCTCGGAGCCCGCGATCAGCAGCGCGCCGTCGCGCGTGGACTCGGCGGCGCCCGCGTCCAGCCCCACGAAGCCCACCTTGAGCTTCTTCTCGCCGCCCGGGCCGGGGTACACGCCGCCGTTGCGCGACTTCTGCACCATGGTGCCGGCGGGCCGGAGCCGCGCGCCCCAGCCCCGCCGCGCCGCGCCCCGCCCGCCGCTCGGCCCGCCCCCCGTTAACCCCTCGGCGCCCGGCGCGCGCACGCGTGTACCGGCGCCGGCCGCGCGCACCCACGTGCGTGCCCACACCTGCCCGCGCGCGCGCGCCCACGCGACACATCCGTGCGCACGCCCACACGCGTGGCCGCCCGGGCGCCCGCCCGCGCGCGCGCGCACGGTCGGCTCCGAAGCGGCTGCTCCCCGGGCCGGGCCGGGCCGGGCTGCGAGGGGCCTCCCCCGCCTGCCTCCCCGCTGCTGCCCTGCCCGGCTGGCCGACAAGCCAAGGTCGGTTCAAGGGTGCCCACCCCGCCGCTCCCCTGCCCCTGCCCCGCTCTTCTCCGCTCACCTCCTCGCCGCCTCCCTAGCTGCCTCATCACCTCACCTCTTTACCACCTGATGCCTCCCCGCCTCCCCGCCTCCCCCCTTCAGCCCCTCACCTCTTCAGCCCCTCACCACCTCACCCCCTCACCTCTTCATTCCCTCCCCATCCTTCCCCTTATCCCCTCACTGTCTCATCCCTCACCACCTCACCGCCTCACCTCTTCATTTCCTCACCTCCTCACTCCCTCACCCCCTCACCATCTCACCGTCTCACCCCCTCACCTCTTCATTCCCTCCCCATCTCACCCCTTTACCACCTCACTGCCTCACCCCTCACCGCCTCACCCCCTCACCACCTCACTGCCTTACTACTTCACTGCCTGACCCCCCCACCTCTTCATTCCCTAACCAACCTTCTCCTTTATCTCCTCACTGCCTCAGCCCTCACCGTCTCACCCCTTCACCTTCTCACCTCTTCATTCCCTCACCTCCTCACTACCTCACCCTCTCACCACCTCACCTCCTCACCCCCTCACCTCTTCATTTCCTCACCATCCTTCCCCTTATCTCCTCACTGCCTCACCCCTCACCACCTCACCGCCTCACCTCCTCACCTCTTCATCCCCTAACCGTCTCACCCCTTCACCCTCTCACCACCTCACCGCCTCACCCCCTCTCCTCTTCGTTCCCTCACCATCCTTCCCCTTCACCTCCTCACTACCTCACCCCTCACCACCTCACCGCCTCACCGCCTCACCTCTTCATTCCCTCACCATCTCACCTCTTCACCTCCTCACTGCCTCACCCCCTCACCTCCTTGCTGCCTCACTGTCTCACCACCTAATCGCCTTACCACCTCACCTCCTCACCTCCCACCTCACCTCTTCACCATCCCTGGGCTCCCGCAGGCTGCCCGCCTTGGCACTGGCAGCTGAGTAGGCCAGAGGTCCGCCAGCCAGCCTGCCGGTCTCTGCCTGAGAGAGGACCGAGCATTGGTGGAGCCGTGCACCTGCGGGCCCTGTGCCCCCCGAAGGCCGCCCACGCTCGGCAGCAGGCCACCTGGGCCAGCTGAGGCAGGGTCCACTGCAAGGGAGGCACATGGCCCACACTGCAAGGGAAAGGGCCTCCCGGTCGTGAGCAGAAGCCGCCGTCGGGGCCCAGAGCCAGGCCCTGGGCAGAGGCCACGGCCCCACAGAGCACGACCTTCCCCCGGGCCCGATGCGTCTGCCACGGTCTGGCCACCCGCGTGCCCCACTGGAGTGACCCAGGCGCACTCCCAGATGAAGGAGCAGGCCAGCCGCTGTCCGTTCAGCACCACCACAAGGCTGCCTGACCGGGCACCCTCCCGCCCTCCGGGCAGCCCTGCGGCCGGGGAAGGAGCTGACTTCTCACTGGACCCCACCTTGGCGCCATGGCCTGCGTATGCCCAGGGGACTCCCCAAGCCTGGCCTGATGGGGATCCTCTAGGTGTGGTCAGTGGCATCTGGAGGCCTGAGCTGTGTAGTGACGGGGGCGGGGACGGTGGGGGAGGCTGCAGGCCACCCCCGCATGAGCGATGTGGCTCTCAGACAGCCGAGCCACACACCAGTGTCCAAGTGCTCTGTCTCTCCCCGCCCCCACTCCCCCCACGCGGGAAGAGCCAGCTCCCGTTGCTTCCGGTCTCGGCGCCTCCAGAAGCATCCAGAGCGCCAGAGACAGCCGTGCCAGAAACTCGCCATCCCGGGAAGGAGGCGGCTTCCCGGCTCTGCAGCACGGTCCAGAATCTGGACAGCAGGACGCGTCCTCCCAGGGTTCCCGCCCCTCCCCCACGGAATTTTCCGCTCCTGGGAGGGGGAGGGAGGAGGAGGAAGGGCTGTGTTTAGCCTGCTCAGAGCACTACTGTGGAGCAGGAAAGCATTGATTTTCTCCCAGGCCCTCCGTGGGAGTCAATACAAATTTAATTTATAGAGTTTCAAAAGGGGCTAGAGTAGCGCTCTCTCTCTCTCTCTCTCTCTCTCTCTCTCTCTCTCTCTCTCTCTCTCTCTCTCTCTCTCTCTCTCTCGCCAGCTCCTGGCCCACCCTCCGGCCAGGGCAGATGCAGGAAGAATGAAGAAGGCTCAGCAGCCGCGCGGCCTGGGTCTACCCCAAAGGGCAAGGAGCAGCTCAGAGGCCCCCGGCAGCGCCTGCCGTGGTTGTCGCAGGCTGACATGTCCTGTCCATGGTCACAGCTCGTCCCCGGGCAGAGGAGGGGTCCAGAGTGCTCCTGCCTCCCCTTGTCCCGCCCCTGCCCTGGCCCCCTCGTGCGTCTTCTCACCCGTGCCCTGCAACAGCTTCTCCCTCACACCACACACCGACCCTGTGGTGGTCGAGTCGCCCCCGGGCCCCTGAGGCTGCGTGACTCAGCAGACAGCCAGGCTTTGCGTGTCCCTCCGCCAGACAAGACCTGGCCAAGCCCCGGGTCAGCCCCGGAAGACTGCCTGTGTGAGAGCTGGCGTGCAGCGGGCTGCGGCTCAGGAGCGGCTGCTGGGCCAGCGGGCATGGCCACGGGAGGGGGCACGGAGACAGGCACCTCGCCAGCAGGGCGGTCAGCCGCCTGCCCACACGCCCGCCGCCGCCCGCCCAGGCTCCCAGAGCATCGTACCTGCGAGCCGGCTGTCCAGAGCTGTCTGGCCCTGCCCCTCCACACTCGGTCACTGAGGGGACAGGCTGGAAACGCTGACCAGCCAGCCAGAGACACAGGTCAGAGTCAGGGCCAGGGTGTGGGGCCATTTCCTGGGCCTGGCCCTTGGTCACTGCACACAGCCCCTCCTCTCGGCTGCACGACCTTGAGCAGGACAAGGACAAACTGCCATGCACAGCAGCTCGGCGGAGCGCTCCTCAGGGGGCCCATGGCCTCCCTCCTGCACAGCCACTGGGGGCTGCAGCATGGCCATCCCCAGCCTGGCAGACCTGTCATTTGCAACCCCAGCCTCGAGCACCAAGCCAGCCTTGAGTGAGCTGGGCGCACAGCCCGACGCCACAGTGGATGTGAGGACGTCGCAGAAGGAGCAGGGGGGGGGCGGGGAGGCGAGTATTGGTGTGCAAACCTTCCCACTGTGGAACCCTGAGCATGGTGGGTGGGACAGAGCATCACCGACGCGGACACCCTCTTCATCACGTGCCCAGATTAAAATGTAAGACGGGATGGCGGCCGGCGTGAGGCAAAGTGGGGGAGGGGGGCTTTTGCCTTGTTCGATCCCAGCACCCCACGTGGTTCCCCGAGCGTCGCTGAGAGTGATACCTGAGCACAGAACCAGGAGCAAGCCCTGAGCACCGCTGGGTGTGGCCCAAATAGCAAAAAAAGAAAAGAAAGAAAGAAAAAGAAAAAGACCCAGAGGCACCCAGATATAAGATCAGCTACCAGCGATGAGGCCCCCACACGGCCTTGGAAGGTGGGATGGGACCGTCTGCACATCTTGGCAGTTAGAAAGAAAAGAAACTGAGCCTGTAACTGCACATGGGGCAAGGCCTCAGCCCACACGGCCTTCACCCTGGGGAGACTGGCACAGGTGTGCCGAGGGGTTTCGCCCCAGCAGCAGCCCCAGGGGACAGAGCCTCGTCCTCCTTGGCTACAGGCAACTGTGACAGGGATGGGCCTAGTGATCTCTGCATTTTCCTTGTGGTGATGTGAAGTCATGACGATCTCAAAACAGAACTTAAACAGTCAGTGTTAAGTGTCCCTGCAGACAGGTGGATTTCCTGCTGACGCTCATTTCCCGAGAAAGGGCAAAGGGTCTGGGCTGTGGGGGATGCAGGGGTCGGGCCAGGGGTGAGGTCTTCAGGGCAGTGGCCACCTCCCAGGGACTCAGCACAGGGAGGGGCTGGAGACAGGGAAGACGGCAGAGAGGTGGGAAGCCGCCCCGTGAGGGAGAGGAGGGCTGTGGGAGGACCACCGCATGGGGGACAGGCCTCTCCCGAGGGGGGCTGACTCACACGCAGGGCAGCTTGCAGGGGGCCTCAACCTGGCGGGGGGCGGCGGCATGCCCAGCCCATGCCCACAGAGCTGGGCCTGTCAGTCAGAGTGGGGCACTGAGAAGGGCACGCTGGCACGAGGGTCAACTCTCAGCAGCCCCTCCAGGCGCTGGACACAGCAAAGAAAGCGGGTGCTCTGGCACCTCAAGTCCAGAATCAGCCCTGAGAAGGCCACGGCACAGGTGTCCCTCCAGAAACCAGGACCCTCCTCGGGGATGTACGCAGGCCCCCTGCCTGCTCGGAGAGGCAAGTGTGCACGAGTCCGACGGAGAAGCACCGGCGCAGAGCCCCCCGCCCCCCGGGGCCCCCGCGCGCTCCCCCAGCCTTCTCCTTGCCCTCCACTCCCCGCAGCCAGCCGTCCGCATGGCCAGGCCACTGAGCTCCTGCTGACCTCATGGAGAAGGCACACGGCCACCCCCTGCGCAGCCTGGGATGTCCCAAGAGGGGGGACTGCGCCCCCTCTGCAGGCGACGGGTGGGCTTAGCTCGGGCACTGTGGGGGCTCCCTTGCTCTGGTCACTTTCTGCCCAGTCCAGGCCCGAGCCTAGTTGGGGGGAGAGGCAGCAGACGAGTGGAGGCTGAACATTCCAGCCGCCCAGCTACCCCCCACTACCAGGACCCCAGCCTGGAACCAGGACTCCAGCCGGAACCAGGACACAGCCCAGAGCCAGGACTCGGGCCTGGAACCAGGACACAGCCCGAAACCAGGACCCCAGCCCAGAACCAAGACTCAGCCCAAAAACAGGACTCCGGCCCGAAACCAGGATACAGCCCAGAGCCAGGACCCCAGGCCAGAACCAGGACACAGCCCAGAGCAAGGACCCGGGCCTGGAACCAGGACACGGCCTAGAGCTAAGACCCCAGCCTAGAACCAGGACGCAGCCCGAAGCCAGACCCCAGCCCGGAACCAGGACACAGTCTGGAACCAGGACCCCAGCCCGAAACCAGGACACAGCCCAGAGCAAGGATACAGCCCAGAACCAGGACACAGCCCGGAGCCAGGACTCGAGCCTGGAACCAGGACACAGCCCAGAGCCAGGACCCCAGCCCAGAACCAGGACATAGCCCGGGACCAGGAGCCCAGCCCAGACACAGCCCACATGACCTCCTGGTCAGCACCAGAGGGGAGGTAGGGGCTGCCTGCAGCCACCCACAGGCACCACCCAGGAACTCAACCCTGACGCCAGCCAGCAAGTCAAATAGGGCCGCACACACATGGGCCCACACACCCGCACACACGTCACACACACGCACATTCACACCTTCATGTGTTCACACACCGTATCCACACCCATGAAAACGCATGTTCAGCCATGCAGGCATGCATTCACACGCACAGGCCCAGTCCCCAGGGCTGCAGACCCCCGCCGCAGAGCCCACAGTGGCCTGGGGCCCACGGCCACCAGCACCACACCAGCACTGGGCACTGGGCTCCCGCTGACTCATCCCCCGCCACAGAAGCGGCGGCCCCTGGGGGACTGCATGGCAGCTCCTGCTCACGGGACACGGCGTCCCTCCACGCTCAGCCTGGGTCCCCCACGTGGTCTGGGCTGCGGAGCCCATTGTCGCCTTGCACAGGGTCCCCTGCCCGGAGCTCAGGGAGTGAGGAAGGCTGCTAGGGCAGGGCCAGGGAGCAGGCGCTCTGGTCAGCACCCAGGAGGGCAGGGGAGACACGGTGCCCGGTGGTGCCTGTGGGGCTCAGGGCTGACTCGGCCCAGCTGCTGGGTGTCCGCACCCTCACACAAGCCCTGGGGACCACCACAGTGCCCATAGGCCGCTCCTCACCCTCCCCAGGGGCCCAGGGTCCAGGTGGGGAAGCAGGGGCTCACTCTGCCAGCCCCCTGCAGCCTCTGCCCCAAGAGCACGGGTGCTCCAGAGGCCAGGCCCAGCCAGCGAGCACTGGGGCCCCCCGGGTCAGCTGTGCTGGGCAGGTAAGACCCACTTCACCACACACCAGACTCGGCTAGGTCAGCAGGAAAATCCTGGGAAAAAAGCTTGTGTGCTGCCCCCCAGTGGACACTGATACTACTGCAAGTCCCATGGAACCTGGTCTGCTTGCAGCCACAGGTGTCAAGGGAGCTGGGTCCCAGAGCTTGGACTTCTTGGCCTGCTTTTGTCTCCTCACCCCAGAAAGGTCGAGATGCCACGACCCACCCAGCCATGCCTTCATCACACTCTCTACTTGTTACGGGAAGTGACCCATCCTCTCAGCCCTGGAAACAGGGACTGGGGACTCTGCAGGGTTCTAGGAGGGTCCTGGAAGTTCTGGGAATATTCTGGGAATATCTGAGGAATCTGGGAGGTTCTGGAGTAACCCTGGAAGCACTGGGGGGGGGAGTCTGGGAAGATCCGCGGGGGTCTTGGGGGATCTGCGCCCCACCCAGAAGGGCACCCACCAGGGCCGGTGCTCCCTTGAGGTGGGCAGGAGGCTGACAACACCCTGGCCGCTCTGGGAACGGGACCTCAGGGGCGATTTCACCACAGTGACGTCCACACTGAGTGTGCCAGGGGACAGCGGCCTCCTCTCCAGCAGGAGCATCTCTCCGGCTGGCTGGTGTCCTGGGCTGGCCACGTCCACACAGGACTGAGTGATCCCGGATTCAGGGGTCCAGGCCATGCTCCTGGGGGCGGGATGTGGGGTCCTGGACACAGGCTCCAGGAAAGACTGATCCCCCTGTCCTGGGGGCACCTTCCTGGGGGTCGGAGCTCTGGGACAGGGAGACATCTGTGTGCTTGAGACCCTCCCTCATCAGAGCCTGCACAAGTGCTCTCTGGGCTGCCTCCAAGCTGTGATCTCCAGGCCCCACCTCTGGGACAGGACCCAGTAGCCCCTTCCTGGCCCTGCCCGCATGGGCTCCCTGGGGCCTCAGGGCGGGGCGACGCAAATCAGCCGGGCTATGCAGTGTCCCTAGCGGGGCCCTGGGTTCTGGGGGTGGGAGGCAGCAGCTGTGCAATAAGGCTACGAGCTGCCCAGAGAGTCCCAGCACCGATGAACTGCCATGTCTCACTTTGTCCCAGCACCACGTGCGAGCTCATGGGGCGCCTCTCTGAGGCAGGACGCCGAGAGTTCCTGTGGCCCAGCACTGGTCGCTGCAGCCGCAGTTGGGAACACTGCCCCCTCCTTCAGGGGGCTCAGTGTCCCGCAGGGACTACACTGGGGTGGGGCAGCCGGACACAGCAGGCCGCTGGTGGACCCGGGGGTGCAGCTCGCCGGCCTTGCGAGGAGCCTGCGCACCATCCCTTGTGTGGGGGATCCCGGGAGGGAGGTGCAGAGGCCGCGGCTGCCTCGTGGGCGGAGAGCGCCGAGGGGGTCCCCACAAGAGCCCCTGGGGACGGGCTGCCGCCAGCAGAGACGCACACGGCTCTGGGCGCTCAGTTTATTGGTACAACGGGCACTGAGCGCGTCGGGGGCAGGACGCAGAAGCCGGGGCGGGGGGGCGCTTTTCCTCTTGAAGAACTTCCACTGGACCTTGATGGCGAGCATCCAGTCGGTGACCGAGAGCCTCTTACAAGCAGACGTGCAGACATGCGCCTGGCGCGGGGGCGGGGCGCGGGGCTGGGGGCGGGGCGCGGCGCCGCCGGGGCGGGGCGCGCCGCGGGCGCCCGCGCTTCACTTGCCCGCCTTCTGCGCCTTCTGTGCCGACTTCGTGACCTTGCCGGCGCCGCCGCTCTTCTTCTCCACGTTCTTGATGACGCCCACGGCCACCGTCTGCCGCATGTCGCGCACGGCAAAGCGGCCTGTGGGGAGGAGGCAAGTAAGGGGAGGGCCGGGCGTTGGGATGCAGCACGCAGGCGCACTTGCGCTCACAGCATCCTCCCCACCCGCCGGGATGCAGCGCGCAGGCGCACTTGCGCTCGCAGCATCCTCTCCACCCGCCGGGATGCAGCGCGCAGGCGCACTTGCGCTCGCAGCATCCTCGCCACCCGCCCGCGCAGGCGCACTTGCGCTTTGTCCCGCCCGCCGGGATGCAGCGCGCAGGCGCACTCGCGCTCACGGCATCCTCTCTGCCCTCTCGGCTTTCAGGTCGTGTGGCCGGGCGTGAGCGTCTGGAGCCTGGAAGGCGGCCTCTTTAGGTGGCCCGTACGGTGGCCCCGGGGGACTTGCTGTGTTACTGGGAGCATAAGCGTGCTGAACACTCAGCTGCATAGGGCAGCGCCCACAGTCTGCGCGCTGTCCCTGGGGGCTGCAGAGCCAGGGCCGCCATGACCCCCGCCCCAGGGCCCTTGGAACCCCTCCCCAGACTGCCCCGCAGGGTGGCGCCGGGGCCTCCCGCTGTTGGGCAGCACACCAGCAGAGCCCATGACTGCCCTCCCTCTCACACCACACAGCACTCACCGAGAGGCGGATACTGGGAGAAGCTCTCCACACACATGGGCTTTCCGGGCACCATCTCCACAATGGCTGCATCACCAGACTTGAGCGACTTGGGGTTGTCCTCCAGCTTCTTGCCTGAGCGCCGGTCAATCTTCTCCTTCAGCTCGGCGAACTTGCAGGCAATGTGGGCCGTGTGGCAGTCGATCACTGGCGAGTAGCCAGCACTGATCTGCCCGGGGTGGTTCAGAATGATGACCTGCAGGGCAGATGCGTGAGGCTGTCAGGTGGCTGGGGGGGGGGGCAGGAAGGAGAAGGGAGGTGCCAGGCAGAGGCCCTGGAGTCCTGACGAGAGGTATGGCCAGCCTCCCTCAGACTCGGCCTCCGGGATCCTCACTCAGCACTCAGGAACCTGCAGTGAGCAAATGGCCAGTGGGCACAGCCCAGCAGGGTTGAGGGAATTAGGCCTCACAGGTCGCCCTTCAATTCCTTTCAAGTAGGGCACATTTTAAATCGTGACACAGGTGGGCAGGGAAAAGGCACTGGCCTTGCCCACACTGACAGGGTTTGATCCCTGGCAGGGCCCTGCCAAGTGACCCCTGAGTGCACAGAGAGGAGCAAGCCCCGAGCACCACTGGACGTGGCCCCCAAGCCAGACAAATCATCACGAGGTGACTGAGGGGGTCAGTGATGATGAGGCAGGACCCAGAGGGCAACAGGGGGCTGCCAGGACACGGGGCCTTGGGGGAGACCGTGCCCAATAGTGCCCTCTGCCCGCCCCCCCACGTGTGTACACATGCACACACACATGCACACACAGCACACCACACATGTACATGTACACACACGTGCACTCACACATGCATACATACGCCCACATGCACGCACGCATGCACACGCTGCGGGGCTCGCCCACCTGGGAGGTGAACTGGGCGGCCTCCTGGGGCGGGTCTGCCTTGCTGTCGCCACAGACGTTGCCCCGGCGAATGTCCTTCACGGACACGTTCTTCACGTTGAAGCCCACGTTGTCCCCTGGCAGCGCCTCACTCAGCGCCTCGTGGTGCATCTCCACCGACTTCACCTCCGTGGTGATGTTCACGGGCGCGAAGGTGACCACCATGCCCGGCCGCAGGATGCCCGTCTCCACGCGGCCCACGGGCACGGTGCCGATGCCTGCAGAGGACGGACGGCCGTGAGGGGTGCGATCAAGTAGCGCCTGCTCGCCCTGCCCTCTACAGCAGCTGCTCTCCTGACTCATGGGGCCGCCTCTCCACAGAGAAACAGGGAGCAGGCCGGTGGCTGTGCCCTGCCCTCGGGGAGCCCGGCACCGCTGCCTGCACACAGGCCCCTTCCTCAGTGGGAGTGTGGGAGCCCCGCCCAGACGGGGCCTTTGGCACCTGTGTCCCCTCCCCCACCCTGTGCCCCACTTCCTGGCATGGGCTGTGGGCTGAGCTCGCTCCTGGAGGGACAACCTGGACAAATGGACAGACGGTCGCCCCCAAGAGTCAGGGAAGAGGCAGAGAGCAGCCACCGTCTCACTGGGCCCCCGGTCCGGGTCAAAGACTGGGACGGGGTTGTTCTGGGCGGCTGGTCCCTATCTAGGGGCCGTCTGGGGGCTGGGCTGGGCTGGCCCCTCACCGCCAATCTTGTACACGTCCTGCAGTGGCAGGCGCAGGGGCTTGTCGGTGGGGCGTGTGGGGGGCAGGATGGTGTCCAGCGCCTCCAGCAGGGACACGCCGCTGGCATTGCCCTCCTTGCGCTCCACCTTCCAGCCTTTGAACCACGGCATCTGTCGAGAGACAGTGGGGGCATGTGGGAGTGCAGGAGGGGCATGCCCACCGCTCCAGGCCCTTCCCCACCTCGCACCTCCACACCCAGAGACCACAGGCGCTGGGTCCCAGCTCAGGCCTGGACTTGGAGAACAGTGCCTGGCTGCCCCGAGAGGAGTGTTCCGGAACCCCAGGAACTGGGCTCGCCACACACAGGCACACAGCCCACGGCGATCCTGTGCGGGCTGCTGAGACCAGCGGGGCCAGTGACCGCCTCTGCCTCCCCGCCGCCCAGCCGCCCGCCCAGCCCTTCGTGGAGGAGGGCCTCGGGCAGTGCTGCCCCGGGCCGAGAGCCTCCTTCGAGCCGAGCTGGGGACGAGGGGTGCCGGTACTCACGTTGGGGGAGGGCTCCAGCATGTTGTCCCCGTGCCAGCCCGAGATGGGCACGAAGGGCACGGTGGCTGGGTTGTAGCCGATCTTCTTGATGTAGGCGCTGACCTCCTTGACGATCTCATCGTAGCGCTTCTCGCTGTAGCTGGGCTCCGTGGAGTCCATCTTGTTCACGCCGACGATAAGCTGCTTCACGCCCAGCGTGTAGGCCAGCAGTGCGTGCTCCCGTGTCTGCCCGTTCTTGGAGATGCCCGCCTCGAACTCGCCCACGCCGGCTGCCACGATGAGCACCGCGCAGTCGGCCTGCAGGACGGAGGTGACCCTGCTGTGCCCTCCAGCGGAGCCCCTGCGCCAGCCCGGGCCCTCCCTGCCGCCCGCCCGAGGTCAGTGCTTGGCCGGGCCGGCCCGCGAGGGCGGGGGAAGCCCACCTGTGAGGTGCCAGTGATCATGTTCTTGATGAAGTCGCGGTGGCCGGGGGCATCGATGATGGTGATGTAGTACTTGGTGGTCTCGAACTTCCAGAGGGAGATGTCGATGGTGATGCCTCGCTCCCGCTCCGCCTTCAGCTTGTCCAGCACCCAGGCGTACTTGAACGAGCCCTTGCCCATCTGCGGGAGGGGACACGGCTCAGGCTGGGGGAGTGCGCCTGGCCTGCCCGGGCCTCCCGGGACTCCCCTGGCAGAGAGACGCCGACCCCGCGTGGTGTCAAGCCAGAGAAGTCACAGAGGGAGGAGCGCGTCGGGGAAGAGGCCCAGGGATGGACGGAAGCTTCCAGCTCTTTCCACGGCAGTTCCAGGCTCCCCCCCCACACACACACTCCTCGGGAGGAGAGCAGCAGGGCTGGTGACTCTCCACGGCCACACACAGACTCCGACCTGTGGGCGCTGCCCACTCGAGGGGGCCCCAGGCAGGGTCCGACTGGACTCAGACCAGACACAGTACAAATTCCACCCCGCACCCGTCTGCGTGGAAGGAGAGCCCAGCAGTCTCTCTGGTGCCCCGTGCCCAGGGCAGGGGATGGGTGCCTGCAGTTGCACCCTCGAGCCTCCAGGCAGGGCTGCCTGCCTCCGCCCCCCCCTCCCCGGGGAGACCAGTTCGGGGGACGCCCCCTGGGCAAGCAGGTGTCAGCAGGCACCTCCAGAGTCGGGAAGCAGAGCCTGTGCGGGTGCCGGGTGCCGTCAGGGCTATTAATAGCGCTGCCCGCGGGGATGGCACAGCCACCCAGCCCAGGCCTCAGCCCGAGGTCACAGAGCCTCGGCCACCCCAGGTCTCTCGGCCCCCCAGCCCCTCCCCGTCTCCCCCAGGGCTTCACCCCCCCGTCCCCCTCCCCCACGGGGCCCCATCCCCCTGGGCCTCGCATGCAGCTAACACAGGCCGCCTGCCCACCTCAGCTGCCTCCTTCTCGAACTTCTCGATGGTCCTCTTGTCGATGCCCCCACACTTGTAGATGAGGTGGCCCGTGGTGGTGGACTTGCCCGAGTCCACATGGCCGATGACCACGATGTTGATGTGGGTCTTCTCCTTGCCCATCCTGCCCGAGGGTGGGGAGGGGCTGGCGCGGCCTGGGGACGCTCTGGCTCAGGCAAGGGGGACGCCGAGCAGCGGTCTGTGGGCAGGTGGGGGCAGCGTGGGCAGTGTGCGAGGTCGCTGGCAAGGGCGGGCACGCAGTGGAGGGGGCACGGCCCTGCCCTGGGGGCCACGCTGAGACGGGAGCCCGCCCCCCTCCGCCCAGTCGCACAGGGGGCCTGCACAGGGGGGACCTGCCTAGGGCACGACCCCCGCACCCCCCACCCAAGAGCGCCCCTGGGGGTGGCGAGGGCTGTCCCCTCCCCCACAGGGACTGCGCCATCTTCTCTCCTGCAGGCGGGCTGGCCGTGCCCACACCAGGGCCCAGAATAGCTCGGGCCCCTGGGGACACGCTCGGGTACCGGGGGGCCAGGGCTGTCGCCCCTGCTCTGTCCAGAGGTAGGACCCGGCCCCAGTGCCCGGTGCCCGCCGCCCAGGGCTCCCAGCAGACTGGGGGCAGGCCGGGGCCCTCCGGGTGGGGCACGCAGGCTGGCCCCCGTCTCTCCTCCCCCTCCCCGGCACCCCAGCCCCCGGCCCCCATCAGACCCCAGCCCTGGCCCCCCGGCCCCAGCGGCAGCGCTGGGCAGCCCCAAGGTCACGGCAGGCCCTCCCGGCCGGCCGCGCGGCCGCTTACCCGTCGTCTGGCAGAGGACAGCGCCCGCTCTCGCTCCGGCTGACGGCGACACCGCGCTGCGGCGCGGCACTGCGGTAGCGGCGGGCGGGGCGGGCGGGCGCCAGCGGGGAGGGGCTGGGCGGGACGGCCGCGCACAAAGGCGCGCGTGCCCAGAGCCTGCCGGCGGCCCGACCCTCCGGGCCAGCCTCCAGAGCCCACCGGCAGGCGGCCCCGAGGGTCCCCGAGGCACCGCCCGGAGCCCGGGCGGCCTCTCACCCTGCGCGGGGGGCTGAGGAGGGAGCCCCGTGGCGATGGAGCTGGGTCTCCTGCCCTCGCCCACCTGTCCCCGCCAGGGACTGCCTCTGCTCCCGCTGCCGCTTGGCAGGTGGTGGGGGGCCAGGAGGAGGGTCTCAGGGTCCTGCGTGAGGCCGGGGGAGAGTGTGAGGGGTGTGATGCTCTGAGGTGGGCCAGCCCCCCGCCCCCCGCAGGCAGGGAGCAAAGGGTCTGCCCATCCCCGGGGTCTCTCCTGCCCACTGCCCACACCAGGCAGTTCTGGCTGGTGTTGTCGATCCTGACCAATCGGGCAGCAATTAAAAATAACCCCTGCTGAAGGCAGGCTGGGAGGCTATATTTAATGTGCCCTCAGGCAGAAGGTGAGCCAAGGGGGGTGTGTGGGCAGGGCCCAGAACCTTCCCAGCGGACCGGGGACCCAGCCCACAGCCTCCTGGCCTGCGGGTGGGTGCTCACTTCTGCTTGCCCCCTAGATGGTCAGCACAGCCCCGTGGCACTAAGGAGCTGGCCAGGACCAGCCAGGTTGGAGCCAGGATGCCCAGAGCTGGCCACGCCCGGAACCCATGCCCACAGGAGGCCCTGGGAGGCCTCTGGGTTCCCGGGTCTCCAGGACACGCTCTGCGGGGCTGGCCACAGACCACCTGGTCACAGGGACCCACAGGTGGATGCCATCTGGACACCGGAGCCCACGGGGCATTTGCGGAGCCAAGGGCAATGCAGTCCCAGACCCCTAAGGACCTCAGGTGGCCACTCAGCCTGACCAGCCGCAAGGGCCAGCCGCAGCTCAGCGCCACCAGGGAGCTCCCGGCCGCCCCGCAACCTCTCTGCGCTAGAGAGCCGCCAGAGGCCCGCGGCGGCTTGGTCCTGCCTGGGAGACTCGGCAGCCAGTGCTCGGGCAGACGGCGGCAGCCCAGAGGCCCCAGGCACGAGGACCCGCTCAGTCCCGGGACCCGCAGCAGCGGCCTCGCCCCCGGGACCTGCGCCTGGAGCCGGGCCGGGCCGGGACCGGACCGAGCCGCCACGCCGGGCACACCCGCCTCCCATTGGCTGCGGGTGACGTCACCGCGGCCCGGCAACACCTGCCGGGAGCTCGGCCGGGCGGGCGCTCGGGCGACCTTCCCCGCGGTGCGGGCTGGCGCCGACCCCCGGCCCTGGGCGGTGCCCAGGCCTGCTCGCGCCCCCCGGGACGGCGCCCCAGGCAGCTCGGCTCCGTCTCCACGACAGCGGGCGCGGGCCGCGCGGTCGCCCTGGGGACGGGCGGGCTCCCGGGACCCGCCGCGGGCTGCAGGCTGGGCGGGCCCTGGGGCCACGGGACATCCCCGGGACCCTCACTCCGCGGCGGGCAGGCGGGCCCTCACACTTCCCGGGCAGAAAAGTGCACAGGTCACGAAGCACCGCGGGTGACCGCCCGGAGGGCTGCCTGGAGGCAGCAGTAGGGGGTAGGGGGCGGGGAGGTGCGTGCGTCAAGCTCGCCGCCCAGCCCAAAGTGCAAGAAGGCTCCGGTTCGACTGCAACGAGAGCACAGCGGGGAGGGCGGGGAGGGCGTTTGCCTTGCCCATGGCCGACCCGGGTTCGATTCCCAGCATCCCATAGGGTCCCCTGAGCCGAGCACCGCCAGGGGTAATTCCTGAGCGCAGAGCCAGGAGTAACCCCGAGCATCGCTGGGTGTGACCCAAAAAGAAAATAAAGAAGTTTCCAGCTCCATACTGCAGGGCTGTGCATCACCCACAAGCTGTGCGCTGCATGTGTGTGGACACGCGTGTGCACGCGTGTGAGTTGTGTGCACGTGAAGGCAGGCTGGCGGGTCAGGGGTCAGGCTCCAGGCACATCCTCCACAGGCTTTCTCAGGTGGACGCTGCCGCCTGCTGCAGGGGCCAGGTGTGGCCCCCCACGTTAATAATTAATTGAAAACAGTCTCCCCAACCCCCAATCTTCCTCGGGGCCACCACACCTCTCCTCCCTTTTTTTTCTTTTTTGCCTTTTTAATTTTTTTGACTTTTTGTGTCACAACTGGCAGTGCTCAGGGGTTACTCCTGGCTCTGCACTCAGGAACTTTTTCTGGTGGTGCTCAGGGGACCATATGGGATGCTGGGGATGGATCCTGGGTGGGCCGTGTGCAAGGCAAACATCCTCCATTCTTACGGACTTTCTGAGCTGCAGGTTATGAAGGGGTGCCCAGGCCTGAGGCACTGGCTCACATGGGGATGTCACTCTTGTCCTGTGGTCCGCCCCCCTTCTGCCCGCCCTCTGCGGGTCAGCGCTGAGCCCAGGGACCCGGCCAGGTCTTCGCCTCAGTGTGGTAATAGCCCCAGTGGGGGTGGGGGTGTCGATGTGGATAGCAAGTCCACCCGGAATGACTGACGTTTTCATAGTTTTCGGTTTGGACCATCACACAAAGTTGCTGACATTTGTGAGGATTTTGTGTGAACTGAGATGGAATTCCTCAGACACATGAGGAGGAACTGAGTGCAGGGTCCTGGCAGAGACACTCGACCCCTAAGCAGCCTGGAAGCAGGTGTGTGGGAGGAGGAGCTTGCATAGACCGTTCGTGGGTGGTCTGTGGGCCTGCGTGTGTGGGAGGAGTGTGTGGGAGGTGTATCTGGGAGCACCAGTGCTTGGATCAGTGTTTCGGGTTTCTACCCTCTCTTCAAACAACTTCTGTGGAACGATGTTCTGTGTGCTGACTGGTACATGCTCTTCTGCTAAGTAAAAGTAAAGTAAAGGCCCTCCCGTTGACCATCGATTTGCTCGAGCGGGCCCAGTAACGTCTCCATTGGCCCAGTATCGCTCCAGCTGGAGCGATAGCACAGCGGGTAGGGCGTCTGCCTTGCATGCAGCCAACATGGCCGACCCGAGTTCGATTCCTCCGCCCCTCTCGGAGAGCCCAGCAAGCTACCGAGAGTATTCGATATGCCAGACACAGTAACAACAAAGTCTCCAATGGAGACGTTACTGGGCCCGCTCGAGCTCTTCTGCTAAATGACCTTAAATGAAAGGTCCAGTCATTCATTTCCTTGGTGCTGAACTTGGGGCTCTTTCTGCATTCTGGATGCAAGTGTGTTGTCCCATCTGACCTGCGGATGTCCCTGTCCGTGGCTTGTCTTTTCTCTTTGTTCTGTGTCCTGCATAGTGCAAAAGCTCAAACCTCCGGTCCAGTATGTTTCTGTTTTCTGGGATGGATCGGGTTTTTTTGTTTGTTTGTTTTTTGCTTTTTGGGTCACACCCAGCGATGCTCAGGGGTTACTCCTGGCTTTGCACTCAGGAATCACTCCTGGCAGTGCTCGAGGGACCATATGGGATGCTGGAAATTGAACCCGGTTCGGCCACGTGCAAGGCAGACACCCTACCCACTGTGCTATTGCTCCAGGCTTGGATCGTGTTTTTGATCTTGGCTAGCCTTACGATAAATATCTTTTCCCTCTACTTTGTCTCAGAGTTTCCAAGCTTTATATTTAGATACATTTTTCATTTGAGTTGTTTTTGTAAGGTGTATGAAGAAGCAAAAGGTGGTTCCTGCATGCGCAATCTTAACTCAACCTTCAGAAGGAGGAAATTCTGACCCTGCTAAAGCCAGGCTGACCCAGAGACCACTTGCACGGTGGAATAAGGGTTTCTCCACCAGACGGACAGGGGCAGCCCAACTGTAGGAGGTACCCTGAGTAGCACAAGTCACGGGGACAGAAAGTCCAACGCGGTGACCAGGGGCTGACAAAATGGGGGATGGGATCCCGTTTACAGAGACAATTTCATGTGAGCAGAAAGCTTTAGAGGACTGTGGCTGCAGGTCTGATCCCCGGCACTGCTTTGCACCAAGGACACCAAGCTGGGAGTGTCCCCTGAGCAGGGGTGGCGCAAAGGACACAGCAATGACAGTTCGATGTTAAGTCTCTGTGTGTCTTTTACCGCAATAAAATTCTTTGACTAAAGGAACTGAAGTTTTCCGTGGCGTAGAGGCCGGGTCACAAAGACGAGGCAGGCCCGGAGCTGTGCGGCTGGCTGGGGGCCTCCTTTGGGGCAGGTGTTGGGGGTCACCCTTGTGTCTGTGCTGAAATGCCACCGTGCACAGCCCCCTAGCATGTCTGTTGGGGCTGCCCCTGCGGCCTCATCACCTGAGATCTCGGTTTCCCCTGGGCCTCGCTCTGGCTGGCACAGCCCTGCACGTCTCACGGCCTGGCTGCCTACCGCACTGGGATTTTCCAAAGCCCTGCTTCAGAGGGGGAGTGGCTAGCCTGCAAGAACTGGGCTGCTTCCCCAGACCAGCTCTGCACCTGCCCACGCTGGTCTCGTTCAGCCACAAATACAGCACCAACCCACAGTGACCCCAGCCAGAGGGGCTGGAGCCTGGGACCCCCAGCCAGGGGAGCATGGCTGTGACCCCACCAGCCCAGCAGCAGTAGAACAAGAAAACAGGGGGTGGTCCAACCCTTTTGGAAAACAGTATGGACGATTCTCAAAAAATTAGAAATTGAGCTCCCATTTGACCCAGCAATACCACTCCTGGGAATATATCCCAGAGAGGCAAAAAAGTATAGTTGAAGTGACATCTGCACTTGTTTGTTCATTGCAACACTGTTTACAATAGCCAGAATCTGGAAAAAAACTGAGTGCCCAGAACAGATGACTGGTTAAAGAAACTTTGATACATTTACACAATGGAGTACTATGTAGCTGTCAGAAAAGATGAAGTCATGAAATTTACATACAAGTAGTACTACATGGAAAGTATCATGTTAAGCGAAATGAGTCAGAAAGAGAGGGACAGACATAGAAAGACTGCATTCCTCTGGGGAACATAAAGTAACAAAATAGGAGACTAACACCCAAGAATAGGCAAGATAAGTACCAGGAGGTTTACTCCATGGCTTGGAGGCCAGTCGCACACGCTAGGGGTAAAAGCAGCTCAGATAGAGAAGGAAGCACCAAATAAAGGGTGTTGGGAGGATCCTCCCAGGACGGGAGAAGCATGCTGAAAGTAGACTATAGACCGAACATGATTGCTACTCAATGCAAGCCACAGAACCCAAAAGGAGAGAGAGAACAAAAGGGAATGCCTTGCCACAGAGGCGGGGTGGGATGGGGGGTGGGAGGGATACTGGGACCCGTGGTGGTGGAGGATGGGCACTGGTGGAGGGATGGGTACTTGATCATTGTATAACTGAAACCCAAGCACAAAAATTTGTAAGTCTATAACTGTACCTTGTGGTGTTTCACTAATATAAATAAATAAATAAATAAATAAATAAATAGAAAACGGGGGAGGGCAGATTTGAGCCTGATCCACAGTAGGGTCACACCTGAGTGGGAAGCATAGTAAGGCCCTGGGCAGGCAGAGCAGACCAGAGAAGGGGGGAGGGGTTCTCCTGAAGCCCTCATTTCCGGGGAGGAGCCTCTGGTGAGCTGCAGGGGGTGCTGGGCTGTGTCCTGGCCCCACCTGGCTCAACTATCCCCTTGCCTCCTGCGTGCCGCTGGAGACCTGGCAGGCGAGGGGACCTGCCGGGGCCGCGGGGGAGGGTCGCGGGATGATGCCCGGCCCAGGCGGGCCACAGGTGGCTGTGCAGGGCCTGGTAAAGGCTCAGGCCTCCTTTCCTGGCTGAGGAGCCGGACACAGGCCCAGCAGCCTTGGAGCATCCTTGAGGGAGCCTCGTCCCAGGGGGCCGCGGGTGTGTCTGACCTGCAGCTTCTCGCCCTCCCAGGCCCGAAAAGCCTACCCAGCCCCCGGCACTAGTCAGGAAAGAGCCTGACGCAGAGGGAGGGTCGGGCCCTCCGGGGGCCTCAAGCGAAGGGTCCCAGAGGGCAGGCAACACTCTGCCTCCGCAAACATCCTACACTCGCCAGCAGCAGCCCTTCCTGCGCACCCTCAGACCAGGCCCCTTCCTGGTCTCCGCCTTCTCCACCCCTTCTGCACCCCACCCTCCTCCACACCTTCTGCACCTTCTCCCCAGCAGCCAGGAACGCCCCCAGCCCCAGCGATTGGGGCGGGGCCTCCCTGTTGGGGGCGGGGCCGCGCTGTCCCAGAGGCGGGGCCTCACTAGCCTGGGGGCGGGGCCTCGCTCTCAGGGAGGGGCTCGCTGTTGGGGGTGGGGCCTCGATATCCCAGGGGTGGAACCGGGAGCAACCTGGGCGAGCCAAGTTGTCCCGGGGGATGCGGTGGCGGGGCATCAGTGTTGGGGGCGTGGCATCAGTGTTGGGGCGTGGCCTAACCATTCGGGTAGGGGACTCGCTGGTCTGGGGTCCTGGTGGACTAGGCTGGGGCGGAGCCTCGCATGGGGCTAGGGGCGGCTTGTTTCGTCTTGTTGGGATTTTGTTGGGATTTTTTGGAGAGGATTGGGCAATACCCCGCTGTGCTCAGGGCTCACTCCTGGCGGGCACTGGGGACCACGTGGGGTGCCGGGGATGGATCCCAGGTGGGCTGCGTGCAGAACTGGGGGCTGGGCAGAGCTCAGGCCTGGCCTGGCAGGGAGGTGGCCCCGGGCGCCGCCAAGATGTGGGGGTGTAACTGACCTTGGTCTCCCACCTCCCACAGTTTCCTCTCTAAAGGGACCCTGGAGCCCAGCAACCCTTGAGGCACCGCCAGAACTGCTATGCCCAGATCACCGCAGGGTCATAGCTCAGGCGAGGGCCCCCCGGGAGGCCCATGGGAGTAGATGAGTACTGTGGTGGGGTGCAACCGTGGACGGAAAACAGCAGGGAGACTCAGCTCCGGGGTGCAGGGGCTCAGCTGGCGAGGGGGAGGCTGTGGGGTGCAGGGTGCAGCTGGCAGGGCCCGGCCAGTTCAGCCCTTTCCCGGCCCACTGCTGCCCCGCTCCCAGAGCAGCCAGGAGCTCCTTCCCGGGCTGCGTGAGCAGGGACTCAGCCTCAGGCAGGACATGGCGTGTCTCCTGCGCTGCCCTTTGGCCTCCCAGGGTTACCACCAGGTTAAGCGCACCGCTGGGGGCCAGGGACGCGTGCGGTGGCGAGGGACACCACCACAACCCCTTCCTCTCGCTGGGCTCCCCAAGGCTGACCCAGGGCCCTGGGGCGCCAGCTTGCTTCCTTCTGGAAATCTACCTTGCAGCTCCTGGCCACAGTGAGGGATGTCCAGGCCGAGTCCCCTTCCCGGCACAGGGGGTGCCTGACCTGGGGCACCAGCAGGACCATGGTGGCTGCGCTGTCCAGGTTCCAGGGCGCCTGGTCCAGCCCCCCACGCCCATGACCTCCATAGTGTGGAAGCAGCCAGATACCACAGATGAGGAGCCAGTGTTTACTTGCTTGGCCACAGGCTGCCCGCCTGGACAGAGGCCTCGTCCCAATGCGGCGAAGGTTGGCAATGACCCCACAGCATCCCCTCAGCGGCCCCCACAGTGCCCCCATAGAGTGGCAGCTCCCTGGAACGTGCCCACTGCCTCCCAGCTTCACGGCATCTCTGCGTGGTCCCCATAACTCCTACTGAGTGAGTGGGTGTGAGTGCTCTGCCACGCCGTGGCTGCGTGCCGTGGCTGCCGTGCTGTGGCTGCTGTGTCATGGCTGCCGAGCTGTGGCTGCCGTACTGTGCGCTGCCATGCCGTCGTGCACTGCCGTGTCGTGGCTGCCAAGCCGTGGCTGTGTGCCATGTGCTGCCGTGCCGTGGCTGCCATATTGTGGCTGCTGTGCCGTGCGCTGTTGTGCCGTGGCTGCCATGCACTGCCGTGTGCCAAGCGGGGGAGCTGCTTCCAGGAGCTCAGGTGGTCAGGTTCAGGCCCTGGTGAGGCCTCTGGATCTGGGGACCCCTCACCAGGAGGATGTGGAGTCCCTGGCACCGGCAGAGGAGTTGAGGCAGCGTGGCTGGTGCCAGTCGCCTCTGTCCCACCCAGCCTGGGGAGTTTAGGGCAGCTTAGGCAGGACCATGGAGTGGCGAGCAAGCAGCGTGGGGTGGGTTGAGGCGTGACCCCTCTGAGAACAGGCTCCCGTGGGCACGTGGGGTTCGACCTGTGCTCAGCGTGGCTGCCCAGCCCTTCTAGGTCCTTCTGGCAGCTGCTGGTGTGTCTGCGTTGGTTTCCCCACGGGGTACCAGGGACAGAGCAGGGACCCCCCTGGGGCCTGGTGGTCTGCAGAGGCCTGAACAGGGTGGTCCTGATGCCCACCCCTTGGCTGGATGCAGGGAGGGGTGACTCAGAGTCACACGAGCCCCGGAAGCCTCTGGCAGCCTGCACGGCGGTCACTGCTGATGGCCGTGGGGGAGGACAGGGACAGGGGCCGGGCCCCAAGTGCAGGGACCAGTGCCCCATCCCCCGAGTCCGGAGGGTCCAGGAGACAGTGTGGGCAGACCAGGCTGACCTTGCCACGCGTCCCGCCTACTGTCCGGCACTGGCCCTCAGTGAGGGCTCAGAGTGGGTTCTCGTACCTGCTGAAGGCGCCCAGTCGCTCCTGCACAACCAGGAAGCAGGGCCGCTGCTCGGCGTCCTCGTGCCAGCACGCCAGCATCAGCCTGTGCATGGCAGGCGGGCACGCGGCCGGGCAAGGCATGCGGTAGCCAGCGTTCACCCTCTGGGAGGCCTCGAGGTTGCTCATACCTGCAACCAGTACCACCGGGAACTGAGGCGGGTACTGCAGCCCCCTGCCTGCCCCTCGCCCCCGGGAGGCCCCACCCCTGGGGCAGGTACCCAGCTCCCGCCCCCTCGGGAGGGCCCGCACCTGGGTAGGGCGCCTGGCCTTTGCTGAAGATCTCATAGAGGAGGACCCCAAAGGACCAGACGTCAGACTTGATGGAGTAGTGGCCTTGGGTCAGGGCCTCAGGCGCCGTCCACTTGAAGGGGATTTGGCGCTCGCTGGACAGGTACGTGCCCTCCTGCAAGCACACCTACTCTGGGGGGCCAGTAGTGGCCACAGACCTGGGGTGCCCAGGAGAGGTGGGTTCTCTTCTCAGACCCAGGAGCTGGCCACTGCAGCCGATGGCCTGGGTGAGGGGGAGCGTTTTCTAGAAACGTCCAGCCTCGGAGGGAAGCAAGCTGGAATCTCGGGGCGGGCCTGGTGCTTCTGCAACAGGATGGGTGGGAGGGGAGGGAGACGGGAACCCGTCCGCAGCTCCCCAGACCCAACCACCAGGACAGAAGGGAGGCTGGGACAGCGTACCACCAGGACTGGCCCACGCTGCTTTCTTTGGGAATTTTGGGGGCCACCCAGCTCCGTGCTTGGGAGAGCCACAGGTTCGGGGCTCCGACATGCACTGCACACACTCGGCCCTCTGATACCCCCTCCCCCACCCCAGGTCTTATTGCTCATTTGGTTTATTTACTTTTTTTGGTCTTTGGGCCGCACCTGGTGATGCTCAGGGCTGGCTCCTGGTTCTGCATCCAGGAACTACTCCTGGAGGGCTCAGGGGACCACATGGGGTGTCGGGGCTTAAACCCGGGTCAGCTGCACACAGTAACTGCCCTCCCTGCCGTACTGTCTTTCTAGCCCCTGTTCAGTTGCAGGCGCCAGAGCTCACCCCAGCTACTGCGCAAACTCCCACGCAGAGTACCCGGGCAGGGCCCTCACGGCCTGTGGGCCTTGGAACCCCCACGGTACGGCCACACCAAGCACACACATTCGTCTGTGCCACGACCATCCAGAGTGCTCACAGCAGCCCGGTGCCTGCTGGCTCTGCGGGGACATGTGCTGTCCGCGGGGCTCCTGCCAGCTCAGCTTCCCCTCGCTGGTGCCAGAGCGAGGAGCAGCACCCCGGCAAAGTCCAGCTCTGCAGAGGAAGCCTCCCCACCCCCGGCCGTCCCTGTTCCCCGGGGCCCTACCTTGATGAGCCGGGCCAGTCCGAAGTCCCCGACTTTGCATATGTTGTTCTTTCCCACAAGGATATTCCTGGCGGCAAGGTCCCGGTGGATGTAGTTTTGTGACTGCAGGTAGCACATGCCTTCGGTCACCTGCGATGCGAAGTCCACCAGCTCGGACACGGGCAGGTCTGTCTCCTCAGGCTCTGGAGCAAGGGAAGGATTTGCCAGCAGGGTCAGCGGCCAGACCCCAGGCCTCTCAGCCTCAATGTGGCCACCTCCCCTCATCCCAGTAGCCTCACTAGAGGTGCAGGAAGTCAGCGCCCGCTGTGGAGGGCATCCCGCACGTGCAGTGCTATGGAGAGCCCAGGGCCCGACCCGGGCACAGGCCACGCGCTGCGTCTTCAGGCACGAGCCATAAACCAGCATGGGGGGCCGCTGGCCAATACGGGAGGCATGTGCTGTGTGTACACACGTGGATTGTGTGTGTGTGCTGTGTGTATCACATGGGGTGTACGTTTGTGTGCACATGTGCTGGTATTGTGTATATTTCATAGGGTGTGTTGTGTGCACATGCGTGCATGTGCTTTGTGTGCATGGGGGTACACTGTGTGTGTGCACATGGGTGCACTATGCGTACACCAGCATGCATGTGCTGTGCATGTGTGCACTGTGTTTGCACATGGGTGCATGTGCACATAGGTGTATGTGATGTGTCTGCATGCACTGTATTTGCACGTGGGTGTTTGTACTGTACATGTGTACTATGCATGTTTGTAGTATGCATGCATGTGGGTGCGTGTACTGAGTATGCACAATGGTGTGTGTGCTGTGTGCATGCACTTTGTGCACATGGGTGTCTGTGCTGTGTGTGCACGGGGGTGTGTGCTGTGTGTTCACATGGGCGTGTGTGCCATGTGGGCACATGGGTACATGCACTGTGTGTGCACATGGATGTGTGCCTGCATGTGCGTATGGATGCATGTGCTGTGTGCACAAGGGTGCGTGCAGTGTGCATGCACATGGGTGTGCTGTGTGCACACGGGTGCATGTGCTGTGTATGCATGCCCTGTGTGCACGAGTGCTTGTGCTGTGTGTGCATGCACCCGCGTGCGTATGGGTGTGTGCGCTGTGTGCACATGCAATATGGGTGGCGTGCGCACTACGTGGCAGCGTGTGCATGCCTATTCAGATGCGGGCAGAGTGAGCCTTGCAGATGAGAAGCTGTGGGGCCAGCCTGTGGCCTGGGCTCCGGCAGCAGTTGGTCCCCGAGCCCACGGGAACCTGAGTGGGCCTCTGCCTCGTGTGCCCCACGTCCTCCCCCTGCCGGAAGTCCTGAGTGGGACACGAAGGGGCGGGGTGGGGTGCCCAGGCGGAGCCCCCGGGCTGCTCACCCTGCAGCAGCGACAGCAGGCTCCCCTTGGGCATGAGCTCGGTGATGATGTACACAGGGTCCCCCACCGAGACCACGGCATAGAGCGACAGGATGTGCTTGTGCCGCAGCTTCTTCATGGTCTGGATCTCCGAGCGGATGATGTGCTGCTGCCGGAGGTCGGCTGTAGGGTGGGACCTAGTGGGCGGGGCCTTGGACGCCACGCCCACCCCGAGTAGGCCCCGCCCAAAGCCACGCCCACGCCGCTCAATTGACCAATCCGGGGCCAGCAGCGCTCAGGCCTGAGGCCTGAGGTCTGGACTGGAGGTTTTTCTGCAGCCTAGAACGGCCCAGCGCTGGCTTCAGGGCCTCCGCTGGGAGGGCGGGCCCAAGCCTGGGGGGCTGCTGCGGGGAGGACCCGGGGCAGGAGGAAGCCGTGGGTTTTGCGGAGCCTGGCCAGGGCCCACTCACCTCGGGGAATCACCTTGACAGCCACTTCGACTTGGCCCTTCCAGAGCCCCTTAAAGACCTCCCCAAAGCAGCCCTGGCCGAGCTTTCTGTGCAGCGAGAACTCCTCCCTCGGTAGCTCCCAGTCATCGCAGTAGGGCAGTGGTTCCTGCTCATCCTGGAGACGGCCCCACAGGGGACACCCAGGTCAGCCTCCTGGCGGGCTCAGGGTGGTGGGTGCCTGGCCTGCCCCCCCAGCCCCCCCCCCCACCTACCCAACCCCGGGAGCTCCAGGCCCTGTAGGCAGGGGCCCGGCTCCAACCCCACGCCTCTGAGACCAGCTCTGGGCCGCACGGATGTGGCACACACCCGTCTGGGGGCTGCCTGGGCTCTCGGCGAGGCCCACCTTGCTGCAGGGTGCTGTCAGCTGCAGGCCGTGGGTCAGGACCTCCTCTCGGTGGTGGGCCACGAGGTCGGACAGGCTGGAGAAGGACAGGGCCTCGTTGAGGTGCAGCCGGCCCCCCGCTTGCCGCCAGATCTTGTAATGTCGCACTGTCTGCGTGTCCCGCACTGCAGCACGGGGAAGGGCCGGGGTGGGGTGAGGAGGCGGGACCCGGGGATCCTGGTTTGCCACCCAGAGCCCAGCAGGACGGACCGTGTGCAAGGCGGCCTGTGCCAAGGCCTGAGGGGAAGGTAGGGGGGGAGGCTGTACCGGACAGGACGTAGTCGGCGCCTGGCTTCAGGCTGACCCTGATCAGGAAGGCACCTCGCCTAGTGCCCTCGGCCTGCAGTCGGTGTGTCGCCTCCGAGCGGGAGATGCAGCCGAAGAACCACCTGCCGGAGGCCCACAGCTCACAGCAGCCCCACCCCTGCCCTGAGCCTGCAGGACCCTTCCTCCGACCCCGTGACCTCCGCCACAACCCCAGGTGACCCCCGCCCTGAGCCTGTAGGACCCTTCCTCCAACCCCGTGACCTCCGCCAGGACCCCAGGTGACCCCCGCCCTGAGCCTGAAGGACCCTTCCTCCAACCCGTGACCTCCGCCACGACCCCAGGTGACCCCCGCCCTGAGCCTGCAGGACCCTTCCTCCAACCCCGTGACCTCCGCCACGACCCCAGGTGACCCCCGCCCTGAGCCTGCAGGACCCTTCCTCCAACCCCGTGACCTCCGCCACGACCCCAGGTGACCCCCGCCCTGAGCCTGCAGGACCCTTCCTCCAACCCCGTGACCTCCGCCACGACCCCAGGTGACCCCCGCCCTGAGCCTGCAGGACCCTTCCTCCGACCCCGTGACCTCTGCCAGGACCCCACTACCCAGCCTGCTGCCTTGAAACTGGTCCCCTCGCATCACCCTCTCCCCTTGCACCCTGCTGCCCTGCTGCCCTGCTGCCCCAGGCACTGCCCACCCCAAGGCCCTGAGGCCCCTCTCTGCCCATCATCAACCCCAAATGTCTGGTTCTGGGCCCAGGAAAAGCCCGGTCCCCAGCGATAGCTCAGAGCTGCCCTGAACTGCCATGCGGCCGCCCCAGGCCAGAGGTGGCAACTCAGGGGGCCTGGTGACTTCGTGGTCATTTTTCCACCTGCTGTACTGTCCCTTGGATGTACGAAGTCCATCAAGGCTGTCCACACACAGATCTCAGAGAATCCACCACACGCACCCACCTACACTCACATCCTGTGCACAAACACACACATTCACACACAGCACAGACCCGCATGCATGGGCCCACTCCCACTCCCACACACACGTGCCCGTATGAATGCACACGTGCACACACACATGCACATGCACACATGAATCCAGACAGACCGACTCACCCACACCAACCACCCGCATCCACACACATCCACGGACCCACGTGAACACACACATGCATTTCACACGCCTGTGCACACACATTCACACAACCATGTGCATACTCGCGAACACACACACATTCACAACGACAGGCATACAGACACACATCACAGACCCGACGAGTCCATACACGTGTTCCCACCCGCGCAGACCCACTCTCCCACGGCTGCAGGCTTTTGCCCGCCCTCAGGCAGCCCATTGCCAGCTGGCAGCTGCCCCGCGCCCCTCAGCTGGCTCTGGGAGCTGCTGTCGAGGCCTTGGGCCGCCTCCGCGGGGCTGCTGGTGCCGGGGCCTGTGTGGGCCTCCTGGGCATGCTTGGGTCCTTCTGTGGCACAGCAGCTGCTCTGGGCGCCCCTGGGCCAGCCCTGCGCGCACAGGGGTGGGGCCAGGCTGCGGTGGTGTCGCAACTCGCCCGGCTCTTCTAAGTAGGGCAGGCCTCTGGTTTCGGTGAGGCCACTTCCGCCCCGAAGGCCCAGCCTCCCGTCTGCCCATGTCTGCCGTCCATGGTGGACCCTCTGTCCTCTGGGTCCTGGGGCAGCCCAGGGAAGGGGCCATGCCTCTTGCCCCCAGGCGCCACCCCCCCACCACGGGTGCTGCACAATCGCACAATCGCACCGAGCCTCTGGCCACGGGGTGAGCTCTGTCCCCGCCACCCCTCCGCGGGGCCCGTGGGGGACACTCACGGCTCTGACTCCAGCGTCTCCATCTGGGCCAGGTAGTTGAGGGGCACAAAGCCCTGGGCCACGACCCTGCCCGATGGGCCCAGCCGCTCGGCCATGCACCACTGGCCCTTTTTAGAGGTCACGTAAAAGATGTCCCCCTCACGGAAGCTCAGCTCCTTCTCCGTGCGGGCCTCAAAGTCCCAGAGAGCCACATACTGTGGGGCCTGGTCCCGGGACACCATGGTGAGCGTGGAGCCGGGCAGCACCCGCCAGCTGGCCTCCCTGCCTGCCACTGTGTCTGGGCCACCTGCAACAGGAGGAGCGGGGCTGGCCCTGACAGCTATCCCCACCCGGCCGGGGACACCCCTTCCCGCTGCTGAGCAACAGGCTGCGCCCCGCCCTGCGCCCTTCCCTGCGCCTGGCCAGGAAACCCTTCTGCCCCTGAACTCTGAGCTGGGCAGAGCGTGGGCCGTGGGCGTGGGCACCGCGGGGGTGGACCGCGGAGGACAAAGCACAGGGAGCCATGTGGAAGTGGGGACGACTTTACTGAGACAACATCTCCGCCCACCCCTGCCCCGGGCAGGGGTGCAGAGTGCAGGTGACTCACAGCAGGAAGCGAAAGCCGAGTCTGCACGCCTGGCCCCAGGCCAGGTGACGCTGTCCCCAGGAATGTGCCCGCCCAGGTCCCCCCCCCACACACACCTGCCCGGGCCTCGGGCCACGCCCACCACACACCACCGTCTGGCCCCAGGGACTGCCCTTGCAGACCCCAGACCCGCGCTCCAGCCCACACCTCCCTTCTCTGCTCTGAGGCTCCTGGGCTCCGCCTGGGCCGACTCTGGACAGGGGTCCCCAGGGAGCAAAGAGGTGTGGGCAGCCCTGCCTTCTGCCCCAAGTCCTCTGGGGCTCAGCTGACAGCTTGGGGGTCCCAGGAGGGCTGGGACTTGCCCCTTGCTCCTCACCTCCAGCCCCCCATCTTGCTCCCCTGAGCCCCGAGGTGGTCCCTGGCCCCCAGCCTGACCCATCTCTCTAGATGTCAGAGTCAGGCAGGTCTGTTCCAGCAGTGAGGGTGGGGAAGGGAGACCTCGTCACCCAGGCCCTGCTGGCCCGGGCAGTGCGTGCATGCATGAGGCCCACTGCCACGGGCATGCTGGGGAACACTGGGGCACCCTGTCGATCCTGACCCTAGGGGGACCCCAGGAGGCCCAGCTGAGCACAGACGACCCCCAGGCTGAGGAGCCCTGGTGCCAGCCACAGCTTCGGGCAGAGCACAGCCGCGCTGGCGTCAGGGCCCCATCAGCTGGACACACTCAGAGTGAGTCAGCACCAAAATGTCAACACAACCAGCATGTGCCCGCACATGTCAACACGTGCCAACATGTCAGCACATGCCCACCCATGTGACACATCAGTGTATATCGGTGCATGTCAGCATGTGTCTACTCATGTAAACAGGCATCACTGCATGCCAGCTTATGTAAACATGTCAGTACATGCCAGCACATGTGTGCTCATGGTGCATATCAGCACACATACACATGTCTCAGTGCATGTTGACACGTATCAGCTCACGGAAACATTTAAATGCATGTTGGCACGCCAGCACGCATCACCATGTCAGGGCATGTAGAGACATGTCCGTGTGTCTGCACATGTTGGCACATGTCAATATGTCGGTGCGTGTCTACAGGAGTCAGCACACGTTGGCCACTATGAACACATGTCAGTGCATGCCAGCACACGTAAACCCGTGTCAGGGCGTGCCCATGCACATCCATCTCCGCGCTGGGTCATGGCAGCAAATGTCCCGGGGCGGCTGTGGGCCGAGGTTCTGGGCCGAGGGGTCACGTGAGTGCGGGGTGCAGGCGCCGGCAGAGGGCGGCCAGCTTGTCCTGCAGCGCCGCGAAGGCCGGCCGCTGCTCGGGACTGCCCTGCCAGCACTCCCGCATGAGCGCGTAGACCTCGGCAGGGCAGGCGGGCGGGCGCGGCAGCCGGTACCCCCGCAGGACCTGCTGCAGCGTCTCGTGGTTGCTCATGCCTGCGGGCAGAGGACAGGGCGGGCTTGGAGGCGGCCCTGCCCGCCCCGCCCCGCCCCTGCACGGCGCTGTGCTGCGCCCACCTTCGTAGGGACACTGGCCGTAGGTGAAGACCTCGTACAGCAGGACCCCGAAGGACCAGACGTCCGACTTCTGGGAGTACACGCGGTAGCTGGCCGCCTCGGGCGCCGTCCACTTGACGGGGATCTTGGAGCCGCTGCGGGGGGAGTAGACGTCGTCCTGGGATGGGGCGTTGCCGTGGTGCCCCCCTACCCCCGCCCCCGCGCCAGCCCTTGTCGCTGGGTGGCCTCGAGCTGACCTTGAGCAGCCGAGCCAGGCCGAAGTCAGCCACCTTGCAGGCCAGGTCATCGCCCACCAGCACGTTCCTGGCGGCCAGGTCCCGGTGCACGATGTGCTTCTCCTCCAGGTAGCTCATGGCCTCGGACACCTGCCGGGCGATGCTCAACAGAGGGGGCAGGTCCAGCGCCCGGCCCTCGGGGCCTGCGGGGAGACGGGCTCAGAGGCTGGGCGGCCCCCAAGGGAGTGGGCCCAAGCTTTGGGAGCGGGGCCCTTGGGAGTGGGCCCAAGCCCTGTCCCCGCTCGCAGCTGCGGAGGTGCTCGAGGGGGCTGGCGGGCGGGGGTGTCTCCGTCTGCCACTGAAAGGTCAGTGCCAAGCCCTCGGGCCCCTCGGACCCAGGATGGTCAGGCCTGCCCCCGCCTGGTCTCGGGATGGCCGTCACTGTCCCCCACGCCCACCCGGGGACACTCACTGCCCAGGTAGGCCTGCAGGCTGCCCTTGCGCATGAGCTCCGTGACAATGTAGACGGGGGAGCCGGCCGAGCACACAGCGTGCAGCCGGATCAGCCGCTCGTGCTGCAGGCTCTTCAGCGTCTGGATCTCCTGGGTGAGGTCGGCGGGCTTCATGTCGGCTGCGCGAGAGGCTCGGCTCCAGGACCCGCCCAGCGCCGGGCCCGGGCCCGGGGCAGGCCTCACCCACCTGACTTGATGACCTTGATGGCCACGGGCACGGAGCCCAGCCACAGGCCTTCCCACACCTCCCCGAAGAAGCCTCGGCCCAGCCTCCTCCTCAGCAGGAACTCGGAACGCGGCCGCTCCCACTCGTCCTGCTCCGCCAGTGTCTGCGGGGGCGCCCAGTCACTGCCCAGCACTGACCCCGGAGCCAGGCCCTAACTGCTCAGGAGCCTAAGTGGCACCTTGGCCGGACCGGACATCCGTTCACAAACATTCATCACAGCCGCTGGCCGGGCTGTCATTAGGGGACCAGAGGAACCGGCTCACGGGACGGCGTGGCCCAGGGCTGTCTCCTCAACAGCCTCTCCTCCGGGAGTTGCTTCCCGCCCCCCCCCGCCAGAGACAGACGGAGGGGACCGGCGCCCTCCTCCTCGGGCCCGCAGATGGACGTGACAGCCGTGGGCAGCCCCGGCCACTCACCTGGGGCACGCAGGGCTGCAGCAGCGGGTTCTGGAGAAGCGTCCAGTTGGCCTGGTAGTACGCGAGCAGCTCGTCCAGGCTGGGAAAGAGCCGTCCCTTCTGCAGGGACAGCCCCCCGTCTGCTGTGCAGATCCGGTAGTGGTACACCCGGGCCTGCGCCCGCACTGCAGGCACAGACAAGGCCCCGTCTGGGCCCACTCCTCCACCCGCAGCTCCCGAGGTGGCCGTGGTGGGGTGGAGGAGTGACCAGTGAGATGGGCCCGCAAGGGGCCACACTGCACAGGCGCTCAGTGATTGATTACTCGGGAACGAGTTCGTCTCCGAGTAAGAGGAGAGAGAAGGGCGTGACGGGATGCGTGGACGGAGAGTCAGGGGTGGAAACAAGCAATGAGAACGAGCGCGCGAGGGAAGGCGCCTGCCCTCCCCTGCGACTGGGCGAGGGGGGGGGCCTGAGAGCACCTGAGTGCTGGGTACCTGAGAGCGAGTAATCCCCGTGGCTGCTCTCGCTGGGCCTGACCAGGAAGGCGCCCGGCGCGTTGGCGGCAGACAGGAGCAGCTGCTGGGCCTGGGTCCGGCTGATGCCGCTGAAGAACCAGCTGCAAAGGGCGGGCAGTGGCCCGGGTGAGCCCGCCCAGCTGGCCAGCAGCCCCTCTGCAGCCAGACCTGGGCTGACGGCTGGGCAGGCGGGGGAGGGGAGGCACGGTCGGGCTCTGGCCACACCTGGCAGTCAGGAGGCCGAGCCCTGCAGGGACCGCTGGGCTCTCCGGTGAGTGCCAGGGGCACTGCCCAGGGCAGCAGGGAGGGAGGAAGCAGGCAGGTCCCCACCCCACCCAGGCCAGGCCCTCAGGGCGGCCCCCGCTGCACTCCCGGGTGCTCTCCGGAGGTGTGGCTCCCACCCCCTCTCTGCTGCTCCCCAAGGCCCAGCCGGGGTCCCCACACCCATGCCAGCTCCACCCCAGGCATCCCCTGCCCACAGCTTCTGGGGACCCGGCCAGAGAGTGACCCTCATCCAGTCTGGGCAGCAGAGGCAGGGCTACAAGAGCCCACGGGAGCAGAAGGGACCCACAGGCCCCCAAAGGAGTCCGAGGGAGCCCCAGAGCCGGGGCAAGGAGGCCCGCAGCAGCCCTGGACAGACGGCCCTGCTGAGGAGACAGAAGGGCCGGGCCTGCACGGGGGATGCAGGGGGGTGGGCCCACATGAGGGGGAAGTAGGGTGGTCCAGGCACTGAGAGGGGACTGGCTAGAGGGGACAGGGAGTTGGGGGGTGCTGGCAGGCGGCAGCCTGAGGGGCTCGGGGGCTCCCCGAGGAGGCGACGGCAGGTCTGAGAGTGGGGGACGCCCTCGGGACACGGGGGAAGCCGGGAGCAGCCTCTCCTGGGCGCTCCTCGGGCGTCTCTGGGCCGGGAGGTGTCCGGGACTAGTGACGTGCGTAGCCAGCCAGTGTCGCACTTTCATCTCGTCTCATACCAGCAAACAGCCATTAACCAGAGCACCCCCAGCCCACACACAGTCCTGCCGGCCACTCCCGGAGCTGCCCAGGGCACTGCCCACAGCGCCAGGAGGCAGGGAGGGCTGGAGCCTTCCTGCCACAGGGCCACAGAGGCGCCGGCACAGGCACCCACCTGACTGCGGGGAAACGGGGGCAGGAGGCCACCAGGTGCAGCTGTTACAAAGGACGTGACCAGGGCTCGGGCCTGCCCAGCTAGGGACAGTGCCACAAGCCCACTTGCTGGCTCTGGTCACGTGCCCCACACTAGGCCAGGAGGGAGAACACGTCCCTTTAGCCCCCCTGTGGGGCCAGGACCTGCCCCCTGGACCCGCCCTGGGGGACTGGGTGGTCAGGAGGCTCAGGGCCAGCAGGAGAAGGAACACTGGGTCGAAACCTGAGGCCTGTGTCCTGTGTCCACCTGCCACCTCCAGGGAGACCCCTGAGGGTCACTCCTCCTTCCCTCCCACCATTGGCAAAGGTCCAGGTGTCCGGGGCTGCCCTATCCTTGGCGGTCTGCTGAGGGGAGGGTGGGCACGGCTTCCACGAGCCTCCAGGGTGCCCCCTGAAGCCCGCAGCAGACAGGCCTCCCACACTAGACCCCGGCGGTCGGTCGCGCTAGGGGAGAGCGGACCCGGGAGGGGGCGGGGCGTGAGCCCCTCTCACCTGGCTGGGACCCCCCGCCCCCTCCCGGGGAGCCGCCGTCCTGCCGGGCGCCTGCCCACAGGTCAGCACTGCCCTCGGCGAGGACGCCCGGCGGCCCCCGGAGGGACAGGCGGCCCCGCAGCCCTGCGCCCCACCCCGGTGCTACTCACGGTCGGTCCGGGAGCGCCTCGGGGGTGGCCTTGGCCACGTGGGTGGTGGGGACGAGCCCCGCGCTGGGCGGGCCCGAGACCCTGCGGGCCAAGATGTAGTCGCGACCCTCGCGCAGCGCCAGGAGCCGGTCCCCGCGGCTGACGCTCAGCTCGTCGGCGCAGCGCGCGGTGAAGTCGCGCAGCGCCCGGAAGAGCCGCGCGCCCGCCGGGGGCCCGGGCGGGGGGCCGGGGCCGGGGTCGGGGCCGGGCGGGGGGCCGGGGCCGGGGTCGGCGCCGGAGCCGGAGCCCGGGTCGGAGGCGGGAGCCGGAGCGGGAGCGGGGGCGGGGACGGGGCCGGGGCCGGGGTCGGGGCCGGGGGCCGGGGCGGGGGCGGGGGCGGGGCCGGGGTCAGGGCCGGGGGCCGGGGCGGGCTCGGCGGCCGGCACGCCTGCCCGCCAGATCTTGTCCCAGAAGAAGGACAGGAAGGCCAGCCGTTTCCTGAGGAAGGGCTCCATCTCGGGGCGCGCCCCGACGGCCGGGGCCGGTCACCGCGCGCCGCGCGCCCCGCGGGCACCTGGGCCGAGCGCCGTGTCCATGGGGCGTCGCGGCCCGGGACTTGCCCCCTGCGGCAAACCGGTGCCCGCGCCGCCTCCCGGCCGGACCCCCCACCCCCGACTCGCCAGCTCAGACCAGTTCGCGTGCAGGACCGTCCCGTCTGGACTGCGGCCGGCAGCTAGCTGGTGGCTGCAGCTGGACCACGGCGTGGGGGCGGGGCCTCGCGGCCGGGGCCTCGGGATAGGTCGCCGCCGGTCCCGGGGTGGGGCCTCGTGGGCGGGGCCTCGCGGCCGGGGCCTCGGGATAGGACGCCGCCGGTCCGGGGCGGGGCCTTGTAGGCGGGGCCATGGGTGTGGGCGGGGCCTCGGGATAGGTCGCTTCGGGGCGGGGCCTCGTGGGCGGCGCCTCGCGGGCCGGGGCTTGGGATAGGACGCCGCCGGTCTCGGGGCGGGGATTCGTGGGCGGGGCCGAGGGTGTGGGCGGGGCCGAGGGGTAGGACGCCGTGGGCCTCGTGGGCGGGGTCAAGGGTGTGGGCGGGATAGTGGGCGGGGCCTCTGTGTATTTGACGGGGCTTGGGACGGGACAGTGAGGAACTGCCCGAGGATGTCAGGGGGGACCTCAGTGGACGGGGCCTCTTCGGGGCGGGACTCAAGACTTCGGGGCGAGCCCTAATGGGCGGAGGGCCGCGCAGGAAGGCTAGGGAGGGGCTGTGGGCGGGGCCTAGGGGAGGCGGCGGGCGGGGTCGGAGGGTCCCTGGCGCGGAGGGGAGGGGCCACACCTGCCTTTGGCCCAAGCTCCCGCCTAGACCGCCGGGGTTTCATAGACCCGGGGGCTCTGTGACAACTGCTGGTCTCTTGCAAACCGACCAAGGCCTGGGTGTGGCCGGGCAAGGGCAGTCCTAGTGTGTGCGGAGACCCCGCGCTCCATTCCCAGCGCCATGCAGGAAGATTTGCCAAATGTGCAGAGGAGGGCAAGTTTGGCTGACCAGGGGGCTCCGTGGGAGCACCCTGGGTCGCCTGGGGACCACTCCCTGCTCGGGTGGCTTAGGGCCAACAAGCTCAGCTCTCTGCATCTGGTGGAGAGAGACCCGCAAGGAGATACGGCAAGGCAGCAGGACAGCTGACCCACACTCAGGGGGACGGTGGGGATACAGCTGACCCTCACTCAAGCTGACCTCTGCTTAGGGGGGCACGGGACACCAGTGTCAAGAAGGGGCAAATGGGGGACTGGGTGAGGCTGGGTCAGGACACACCAGCCCAGCCCAGCGGCCAGCCAGCCCGCCCTCGCGTCCAGGCGCAGGGGAGAGGCAGAGCCCCGGGTGGAGGCCGAGGCGGGATCCGAGGCAGCCTGCTGGCTTCGTCCCATGCCCAGCCGCTCCCGCGGGGCCCTGGTGGTCCTGACTGAGCGTCCGGCCTCTGAGCACCGTCCCCCACGGCAGAGCCACTGGCCTCTCCCTGCCGGGAGCTGGACCGCTGCAGGGGCTGGTGCCAGCCGCCCACGCAGTGACGGCGGGGCCCCAGTGGGCACAGGGCGACCTCCGCTGGACCGCTGCAGGGGCTGGTGCCAGCCGCCCACGCAGTGACGGCGGGGGCCCCAGTGGGCACAGGGCGGCCTCCGCTGGACCGCTGCAGGGGCTGGTGCCAGCCGCCCACGCAGTGACGGCGGGGCCCCAGTGGGCACAGGGCGGCCTCCGCTGGACCGCTGCAGGGGCTGGTGCCAGCCGCCCACGCAGTGACGGCGGGGCCCCAGGGGGCACAGGGCGGCCTCCGCTGGACCGCTGCAGGGGCTGGTGCCAGCCGCCCACCCAGTGACGGCGGGGCCCCAGGGGGCACAGGGCGGCCTCCGCTGGACCGCTGCAGGGGCTGGTGCCAGCCGCCCACGCAGTGACGGCGGGGCCCCAGTGGGCACAGGGCGGCCTCCGCTGGACCACTGCAGGGGCTGGTGCCAGCCGCCCACCCAGTGACGGCGGGGCCCCAGGGGGCACAGGGCGGCCTCCGCTGGACCGCTGCAGGGGCTGGTGCCAGCCGCCCACGCAGTGACGGCGGGGCCCCAGTGGGCACAGGGCGGCCTCCGCTGGACCGCTGCAGGGGCTGGTGCCAGCCGCCCACCCAGTGACGGCGGGGCCCCAGGGGGCACAGGGCGGCCTCCGCTGGACCGCTGCAGGGGCTGGTGCCAGCCGGGCGCCCACCCAGTGACGGCGGGGCCCCAGGGGGCACAGGGCGGCCTCCGCGAGCGAGTCCACGGGTTCTTCCCGCCGCGCAGGGCCGGGGTCGCGCGGGCGGCGTCACAGAGGCGGGCGGTCCCCATGGCAACGGGCACGCGGCTCCTCGAGGCTGGGCCCCGGCTCGGGGCAGCCTGCGCTCGGCTCCCAGACACAGGGCAAGTGGGTGCGGGGCCGGGAGGCGGAGGCGCGGGGGGGGGGGGGGGAGGGGGGCGGGGCCGGGAGGGGCCGCGTGCAGGGCGACGCCCCCACACCCTCTCCTCAGGGGTCTGCAGCCTCCCGCCTTCTCCTCTCCTGGAACCCAGAGGCTGCGGAGACCCTGAGGCTGCCAGGGGTCCACCCGTCCTGTCCCCCCCCTGTGTGCTGGGAAGGGGGCCTGACCCTGGACGGGGCGTGAGCGTCAGAGGGCCGGCAGGGCAGGCACCCCGGTGCCACTTCCCCTGCAGGCTCAGCCTCCGGTGAGGGCCTGGGGCATCTGTCCTGGGCTCTGCAGGGAGGGTGCAGGCAGGCGCTGGGGGCAGTCCTGTCCCGAGGGCCCACTCCCTTTGCGCAGAACCGCACCTCGCCCAGCCCCAGAACGTCTGGCCCCAGAACCATGATGCAGGCCCGGCCCAGTGCTGCCTCTTCCCGGAGCTGTGCCTGCACCTGCTCCTGACAGCCCGCCCTCCCCCACCAGCTCCCAGACAATGAACTCCCAGGTGACGGGCCTGGGCCTGGACAAAATGAAGCTGGACAGTCCCCAGCCCTTCCTGGAGCAGGAGGACGCCGAGGAGGCGGAGGACGGGCAGCTGCTGGAGCCCGAGGCTTGGAGGACCTACATGGGACGCCGGGCGGCGCTGCGGGAGTTCCTGAGCTCGGACCTGAGCCCTCACCTCCTCAGGAGGCACCACGCCCGCATGGAGCTGCTCCGGAAGTGCTCCTACTACATCGAGGTCCTCCCCAAACACCTGGCCCTGGGCGACCAGAACCCGCTGGCCCTGCCCAACACCATGTTCCAGCTCATCGACCCCTGGAAGTTCCAGCGCATGAAGAAGGTGGGCACGGCCCAGACCCAGATCCAGCTGCTGCTGCTCGGGGACCTCCTGGAGCAGCTGGACCGTGGCCGCGCCCAGCTGGACGCGCTGCTCGAGTCCCCCGACCCCCGGCCCTTCCTGGCGGGCTGGGGGCTGGTGGAGCGGCGGCTGGCGGACTTGTCGGCCGTCATGGACAGCTTCCTGGCCATGATGGTGCCGGGGCGTCTGCACATCAAGCACCGCCTGGTGTCCGACGTCGGTGCCACCAAGGTCCCCCACATCCGGCTCATGCTGAGCACCAAGATGCCCGTCATGTTCGACCGCAAGGAGTCAGTGGCGCACCGAGACTGGGCGAGTCTGCGCTGGTTTGTCACCGTGCAGCCGGCCACACCCGAGCAGTTCGAGCTGCGCTTCAAACTGCTGGACCCGCGGAGCCAGCAGGAGGGCGCGCAGAGGGGCGTCATCCCCGTGGCTGCCTGCACCTTCGACATCCACAACCTGCTGCCCAACCGCTGCTACAGGTTCACCGTCAAGCGGGCAGAGAGCTACACGCTGGTGTATGAGCCCTGGAGGGACAGCCTGACCCTGCAGACCAAGCCAGGGCCCCCCGAGGGGCCTGCCCCCCACCGGCTGGGCAAGCCCAGCCCGTCCCTGACCGCACCTCCCGAGAGATGATTTTCTAGTATTTATCCACTAATAAAGAGGAGTATAAACACCACACAGACACAGGCGACTCGTTCTCGTAGCAGCCCTCCAGTGTCAGCCTCTCCCAGCAGCCCAGCCACGCCGCAGGCTGCACCTTCCAGAACCCTGAGCAGAAGCCTCCGGACGGCACTCAGGTCCCCTGCACGCCTGCCCCAAGCCGCTGGAGTACCCGCCCTGAGCCCCCCACTCACTCACCTGCCCTGACCTCAGCCCGCCTCTAGTCTGCTGACAGCACTCTGCTGTGACCCGGCCCCCCCAGGCCCACATGCAGGCCCGAGGCCATGCTGGGCTGTGTGCTAGGGCCTTGTTGGTGCCCCCCCACCCAGAGCAGGACAGCCAACAGAAGGGCTGTTTCCCTCCTGCACACTCTCCTGCCTTAAAATCCCCTGTTCTCCTGCCGCCCACCCTGGCCTCCATCCTGGTTCCCACTCAGTGCCACGGAAGCTAGCATGTCCATCCCTCCAGGAAACTCTCCGGGACTCAAGCAGGGAAGGTTCCGCCTCCAGTGCTCAAGTGCATCTCAGATCAGGACTAAACTTTGGTGTTTAGGGCCGCCTGGAGTGAATGTGCTTTTCCCTTTTCTGGGCAGGCCTGGACAGAGGGGACTCCCTGCTCGGGGCAGTTCCCAGGCCTGGGTGGACAGTGGAGCCGGAACAACCCCCTGTTGTGACCCAGGGCCCTTGCCAGGGCACCCGAGTGTCCCACGCTTCACCCAAAGCAAGACGAGGGGCATCCTGAGGTCTCCGATGGAGCAGACACCTCCAAACGACAGGCGCTTTCAGATTGGTCTTTATAATAAAAATTAAGATTTGATCATATAAGTCAGGGTCCAAGAAAATACATAAAAATTGGAATGTAGAAATATGATTTGTAGAAAACATCAATCACACACTTCCCGGCACCGCGGCGGTAAGCCCTCTGCGTGTGGGCGGGGCGCGCGGCGCCGCCACGCGGCGGGGAGGGGAATTGCACGGGGCCCGAGCCGCCTGGGGGAGGGGCGGGGGCCCGCGCCGCAGGCCGCCCCCCGAGTATCGCACAGCAGCTGAGCGGCAGGAGGAGGGGCGGGCGGAGGCGGGGCCCGCAGAGGTAGGCAGAAGGGCCCCCGTCCGGGTCCGGGAGGGGCTCCTTGCCCTGGGCGGCGCTGAGGGGCCGGCGGGGCTTCCTGAAACAGAAAAGAAGGCCGAGCTGCCCGGGCAGCCCTGGGGCGGGGCTGAAGGACCCCCAGCGGCCCGCCCGCGGCCCGGGACTTCCCTGCGGTGTCCAGGAAGAGCCAGGGCAGGAGCTGGGCTTTCAGGAGAAGACAGCAGGCTTCTTCCGGACCTGGATCTGGGCGGCCGGCACCAAGCTCTGCTGCTCCTCGCAGAATTCGAGAAGCCGGCGCCAGAGCGGGCAGCAGCGCAGGAGGACTTGGTTTCCTGCAAGGGTGCGCGGTCAGCGGGAGCCCCGCCCCCGGGACAGGCCCCGCCCCGGGACAGGCTCCGCCCCCGAGGATAGACCACCCCCCGCCCCGGAGGAGCCCCGCCTACAGGGCTAGGTCCGCCCCTGGGATAGACCCCGCCCCTGGGAGAGACCCGCCCCGGGAGGGATAGGCCCCGCCCCTGGGATAGGTCCCACCCCGGAATAGACCCGCCCACAGGGGTAAGGTCCCGCCCCGGGGTAGGCCCCGCCCCTGGGGTAGGTCCCACCCCGGAATAGACCCGCCCACAGGGGTAAGGTCCCGCCCCGGGATAGGCCCCGCCCCTGGGGTAGGTCCCACCCCGGAATAGACCCGCCCACAGGGGTAAGGTCCCGCCCCGGGATAGGCCCCGCCCCTGGGGTAGGTCCCACCCCGGAATAGACCCGCCCACAGGGGTAAGCCCCGCCCCAGGAAAGGCCGGGCAGGCCCCGCCCACATGCATAGGCCCCACCCCTGGGTAGGCCCCACCTCGGGATAGACCTGCCCACAGGGACAGGCCCCGCCCCGGGACAGGCCCCGCCCACAGGGATAGGCCCCGCCCCGGGATAGGCCCCGCCCACAGGGATAGGCCCCGCCCCAGGATAGACCTACCCACAGGGATAGGCCCCGCCCTGGAGTATGTCCCGCCCCGTCCCGCCCCGCCCCACCCCAGAAGCCCTCCCTGGACCCCAAGGTGGCCTCACCGATGAGGCAGAGCCCCTCCTGGGCACGGGTGATGGCCACGTTCACTTGGTTGGGGTCCACCACGAAGCCCAGGAACTTCTTCAGCCAGCCCTTGGTGGGCCGCTGGTCCACGTCGGCCTCGGGACAGGAGCGCACGGTGCTCACCAGCACGTAGCGCCACTCGCTGCCTGCAGAGGGAGCGTCGTGAGCCGGGCCGAGCCCCAGGCCACCCCCGCCGTGCCCGCCCAGCCTCACCCTGGCTCTACCCTGGCTCTTGGTGATGGAGGACACGGTCACTCCCCTGAGGCCCTTGGAGGCCAGGAGCTTGCTGATCTCTGCGGCCTGGGCATTGTACGGCGTGAGGATGGCGATTTCCTCGGGCTGCACCGTGCGCCCCAGAATCAGCTCCTTGGCAATGTGAACCTGAAGGGGCGAGGGTGGCGGTGCTGTGCAAACGGCCTGGAGCCTCCTGCCCTGGCCTCCAGGGCCAGGCCTGTTCTCACCACTCCTCTGCCGCCTCCTCCGGGAAGTCCTCCCTGGCCGGAGGTAGACGGTGTCCCCTGGGGTTCCATGGCCACTCACCACCTGGTCCACCTCCTCCAGGTTGGCTTTGGAGTTCTCATTCCCTTCATCTGTGGACACCAGCAGACTCTGCTCGTGGCCCTGGATGTGGCCGAAGATGACAGGGCAGCTGGCCCTGCCGGGGTGGCCCAGGACGCTGGGCGCCCGCCGAAGCTCCGGCCAGGTCTTCAGCTGGTTCTGGTAGAACTCCATGGACGGGAAGGCACAGATGCCCTTGTGCTGCAAGACAAGGATGCGGGCCAGGCCGGGCCACTGGCTGCCCACCTAGGCCCCGAGACCGCCGGGGAGGGAGAGGCCGGGCCCCCTGCTCACCATGCGGTACTGCGTGTCCAGCATGAAGGCGTCCTTGTGGTACCGCTCGAAGAGGGACCGGTCCAGGCCCAGGGCCTGCAGCTGGTCGTTCTTGACCACGGGCCGCAGCTGCTTGTGGTCCCCCAGAAGGACCACCTGCGCGGCAGGCGGCAGAGTTGGTCCCTCGCCCTGCCCCCCCCCCCGGCAGGCAGAGCCAGCGAGGCGGTGCTGCCACCCACCTTCTCGGCCCTGGGGAAGTTCACCAGGGGGATGAGGGTCTCGGGCTCGGTGGCCATGCCGGCCTCGTCCACCAGCACCTGCCACACGTGCAGCTTCTTGAGGCTGGCCGCGGCCGCGCAGGAGCACGTGCAGAGGATCACGCGGTGCTGCGCCAGCTCGAAGTTCCGTGCCTGGCTCAGCACTTCCCGGTACCTGGGGTAGGCACGGCGCCGGTCAGCAGGGGGCGGAGTGGACAGCGTCCGGCCACCCGGGAGCCCGGGCCTGGCCCACTCACTTCGCAAGCTCCTCTCTGGACAGGATTTCCCCGTTCCGCAGCCGCGCGTCAAAGGCCCTGATGGCCGAGGCGCAGGGGTTGGGCGGCTGCCGGATGCGGTGGTGCAGGCTGATGCTCCTGGGGGGGGAGGGCGAGTCACAGGGGTCCCCGGCCGCACACCCTCCCGGGCGCAGACCCCACGCAGGCCCACCTGAGGGCTTGGTTCGGCCGCCCCTCCCCGGGGCTCCTCCTGGACAGGCCCCTGCTGCCCACACCGGGCAGGGGGAACTCGGTGCCCTCGGCCTGCTCGCTGTACACACGGAGGGGCCTCAGCTCTGCCGCCCTGCTCAGGAGCAGACCTGGGGGCAGGCGGGGCGTGAGTGGGCCTGCTCGGCCCCGCGGTCCCCACCCGGGGGCGCCTGCGCACCTGCCAAGACGTCCACCGACTTGTTCGAGGGTCCGCAGTAGAGGATGTGGGGGCCCCCCTGGGACTTCCTCCTGCCCAGGCCGCTGCTGGCCGGCGCCCGCTCCTCGTTGGACTTGTGGAACCAGAAGACGATGTGGAGGGCCACCACGGTCTTCCCCGTGCCTGCGGGCAGAGGCAGTGAGGCCGGCCGGCCCCCCGGCCCTCCCCCCGGGCTCCCCGACAGGACCCCACCTGGCGGGCCCTGGATGACCGTGAACCGCTTCTTCAGGGCCTCCCGGACGGCCTCGGTCTGGCTGGGGTTCAGCTTGTGGCGGCTGTGCGGGATGTCGAAGACCCTCTGCTCCAGGAGCCTGCCGGGGATCCCTGAGGAAGGGGGTCTCTGAGCAGGGCGCAGGCCCCACGTGGGGTAGGGTGGGGCGGGGCGGGGCCACTCACCTCTGTGCGGGAGCTGCTGGCGGGGCAGCGCCAGGGGCTGGCCGAGCGCGATGCTGATGACCAGCTGTGAGGCCCTGTCCAGCCCACACACGGCCTCTTCCTTACGGCTGCGGGGACAGACGGCAGAGCGTGTTGACGGGGCCACCGGCAGGGCCGCCCCTCAGCCCGCCCGCCCGCCGTCCCGCGCCACTCACATGTCAGGGAGCTGCTTGGGCAGCACCTCGACGGTGAACCGGGCGTCAGGCCTCAGCACCTGCGCGGGCACCTGCCCCATGGCCATCTGCTGGACGCAGAAGGGCACGAGCCTGCCGGTGATGAGCCCATTCCGGTCCTCCTCCTCCTCCGTGCCCTCCGTCAGCCCGTGGGCCACCCAGGTGAAGGTGTCGGGGTCTGTGGTGAAGGGGGGCGCCGGGCCCGGGCTGGCGGGGGCCCGGGCAGGCTGCAGCCCGTCCAGCCGGATGCAGAGGTAACAGTGGCTGAAGCTGACGTTGATGCAGTGGCGGAGCAGGAGGTCCGAGCCCAGCCGGAAGGTGCCCTGCAGCTGGCCCTGCGGGGTCCGCTCGGGGCTCCAGGAGATGCGCACGCCCTGCAGCGTGATGGACTCGTTCTCAGCCACCGCGCTGGTGACCGCCTCCAGCGCGCAGAACGGCCGCCACACGCTCACGTACTCGGCCACGTCCTGGCAGCGGTCGCGCCCCGCCTGGAGCTCGAGGCCCGAGAAGCAGGGTCCCGGCCGCTCCACGTGCTCCAGGCACAGGCTGAGGCCCGGCGCCACGGCCCAGAGCTGCAGCGCCGGCGCCAGGAAGCCATGCTGCAGGGCCGGGCCCAGCTGCACGCTCAGCACGTCGCCCGCGCGCAGGTCCCGCCAGACCTCCACGAACAGCCCGCAGGGGCTCCGCCGCGCCTGGCCCAGCTCCAGGGGCTCCGGCTCCGCCGCGCCCTGCTCCCGCACCAGGGCGGCCGCCTCGGGCCAGCACTGCCCCTGCACCAGCTCCAGCAGCCGCTGCCACAGGGCCGAGTCCACGGGCCGGCGGTGGGCGTCAAGCAGGGCGCCGGGCAGTGGCAGGCAGGCTGTGTCCTCCCGCACCGAGTAGATGCGACGCCGCCAGGTGAGCCGCAGGCCGGGCCGGCCCTCCAGGGCCCGCGGGGGCTCGGCCAGCTGCAGGGCGCGGTAGGGCACCGGGCAGGGGTCTGGCAGGCTGTCGGGGTCGGCGGGGAAGAGCAGCCGGAAGCAGCGGGCGCCCGCCTCTACGTCCACCGCCACGCCCAGCTTGGCCCACGGCTGGGCGCTGAGCCGCTCGGCCAGGTGCAGGCTCCGGGCCCGGCGCTGGTAGGCCTGGGCGCGTGCGTGCTGGTGGCCGAACTCCTGGCAGAGCCCGTCGATGTCCTGGGCGCTGTAGGCGGCGCCCCCGCAGCCCAGCACGTGCAGCAGCTGCCGCTGCAGCACCAGGTCCAGGTACCTGCGGATGGGCGAGGAGGCCCAGGTGTAGCAGTCCACCTGCAGGGAGTAGTGGCCCCGCGGCGGCTGCGGGCCCGGCCCGGAGCGGCAGAACGCGGAGCGGGCCAGCGCCCGGTGGAAGTCCAACACCACGGGCAGCAGGGCGGGGTGCAGGTCGTCCGTGGTCACCAGGTCCACCAGCAGCGGCAGGTCCCCGGCCCGGGCTGCCTGCTGGATGCGCCCCCAGAGGGCAGCCAGCAGGGGCAGCTGGGCGGCCGGGGGCCCGTGGGCCCCCAGGCGCTGGGCCAGGGGCAGCGAGAGGGGCAGCCAGGCCGCGTGCTTCCGACCCAGCGCCTCCAGCTGCTGTCGGGCGGGCGCCGGCTGCCAGCGCAGCGGGGTGACCTCCCGCGTGGCCTCGCTGCCCACCAGGAACTCGGCCGCCAGGCTGTTGAACTGGATCATGTACTCCTTGACCATGCTGTGGGCCGCGCGGAAGCCCAGCTCGCTGTCCTCGTCTGGGGGCTCGTAGCAGCAGGCCTGCTGCAGCCGGCGCCCACGCAGCACCCGGGAGAGGTAGCAGGCGGCCGCCACGCAGGCGGCCACCGAGTCCAGGCTGGTGGGCAGCTCCAAGCCGGCCCCCGGGTGCTGCCGGATGAGCTGCTCCGCCTCCGCGTAGGACAGCCGCCAGTCGGAGCGCACCAGCGAGGGCGCGAAGCGGACGTCCTTGAGCCGGTCGCTGCCCTTCTCCACGGTGAGGAAGAGGGAGATGGCCAGGCGGTCCTGGCCGGGCAGGAGGCTGAGCGCCTGCTGGCAGAGGCTGGCGGGCAGCATGGGCACGGGCTCCCGGTTGGGGGCGTAGAAGGCCGTGCCCCGCCTGCGGGCCTCGGCGTCCAGGACGCCGTCCCTGGGCACACAGCTGGCCACGTCGGTGATGTGCACGGCTACCTCGTACCTGAGGCCCAGGTCCCGGACGCTGATGGCGTCGTCCAGGTTGCAGGCGTCCGGCGGGTCCACGGTGAAGGTGAGGATGCCGCGGCAGTCCTGCCGGCAGGGGGGCACCTTGCCCAGCTCCGCGCGGTACTTCCGCAGGGCCCCCGTGACGGCCGCGGGCTCCGCCGATGGGGGCTTTAGGCTGTACTCCAGGTCCAGGGCGTGGACGCCGTGCTCCCAGTTGGAGGCCTCGGGCAGCACCTCTAGGACGACGCCCAGCGGGCAGTAGAAGCGCTCGCGCCACAGCACCACGCACACGCGGAAGAGCCGCCTGCGGCGAGCGCTGTGTGGCAGCCGCTCGGTCCCCGCCCGCTCCAGGCGGCCCCGTGCCAGCCGGTGCAGGGGCACCTCCTGCGGGTCCCGCAGCTCCGCCACAAAGATCTTGGTCACGGAGCCGTCGATGGGCGTCATGATGCGCGGGTCCCACTCGTCCATGCGGCAGACGAACACCAGTTCCTGCTGCCGGCGCTGGAGCACCCCCACCACGCAGCCCTGCGGCTGCCCGGGGCCCGGGTCACCGAGCTTCACCACCACCTCGTCCCCGGTGAAGGCCATGCCGCAGCGCAGGCGGCCCCTCAGCTGGATGGGCCCCGAGCCCCCCTCGTCCAGCGGCACCGCAGTGGCCCGCTCGAAGGTCTCCTGCACGAGTGTGCAGCGCCGGTACCGCTCGGGCTCGGCCCGCAGGAGCGTGCACAGCATGGCCCGCGGCAGGTTCACGTACTGCCGGGCCTGCTGCGGGGACCGGGGCCTGGCCACCGTGTCCAGCAGCCCGTCCTCCTGCACCAGCACGGCCATCTTCAGACTCTCGTCCAGCAGCTCCTGCAGGATGGAGTCCTCGGGGTCCAGCTCCCCCTCGAACAGCCAGAAGTCGGACTCGGCCCCCGCGGCAGCCCCGGGGCCTGAGAGCACCCCGTCACCCACGGCCACCGCGGCCGCCTCCTCCCTCTCCCCGGAGGCCGCCGTCTCAGGGCCTGGTGCCCCAGGCTTGGCCTCAGGCCCACCCCCGGCAGGGCTTCCAGGGCTCGCGGCCCCCGCCGCGGGGCCCCGGGGTGCCGGCAGGTCCAGGGGCCCGCGGGCCCAGCGCCGCTGGGCTGCCACACCGCCCTCGACCTGCTCCAGCGACAGGTCCGGGGGGCAGACGCTGTGATGCTCCACGCACTCCCGGATGAAGCTCTTCCACAGTTTGCTGCAGGCCCCGACGGAGCAGAGGGCCACGGCGTCGCCCACGGCCACCACCTGCGACTGGGCGCGGGTCAGGATGGTGTTGAGCACCCGCGCGTCGACGAAGAAGTCGGGGCTGGGCGCGCCAGGGCTCTGCAGGCTGCGGCAGGTGTGCACCGTGCTGAGGACCACCACGCGGAACTCTCGGCCTGTGGGAGGGCAGGGTCAGGCGCGGGCCGGCGCCGGGAGCCCGTCCCCGCCTCCGGGCACCCACCTGGCAGGATCTCGAAGCTGCCCACGGACACCTGGCCCAGGCTCCGTCGCCTCAGCTCCTGCCGCAGGGCGCTCACCTGTGGGGCACGGCCGTGGGCCCTCAGTCGCGAGGGCCCGGGCTCCTCCGCCCCGGCCCAGCCCGGCCGGGGGTGGGTCCCTCGGCCCCGAAGGGCCGGCTCACCTGGGCGCCGTGGGAGACGACGCAGATCTGCCCCTGCTCGCAGCTGCCCCAGCAGTGTGGCCAGGTGCCCACGAGCTCCTGCACCTTCTCCACCACCTGGCTGATCTCGGCCGGGTTGAGCCAGGACGTCATGGACAGGTCACGCTCCGGGCAGCCGGCCACGTGGCAGAACATGAGCGGGTAGAGGTGGGGGTGGCGCGGCACCTTGCCGCTGGCGTGGATGGGGTTGCCCTTGGCCGCGTAGAAGTGGCGGGCCACGAAGCGGATGATGGCCTCGGTGCAGCGGTAGTTCTCGTGGAAGATGATGCGGCTGTGCCGGGCGGCCTCGTCCGGCTGCTGCTGGTAGTGCCGGAAGAGCCGGTGCAGCAGCGTGTGGCCGGCCGCCCGGTCCCGCGGCACGCTGAAGAGCCGGGGCGTGACCTGCATGTGGTCACCCGCCAGCACCACGCAGGTGTTGGCCGTGGCGTGGCCGAGCGGCACCAGGGCCTCGCACTCCAGCATCTGGGCGGCCTCGTCGAGGAAGATGTGCGAGAAGAAGCCGGCGGGGACCCGCAGCTGCCGCGCCTGGGCCGTGGTGGCCACCAGGATGCGGTGCCGCTCCAGCTCGGCGCTGCTGGGCGGCCGGAAGGCCTGGCGGTCGGCGCTCAGGCAGCAGTACTGCAGCGTGACCGCGTCCGTCTGCCCGGGCGGCCGATCCGTGAACATCACCCGCAGCGGCGCTGCCTCGGGGTGGCCGCTGAGGACATGGCCATGGAAGTGCTCCCGGATGTAGATGTCGGCCGCGCTGGGGGGGGGGAGAGGGGCGCGTGGGGCCATGGCCGCGGCCGGCCGCAGCACCTGCTGTGGGCCAGCCCTGCCCGGAGGTCGGCGCTTCAAACAAGGCCGTGTCCTGCCCCCGCAGAGTGTCCATGGCAGCAGAGGGGACAGACACACAGATAAAGAAACAAAGGCAGGTCAGACCCGATGAGGATGGAGCGGCAGCAGAGAGAGCCTGGGTGGTCAGGGAGGGCTTCCTGGAGGTGAGGAGCTGGGGAAAGTCAGAGCCTGGCGAGGAGGACCCCACAGCGGCAGAGAGCAGTGACGTGGCCAGGGAAGGCTTCCTGGAGGAGGCGCGGAGCCGGCCGCGGGCACGACAGAGAGGCAGAGCAGGGCTCACTGCCCAGAGCACCCGGGGGTCCAGAGGCCGGGGTCCCCCTGCCCTCGGCTGCCGCCCTCCGGCAGCGGGCGACTGAGAGCCGGCACCACAGCTTGGCAGCGTGGCGAGGAGAACGCCCGCCCCCCGCAGGCAGAAGCAGCGGGGCGGCTGGACACTCGTGAGCGCGTGCAGAGGCAGAGTCTGCGGAGGGAGGGGAGCGTCCCGCGAGCCCAGCGGGCGTGGTGCCCGCGCTCACCTGTTGGTGTGTGTGCAGATGAGCACCCTGGCGTCCGGCTGCCGCACCACCTCCAGGGAGGCCATGGCCAGCGTGTAGGTCTTGCCCGTGCCGAAGGGGCCGTAGATGAGCAGGGGGGCCACGGGCGCGGGGCCGCCGGGGTGGGTGCCCACAATGGCCGCCACGGCCAGCTTCTGCTTGCGGTTGCCGTGCACCGTGGGCGGGCGGGGCAGGGGCCGGGGCAGCGCACTGGCCTGCAGGTCAGGCACCACCAGGCGCACGTCGGCCAGCGCGTCCACTGCCTGGTGCCACCGGCGGAAGACCAGGGGGTCCACCTGGAACTGCACCTCCAGGACGCGGCTGCAGCCGGCCTGCAGCCCCAGGGCCTGGCAGCAGTGCGCGGGCAGCAGCAGCCACAGGGCCTGCTCCCAGCTGGCCCGGCTCTCCAGCCGCGCCTCGAACACCGTGAGGTCCGGGGCGGGCACCGGGGCCACCAGCACGGTGCTCACCGCCCGGCCCAGCAGGAAGCCCTGGTCCGTGTCCGGCGTCAGGGAGGGGGGCACGGGCACCTCTGCGTAGAGGGCGCCCGGGGGCGCGAGCACCAGGCCCAGGGCGGGCGTCTGCAGGGACGTCTGGAGGGACACCGGGCCCCGCAGGTTCAGCCTGTACAAGGAGGAGCGCAGGGGTCAGCGGGCTGGGGCCACACGGGCCTGCCCGCCCCCGTGCCCACCAGGCCCACACACTTGGCCACCAGCCGCTGCTGTGCCGCCTCTTCCTCGTAGAGGAACTGGTGCATCCTCTGGCGGTAGTTGGCGCAGGACATGGGCCCCGGGGCCTGGCCGCCGCGGCTGAAGTCCAGAGCCAGGTCGGGCCCCTTGTACTTGGCCAGCAGGGTGGCCTGCTCGGTCGAGCGCTCCACGCTGGGCACGACATGGCGGTTGCCCGTGTGCCAGCGCTCCAGCGGCGGCGGTGGGGCGGGGGCGGGGGGCGCCCGGGGCCCCGGGCAGCGCTCCTGGCCCAGCTGCAGGGTCAGCTTCCGCAGCAGCACGGGCCGGCAGCCGAAGTCGAAGGCCAGCCACTGCTCGAAGGTGCCGAAGGAGGCGCTGAGCACCTGCACGGTCACCCGGGCCTGCAGGGGCGCGTCGGGCCCCCGGAACCGCTCACCGCAGGCGTACTGCTGCCCTGGGGGCAGGCCGGGGGCCACCAGCGAGAAGGTGGCGCCGGGCTCCTGCCTGAGCAAGGCCACGTGCTGCAGGGGCGCCTGGGGAGAGGACGCGGCTCAGCCCCCGTGGCCACGGGCAGCCCCGGCCCAGCCAGCCGGCCGCTCCCACCGCAGGGCCCCGGGCACGGACGGACGTGGGGACTCACCTCGGAGCGCAGGGTGAACGTCCAGCTGTGCTGCGTCACCTTGTGGGCTGCCCGGAGCAGCAGGGGCTGGTCACAGGAGGCCGACACGCCCTCCACGGCCTCAGCCAGCTGCAAGGACACGGCCTCAGCAGGCGCCGGCGATGCCCGGCCCCACCCCACCCAGCCGCGCCCGCACCTCGCCCGCGGAGCCGCCCCTCGGCCTCTGCCCTTCCCTCTACCCCACCCTTCCCCCCTGCTCACCCTCGCCGCCCTGCCCGCACTCACCACCAGCAGCTCGCTCCCGCTGCGCTGATACTCGTCCAGCAGCCGCTCCTGGTAGGGCATCAGCCCTTCCTTCCAGGCGGCCTCCTCCCGCAGCCGCACACTCTCGGCCCGCCGGGTCCACTCGACGAGCTCCTCCGGGGAGTGGGCCTTGGTGCAGAGCCGCCCGTACTCACAGTGCTCGGGCCTGCGGGGGGCAGAGTCAGCAGGGGAGCACCGCCCCGGGGGCCTCACCCTCCCTGCGCAGGCCCGGCGTGGCCCCTGCCCTCACCTGGGGCAGAGCTCGAAGGAGGTCAGGCCGGCGGGCGGGCTGCGGTGGCCCCAGGTGGCGGCCGGCTCCAGGGCCACCATCTGCCTGTGCTCCAGGGAGGCGCAGTGGTTCTCGAAGGCCTCGGGCGAGCCGCAGGACAGCAGGCAGGCCGGGCAGTACAGCCGCACCTGGGGGGCCGGCTCCGGGGGGCGCGAGCAGGGCCCCCCGCCGCAGCCCGCCCAGCTGCTCGGCCTCCCACACGGCCATCTCCACGGCACTGTGCGCGTACTGGCACCGCGCCGCCCCGTGCCTGCAGGGCCGGCCGCGGCCCACGAACATGCAGAAGGCCAGCGGCTGGCCGTACTGCGGCTGGGCCCGCACCTCCACCACCTGCTGCTTGCTGTGGCCGTCGGCGCTCACGTGCGCCAGCAGGGCCGGGCAGGCCCCGTGGGCGCCGCAGCGGCCCTGGGCGTCGACGGGACTGAGGCGAGGAGGCGAGCGGCGGAAGCAGTGGGTGCAGAGCAGCTGGAAGCGGCCGCCGAACTCGGCGCGGATGGCGTCGGCGGGGCTGCCCCCGACCGCGCCCCCCAGCAGGGCGGCCTTCAGCCAGGGCCGGCCCGCGCCGGACTCCCGCTCCCACGTCCACACCAGCGCCTCCTCGGGGCTGCGCGCGAAGGTGCACTGGTTGCGGTGGCGCCGGCAGCCCAGGCCCGGCTTGTAGTAGCGGCAGACCTCGTACCGCGCCGGCCGCGGGAAGCTGGGCCGCCGGTCCACCTTGCGCCAGGGCTTGCTGGGCGCCGCGCCCTTCCGGCGGGCCAGGAGGATCTCCCGCGGGCACTCGTGCTCCACGCCACGCAGCAGGTAGGTGCTCTCGTTCAGCCGCTGCGTGCAGCGGGGGCAGGCCAGGGACAGGTCCACCTGCGCCTGCAGCCGGGCCAGGCAGGGCTCCTTGGAGGCCCCAGCGCCGGCGGGCGCCCGGCCGTTCCCGGGGGACATCGCGCCCAGTGCCGGCCGGGTCCGAAAGGCGGCGTCATGGGCCATGGGTCAGCAGGTGCGCAGGGGCTGCTGCCCCACCAGGAGACGCCTGGGAGGGAGAGGATGAGTCAGCCCAGGAGGCCACACCCACAGACACACAGCACTCACACGCGCGTATGTGCGCATGCACACACACACACACACACACTACATACGCCACACGTGGGCAAACACAGAGACACACGGGCACACACGGGCACAGACGCGCAGGCACGGCACACACACAGGAACACAAGTGGGCACACAGGTGCGGACACACAAGGCAGAGACACAGACCCACGGGCACACATACACGCACACACAAACACACATGTACACAGATACACACACAGGCACTCTCACACATGTGCACACACATGTACATGCACACACGGACACAGACACACATATGCACAAGCACACACACATGCACACACTGACACACACAGACCCATACACACGCATATGAGCACGCATACACACAACACATGAACACAGACACACACGCCCGCGCAGACACATGCACTCACACAGAGGCAAACACACACACATGCACACTCACGTGCACAAACACGCACACATGCAGACATACACATGCACACACACAAACATGTCCACACACATGCAAACACAAGCACATATGCATGCATATGCATGCACATAGACACATAGGCACACACACAAACACAGGCACACACATGCACACAGACAGTTACACACACGCACACACACACGAACTCACATGCACACACACAGACACACACTCACACATGCACTCACAAACGCACAGACACACACAGACACACAGATACATGCATGCACAGAAACACATGCACACACAGACACATGCTCATATGCACACACATGCACACACAGACACACATGCATGCAGACACGCACGCAACTGCACACAGAGGCAAGACACACGTACACACATGAACACTTGTGTAGATAAATGCACACATGTGCGCAAGCACAAACATGCACACATGTAAACACACATGCGCACACACATGCACACACACAAACACAAGCACACACATGCACAAAGACACACATGCATTCATACATGAACTCACACATGTAAACACACATACGCACCGATGTACACATACGTGCAATACACACATGCACACACATGTACACACAAGCACACACTCACAAATGCACACAAATACACACACTCACATGCACACACATACACACATGCACACACACACTCACAAATACAGACACACACGCTCACATGTACACATGTACACAGTCACACACAGGCACAGACACTCACACACATGCACACACATGCACAGATATGTACACACACACACACACAGACACCACAGACACAATGCACATATGCACACAGACACACACACAGACACACATGCACATATGCACACACAGAGACACACACTGTCACACAGACACACACATACACACTCACATGCACAGTCACACACATGCACACATGCACACACACACTCACAAGACACGGTCACATGTACACAGACACACACTCACATATACAGACACACACGCTCACACTCACACAGAAGCACACAGCCACAGCCGCACACACCTGCGCACACACAGACACACATGCAGACACAACTCACACACATATGCACACAGACACACGCACACACTCACATACACAGACACACACACACGCGCGCAACACTCACGCAGTGACACACAGACACACTCACGCAGACACACACACTCATACTCATACATGCACACACAGAGACACATATGCACGCACAGACACAACTCACACACATGCACACACAGACACACCCACACACCCTCACATGCAGACACACACACATACACAACACTCACGCAGTGACACACGCACACACAGACACATACTCATACTCATACATGCACACACAGAGACACATACGCACGCACAGACACAACTCACACACACATGCACACACAGACACACGCACACACACTCACATGCACAGACACACACACGCACACACACATGCGCAACACTCACGCAGTGACACACACAGACACACTCACGCAGACACACACACTCATACTTGCACACACAGAGACACATACGCACGCACAGACACAACTCACACACATGCACACACAGACACACCCACACACCCTCACATGCAGACACACACACATACACAACACTCACGCAGTGACACACGCACACACAGACACATACTCATACTCATACATGCACACACAGAGACACATACGCACGCACAGACACAACTCACACACACATGCACACACAGACACATGCACACACACTCACATGCACAGACACACACACGCACACGCACATGCGCAACACTCACGCAGTGACACACACAGACACACTCACGCAGACACACACACACTCATACATGCACACACAGAGACACATACGCAGGCACAGACACAACTCACACACATGCACAGACAGACACACGCACACACACTCACATGCACAGACACACACACGCACACACACATGCGCAACACTCACGCAGTGACACACACAGACACACTCACGCAGACACACACACTCATATATGCACACACAGAGACACATACGCAGGCACAGACACAACTCACACACATGCACACACAGACACACCCACACACCCTCACATGCAGACACACACACACACACAACACTCACGCAGTGACACACGCACAGACACACGCAGACACACACGCACTCATACTCATACATGCACAGAGACATACGCATGCACAGACACAACTCACACACACATGCACACACAGACACACGCACACACACTCACATGCACAGACACACACACACATGCGCAACACTCACGCAGTGACACACAGACACACTCACGCAGACACACACACTCATATGCACACACAGAGACACATACGCACGCACAGACACAACTCACACACATGCACACACAGACACCCACACACCCTCACATGCAGACACACACACATACACAACACTCACGCAGTGACACACGCACACACAGACACATACTCATACTCATACATGCACACACAGAGACACATACGCAGGCACAGACACAACTCACACACATGCACACACAGACACACCCACACACCCTCAATGCAGACAGACACACACATACACAACACTCACGCAGTGACACACGCACACACAGCCACAGGCAGAGACCCACGCACTCACACTCATACGTGCCCACACAGACACCCGCACACAGACACGCACTCGCACTCACGCACGCACGCGCACAGCCAGGCGCACACGCACACGCGCCCCGCACTCACCCGCAGGTGCAGAGCCCGCCCGCGACCCCGACCCGCCGTCCTGCGCCGCCGCCGCCGCGGCCCATCGCCCCGCCCGGCGGCCACTTTCGGTTCCGATTCTGCCCCGGTGACTCAGGCTGACGCGGGCGGCGCGGAAGTTACCTCACGGCGGCGCCCCGCCCCGCGGCCCGGACCCCCGCCCGGCGCGGACCGGACCCCCGCCCGCCCGAGACCCCGCCCGCCCCGCGGCCCGGACCCCGCCCGGCCCGGACCGGGACCCCCGCCCGGCCCGGGCCCCGCCCCGCCCCGCGGCCCGGACCCCGCCCGGCCCGGACCCCGCCCCGCCCCCAGGCCCCGCCCCGCCCCGAGACCCCCGCCCCGCCCCGCCCGGCCCGGACCCCGCCCCGCACCCCAGCCCGCCGCACCCCGCCAGCCCCGCCGCCCGCCCCCAGCCCCTCTCGGGTCACAGCCACTGCAGACCCCATGGAGCCGAATGGAGCGTCCAGGGGGCCAGGCCTGGCCCCTGGGGGCGGGGGCGAGCTCGCTCGGTCCACGAGCAGCTCCGGGACCCTCCAGGGCCCACCCCCAGCGTCCCCAGCCCCCCCCCCACAGCACTGTCCCCTGCGCCTGACCCCTGAGGCCAGGCGGGCTGGGGCGCCCCGGGCCATCCTGCCAGGTGACGTCACAGCAGGGGTCTGACACAACATCCCTTCCACTAGCCACCAAGAACCAGGGGTGACAGACACCCGAGGGAAGGAGCAGACGTCAGCTGCTTCTGCAAGGACCCAAAGTTTAGTGACCCCAGCGAAACGACCAAAGCAAAAAAAGAGAAGGAGATGAAGAAGATGCCCACGACAGAGCTGGGGTAGTGAAGGCGGCGTTGGACTCATTTGCAAAACCACATCAGCGTGCGCAGAAAGGGGCAGGAGCGCGGGAGACCCAAAGGCTCCCAGGCCAACCTCGGTGGACACCAGGGCAAGACAGACACAGAGAAGCCTCAGGCCCAAACCCCGACGCTTCTCCAAAGACGCTGACCAACCAGGTGAGGCACACGCAAAGGGTTTTCTCCAGGCGCAGGTGAGGTCTCTGCTTGACCCCCGGCCGGCCTGGAGGCACCAACCAGATACGGCGGACATCAGCGGAACAAAAGGTCAGACACGGCCACCCAGCCGTGAGACCCACACTGCAGGCCACCAGTGCAGATGGACGCCCTTGGCATCATCACCACCCAAGAAGAGCCGCCGGCCACTGTCCCTCGGACGTGGAGGCACGACCCCCTCAGACACGGGCCACGCCAGGAACGCACTCACCACGTCAGCTCTGCGGGCAGGGGCCCAGAGGGGACCAGAGGGGCCGAGGTAGAACACACCAGCGTGGCGAGAGGCATGTCGTGTGCTGCTTGTGATGGCACGGCCGGGAGAAGGCCACAGCAAGGCTGCCACCGCTCAGCCCGACTCCGAGGGACAGTCCCTGGGCTGCCCCTTCCCTCACGCCACGCCAGGGCCGCCGGGGCAGGAGGGAGCTGACTTCATTTCTGTTTACCAGCCCCAGTTTGAAGGAGAATTGAGGAAGTGCTGCAACCGTGTTTTCTTTCTGTTTGAGTTGGGGTTTTTGGCCGCGCCCAGCAGTGCTCAGGGGACCCTCGGGGAAGCTGGAAACCGAACCCGGGTCAGCCGTGTGCAAGGCCAGCGCGCTGTCTACTGAGCCATCTATCCGGCCCCTGCAACAGCCGCTGCCCAAGTGGCACCCTAAGACCCCGTCTGACTGGCCCCCTCGCCCAGCCAGGGGCCCCAATAATGATGAAAGGCTTGGGAGAGACAGGGTAGGGGCCCGGGCGGTGGGGACGGTCTCAGGGCGAGGAGGAACCACTGGCTCTG